TAGTAAAATATGAAAAAGTTTAAAGTATGTTCAGTTGTGCTTTTTTTCCATATTCTGCGTGCTGGGATTGTGTAGACACGAGCTACAGTGTCCTGAGACACTGATTATGTCTGATTATGCATCCCTGGGTGGCCTGGAACTTACTATATACTTCATAACTGAGTTCAGACTGGCTTTGAACTCATAGAGGTCCACCTATTCCTGCCTCTTGAGGCCTGGGATCAAAGGTGTGTGCCATCAAACTCAGCTGTTTTCTCACTTTTATAGGGTCTACCAAAAGTTATTCTGTTAGCCTTGGTGGTGAGGAAATGTCTATGCAGAGCTGTCTGGTTTTCATTTGACTGTTCTTCCTCTGGTGTTTGCAGGCAAGTGTACCTTCAGGGTTTAATGTACTGTAATGTCTGGTTTTGGGTTGATCAGTTGAGATTTCCTGTTGGGAGGAACAGAAAGTAGAAGGAAAGAAAATGTGTATGTGCTTGGCAAATTGAAGAAAAGTAAAGCACCATAAAAACGAAAAACCAAAAAAAAAATATTTTTATTGGGGGCTGCAGAGATGGCTCAGCCATTAAAAGTGCTTGCTGCTCTTGGAGAGAACTTGAATTCCCAGCACCCACATCAGGCAGCTCCTCACTGCTCCTGCTCTAGGGGATTTGATGCCCTCTTCTGGCCTCCTAGGTTGCATAGATCATACACTCACACGGATAGACAAACATACACATCAGTAAAAATTTAAAAACAAGTCTTAAAAACAAAATGTTTTTGTTCATGGTAGTGTCCAGGAGGAAATAAAAACTATAGTGAAATTCTTACTGTAATGATATGTTACTTTTCTTATTTATTTATTTATTTATTTATTTGTGTATTGATTTGTCTGCAGTCTTTCTGTATGATAAGCTCCACGAGGACAGTGGCTGGAGTGCTGTGGTTTGACTGTGTTTGTCTCTATGCCTGCTCTACTCATAGTACGGGCTATTTCAAAATATTCAGTGAGTACTTATTGATTTAACAGATATTCATAGTGTGCCTACTATGTGCCAATGACTGAAGTCCACACTGGAGGCTCTAGAATGAGAACCAGCAATATGCCTTGCCTGTTCATTTTCCCCGTCGTTAATAGCAGGGAGGGCGGTTATATATAGAGATGAACTGGAAAGCATCTAAGAGAGCAGCCAAGTGGTGCCTATGAAATCAGTAATTGTTATACTGTTTGTTTTTCAGTCCTCAAACAAAATTAAAATGTCTAATGCCAAGAACTGGTAATCATTTACCATCTCTGCTGTCCTCACAGGCGAGAACTAACAGTGGAGTTTGGAGTGGGTCAAAGCCTTGCCGTAGAGTAAGGACGGCAGTCAAAGCATGTCAAGAGAACTTTAATTTATCTGTAATGTTTAAACATTCTTACAAAAAAAGGAGGGGTATATTGGAGCTGGAGATATGGTTTAGTAGTTAAAAGCACTTGTTGCCCTTGTAGAGGACTTAGGTTTATTTCCCAAGACCTACAAGGCGGCTCACAGTCATTCCTAACTCAGGTCCTAGAGGTTCTGTTTCTCTTCCCTGTGTCCTACAGCGTGGCTGTGTGTTTTCAGTTTGCTGGAGAATGGCTCACCACTTCATTTGTGTTTCATTCCCTCTCATTCTGGCTGATTGAAGTATTTTTGTTGTTCTAGGAACTGCAACTCAACCATGCATCTTTAAAAATGTGCTCCAAACTGTCACTCCTCTCTTCTTTTCTCTGCCCCTCTCTGCCTCATTTCTACTTTCCCTCTTATTGTTAACCAATCACGTTAACTTCTGGCATAGTTCTCCTCCTGGATATGATCTTATTACACCTTCCTTCCCTTTCCGTTTCTTGTTTTGTTTTTCAAAACAGGTTTCTCTGTGTAGCCTCCATTGTTCTGGAACTCAACCAGGCTGGCCTCTAACTCATAGAGATCCGCCTGCCTCTGCCTCCCAAGTGGTGGGATTAAAGGCCACAGTCGCCCAATCACACTTTCCTTCTTATATTGAGGGTAGAGCAGCATAGGCTCAATATCTTCTTTTCTTTCTGGAGAGGTCTGCTCCATCCCCAGTAGATACCTGAAATAGCAGATAGTGCCACTATTCTATTCTGTGCAGTCAGGTGCTGTCGATAGCAACATTTTGGTCAACAGAATGATGCCACAGTGGTCCAGTAAGAGCGTGATCTCTTGGTATCATAGCTGTCTTAGTTTGGATATGTATCCCATAATGTTCTCACAGTGATGAAATCACTTAACATCATACTTCTTAGAATGTATCCCCATCATAAACAGCTCATGGCTGTACTATAATTTTCCTAATTGTACATACCTTGATATGGTTAAATTGCAAATTAGGCTTAATAAGAGATTAAAAGCAATGAGATGAAGTGAGATGAATGACATTAGGATGCTCTGTGGGGCTGCTTGGACAGTGCTGTGATACTGCAGCCGTCAGTCTGATAGCCCGGCTGAGTATAAATGGGCGGGTAACGTATACAGCATGGGTACACTGGACAAAGTGCAATGTCCTGCGATGTCATTACACTCTTCAGAAGGGCATGCAATTTATTTACTTCTTTTTGAAGTGCTAGGGATTGAACCTAGGATCTTGTACTTGCTGGGCAAGTGCTCTATCACCGAGCTACTTTCCAGTCTCTTCCTACCTTTTATTTAAAACTTATTTATTATTGGTGTGTGTGCGTGTGTGCATGCATGTGTGAAAATTAGAGGACAACATTCAAGGGTCAGTTCCTTCTTCCATCGTGGAGTCTAGAAATCAAGGATCAGTTTCTTCTTCCATCGTGGAATCTGGAAATCAAACAGGCTGGCCAGCTTTTGTGGCAAGTGCTTTTACCTACTGAGCCACCTCACTGGTCCTTACTTAAATTTAAAAAAAAAAATCAAGATTTATATTATTTTTATTTTATATGTGTGTCTTGCATGCATGTGTGTCTGTTCACTATATGAACACAGCAGAGGGTTTGGGTCACTTGAAACTGGAGTTGTGGACAGTCATCAGCTGCCATGCAGGTGTTGGGAGCCGGGTTTTTAACAGCTGAGCCCTCTCTCCAGTACTCCTGTCCCTACTTTTTATTTTGATATAAGAGTCTTTTGCTCAGACTCTTATATCAATCCTCCTGCCTCAGCCTTCTGAGCAGCTGGAATTACAGATCACCACCATGCCCCCCTTGATGACCTAGAGTTGAAAAATTTTAATTGTTTATTTCTGAAATTTTCTGTTTGATGCTTTTAGACTAGAGCTGACCACAAGTGACTGAAGTGGAAAGGAAACTCACTGCTGAGGAGGAATTGTCAGGCTTTTTTGTGTTTAATTTAGTAAAATGTATCTTAGATTATCATAATGCAATATGGGTTTATTTTTTTCTTTTTTGGTTTTTCAAGACGGGTTTCTCTGTAGCTTTGGCACCTGTCCTGGAATCTGCTCTGTAGACCAGGCTGGCTTTAAACTCACAGAGATCTATCTGCCTCTGCCTCCCAAGTGCTGACATTAAAGGCGTGCACCACCACCGCCTGGCTGCAATATGTGTTTCTTAATGACTGGGATATGTTCTGTAAGCAGGTTGTGAAGCAACCCATCATTGCAGGATCTCTTTAGGACATCATTAGGACACGAACCTCTTGATATAGCATAGCCTCCAGATTTGGTCCAGAACTGTGATAAATATGACATAAGTATGACATAAGAGGCCTCTGCAAGTGTTATCTTGATGAGATGTTTTATAGAAAACTAAAAACAATTTTGGTTTGTTTTTGTTGTTGTTTTCAGGTTATTTGATGTGTGTAGGTGTTTTGCTTGCCCATATATGTATGCACTAGATACACGCCTGGTGCCTGTGGAGGTCAGAAGGGGTATCAGATCCTCTGGAACTAGAGTTACAGATACTTACAAGCTGCCCTGTGAGTGCTGGGAACTGAACCTAGGTTCTCTGAAAGAGAAGCAAGTGTGAGAATAAAATTAAAATGATGGTCGGCTGGTGATGCAGCTCAGTCAGTATGTGCCTAATGTGCAGAGCCTGGACTCGGTCCTCAGCACCATCCCCTAGAGCAAATCCTCCATGATAAACCAATGGCAAATATAGCACATTGTATATATTCGGGTAAGTCCTGTGTTCTGTCTATAATTGTATACTGTACTTTATACCACTGACAGCACAGTAAGTTTGCTTATGCCAGAATTCCTCATCACTGCAAACATGACGTAGATCGAATCAAAATGAATGACACATTGAGCCATTCCATCATGTCGCTAGGCAGTTGGAGTTTCCCAGTTCAATTATAATTTTATGGAACCATGTCATTGGATGCATCTCATAGTGAGGCACATGACTGCACAGCTACATTACATAGTGAGGCACGTGACTGCACAGCTACATTACATACATAGTGAGGCACATGACTGCACAGCTACATTACATAGTGAGGCACGTGACTGCACAGCTACATTACATACATAGTGAGGCACGTGACTGCACAGCTACATTACATACATAGTGAGGCACGTGACTGCACAGCTACATTACATAGTGAGGCACGTGACTGCACAGCTACATTACATACATAGTGAGGCACATGACTGCACAGCTACATTACATACATAGTGAGGCACGTGACTGCACAGCTACATTACATACGTTAGTAACATGCTTTTCATGTAATACATGCAGGAAGCATGTCTTATCATGGAATACTTCGATGTTTCTCAGGCATTATACATTACTTTTTCAGCTAGGCTGTGTCAGTTGGTATCCTACCAGCACTGCTTGTACAAAAGAGTTCTTGTAAGATTCTTGCTTCCCCGTGGCCTCGCCACAAGAGTGGGCTGTGTGACGCACATTTCTCTGAGTGAGACCGGACATCTTCTGTTGAAGGGACTTTGTGTCTTCATTGTGTGTTTTACGTTTTGTTTCCGTTAGGTCGTTTACTGCCAGGCCAACAGTACTCTGAGTTCCATCCATTCATTAGATTTTTTTTTTCTTTCAGATCTTCCATGGTGGCTTATTTTAATTCGGCAGAAAGCATTGGTGGGCAAACTCCCAGGAGACCATGAGGTCTGTAAAGTCACCAAAATTGCTGTATTGTCACTTTCTGAAATGGAGCCGCAGGAGCTTGAACTTGAGGTAAGCTGGCATCAAAGGACTGTCGCGGAGACGATAGATGTGATGGCAGATTTGAGGATCTGGTTCAGTCAACTCTGGATGTTGTTAAAATAATTTATATAGTCTTTGAACCTTGTGTTAGCAGCAGGCTCCGTCAGAACCCGTGCACTGCAACACGTAAGACAGCAGCAGAGCTGCTTTGGTTGAGGTGGTGTTGAGGGAAAGATATCTTCAAATAACATGAAAGTGAAGCTTCCGTCACATGTCATGATTGGCTTCTGCCTGTGTGTGTGTGAGTGTGTGCATCTGTGTGCTCATGGAGGTGCTGTGTGTGCACATGTGGAAGACAGGTCAGCATCATGTATATTCCTTTAGCACATGTGGAAGACAGGTCAGCATCATGTATGTTCCTTTAGCACTTTCTTTTGGTTTAGTTTTTTTTTCTTTTTGGTAGGGTGTAGAGGGTTTGAGACAGGGTCTCAGTATGTAGCCCTGGCTGTCCTGGAATTCCCTGTATAGACCAGGCTGGCCTTGAAATCACAGAGACCCTCCTGCCTCTGCCTCCTGAGTGCTGGGATTAAAGGCATGCACCACCCTGATCAGTTTAGCACTTGTTTTCCTGAGATAGTCTTTCATTGAACCTGGTGCTCACAGGTTGGCTAGACTGTTTTCTGGCGAATACATCTGCCTTTTCTACCAACCAGTGGTGGGGTTGCAGGCATAGACCTCCATGCCTGGCTTCTTACTTGGGTGCTAGGTACCCAAGTCCAGGTCCTCAGACTTATGTGGCAGGTACTTTACTCACTGAGTCATCTCCCCACATAACTGGATAGTTTTCGAATGATCGGGCTGCTTGAACTATAGTGCTTATTAGGGTCACCAAAGATTATGGTTCAAGTTAGCAATGGAGTATATGTTATGACTTGTGCTAGTTAGGGTGAAGGGTAAGACTTCTCTGTTGCTGTCTTAAAACACCAAGACCAAGGCAACTTATAGAAGAAAGAGTTTATTTGGTTCCAGAGGAATAAGAGTCTTTCATGGCAATAGGCACAAACTTTGTTGGCCTGAACAGAAGCTAAGAGCTCACATCTTAAACTGTATCATGAGAGGGTGAACTATTAATGTCATGGATTGAAACATCAAAGTCTGTCTCCAGCAAGGTCAAATCTCCCAAACCTTCCCCAAACAGCGCCACCAACTGGGGATCAAGTATTCAACTGGGAGAGCTTATTGGGAATGTTTTCATTTAAACCGCTGCAGTAAGCACAGAGAAAGTATTTCCGTACCTTGGGTGAATATTTTAGAAATTATTATTCTTATGCTTTTCTCCCGTTACTTTAAACCCATACCACAACATTGGACCTTCCCAATTGTGAAGCAAGGAGAGCTATCCTGATAATCATAAAATTTCTTCTAGCATAGCCATTTAAATCTGTCATCTCCTCCTTTCTATTCATATAAACTGCAGTAAAAGGAACTATTAAAACCAGGAATGGTGGTATGTGCTGTGGAGGCAGGACTAGAAATTCAAGATTGTCCTCAGCTCATGTGAGCTTGAGACGAGGCTGGGCTCCGCAGATGCTGCCTCAAATTTTTAAGTGAAATGAGCAAAAGAAGCTTTTAGAAGCTTAATTTTTTTTTTGTTTGATTATAAAGGAGAAGGAAAAATACTATCACTTAGAAATATTAATGGCTAGGAACCGGAGAGATGGCTTCTGCTGCTCTTCTAGAGGACCTGAGTTCAGTGCCCAGCATCCCTGTCAGATGGCTCACAAGTGCCTCTGACGCCAACTCCAGAGAATCCAATGGGTTCTGTGACACCAGCACACACACACACACACACACACACACACACACACGGGAATAAAATACATCTTCAAACAGAAATAATCCTGGATAATGGTGATTCAGCTGGAGTGTCAGTGTGTTCTTGCACCTGGCTGCATTCTCCGTAGGGATTTTCAGAAGCTTCCTGTCTTGTACATGCTACCCCCACTCCTACTGTCTTCTGTGGGCATCCATATAAACAAGTGCCTGTCAGGTGAAGCTGGCTCGTGTCTCCTGCCCATCCTTTCTATTTACTGCTCTGCATGGCCTACGGCTGTCATCCTTTGCAGCAGCGGCCTCCAGCTGTGAAGTGGGTCAGCTTCCTCAGATTTGCTGAGCCCAGTTTGTCCACTGTAACTGGGGCAGAAGCAGTTTTCTTGCAGATTCTCATATTAGAATTGATAGTTTCTGCCTCAGTTGTGTTTCGCTGAGGCAGCTGTGGCTTCTTTGCCTGCCGCTTCACTTGTAGCACGCACTCATCAATACCTTATGCCTTATTACCGTCAGGCAATATTGCAATGGATGAGTGTGCGTTTGTGTTTAACTCTCCATCAGCTGATGAGCATTTGCGCTCTTTCCATTCATAGACTACTAGAAATAACGCTGTTGTAAATCTTTGTACCATGCAAGGTTTGGTATGCATAGGTTTTCATTTCCCTGAGTATGGGGTTCCTGGGTCAGCTTGTAGGAATTGCCACACTATTTTCTAATGTAGAGTATCGTTTTATTTATGTGTGTGTGTGTGTGTGTGTGTGTGTGTGTGTATGTGTATATGCATATGCATATATGTATGGCTATGGGTGGAACTTCAGGGCCCAAACAAACAAGAAGAAATGCATTATGCATCTTGAGAACACACCCTTAAAGCATCAAAGGCTTAGGTTCCATGCCTGCATGTCTTGTGTGCTGTATCCCATTGCTGTAATCGAGAAGAGCATCTTTTTCCGTGCTTAGTTTCCTATCAGAAAGCTGTTTAAAGTTTTATCTCAGGATGGATATAGATAACAAATTTGAAAGTAAAACCGTTTGTTTTCCTTCGGCAACATCAGCTTTTAATCTTGGTTGTGAAATATAAATTGCAAGAAGAATAAAAAATGAGGGAGTTTATTAGTGGGTGGTTTTTCTTTTTAATCAAAATTGTAATAAGGGCGCATCATCCCCTTTAGAGGAGTCCTGGACCTCTGGAAAAGGGGCGATGATCCTACTGCCAGCATGCTACTGTCCGTGCTATGGATTGCCTGGGGCTGTGTCCAAACCAAACATTTTATGATTGGAAAGGTTCCTAAGAAATAATTTTCTCTTATCATTGTTTTCTGATAGCACTGATTTTTAACCCTTTTGAAAGATAGTGGTCTATACTTGTCTTTTCTAACAGTAATTTTATAGCATATTCATTGAAATGCCTTTTGGTTAAGGGGGTTCATTGAGTTTATGCTTTGTTACATATATCTGTAATTCTTATCTGAATTCTATGAAGACATATTTGTTTTACAGTTCAGTTTCTGTTTACTTTTGTGTACACATTTGCATGTGATTCCAAAGGAATCTTAGAAAAAAGAGTGCATTAGTTAGCCAGGAGTGGTGGCGCACACCTTTAATCCCAGCACTTGAGAGCAGAGGCAGGTGGATTTCTGTGAGTTCAAGTCCAGCTTAATCTATCTAGCAAGTTCCAGGCCATCCAGGGGCTACATAGTGAGTTAGTCTGTCACCCCACCCCCAGAATGAATGCACATGCGTGTACGTACACACCCACCCACACACAAACCCACATACACACGGTATAGTAGTTGTCTTTCTATTGCTGGGATAAAATACCATAACCAAAAGCAAATTTATAAAGGTCTTCTGTTGGCTCCAGAGGACATAGTCCATCATGTCGGGGAGGGTGTGGCAACAGCAGGTAAGGATTTCAGTTGGATCAAGGAAGCCAACTGCTTGTGTTTTCATCCTCCCTCACCCAGAAGAGTGGGGAGGGAAGAAGAAGAAGGAAAGAGAGCAGGAATGGGGCAAGGCTCCAAAACCTCAAAGCCTGCCCCCAGCGATGCATTTCATCCATTAGCCTTCACCTCCCAAAAGTTTCATAACCTCCCAAACAGTGCCACCAACTACATGATCTTATGGAGGGCATTTATAATTCAAACTACATCAGAAAGTTTCTTTCATGTATTATCTATGCCCCAACTGAATCTAAAACCGTATCCCATGATACAAGACATCAATAATTCCGAAAGAAAAATGAGTACTTATGCTAAATACTCATAAATAAGTATTTATGCTAAATAGTAAATGATGAATGCCATGTATTCTCAGGGCATAGTTTATAAATGCACACTATTTTAATTAAAATTTTTTATGTATGTGGTTGTTTTGCCTGCATGTATGTCTACGTTCCATATGCATGCCCTTGGAGACCAGAAGAGGGTGTTGGCCCCCTGAGACTGGAGTTCCCAACAGTCATGTGGGTTCTGGGAATGGAACCTGTGTCCTTTGGAAGTTCTCTAACTGCTGAACCATCTCTCCAACCCTTATTAAATGAATTTTTAATAAAATTTAAAAATATATACTCAGTTCTCAGAGTTATTGGACTTTCTGATAAGAAGCTAAGGGATAGTAGGCCCAAATGAATGCTTTTCCAAACTGAGGTAAAGCAGATGAAGAAAATAAAAACAAAGACAGTTGTCTTAGCTACTGTTCTATTGACCTGTGGGTCACCATGACCAAGGCCGCTTATAGAATAAAACATTTAATTGGCTCCCACCAGCCTTCCTTTGTTGAAACTGTCTGTCCCCTGTTCTTGTCTCAACACATCTATATTCGTGTTCCCTCCTCTTACCTTTGCCAGTTGGATTGAAATTTTTTTATGACCCCTAATTACTGCTCTTTAAATTTAACTAATCTCTGGACCCAAATCATGTTATTTGCTGATTTCCTTACTGTGTGTAAAGATAAAAAGAGAGAATTTTGAAAGGTCCAGCTTTTAACATTCCCTGTAGAGCTGACATAGGACTTTCTTTTTTTAAACCAAAACACTCAGGTAATTAGCATAAATGAATATTTAACGCAGATGTTTGTAATGACCTTGAGGCCTAGCAGATTTGTGTATTTTGTAATGTTTTGTTCTTAGATGCCAGTTTTCAAAGTACTAATAACCTCAACCAGAACATTGTATCCTTTGGACATGTTGGATAAGCATAAACTGTGCTGAACCTGGGTTTGTTGCCTTTAGTCCTAAGTCCATCCTTACCTGTATTCCTGTTTTATTTGTGGTGTGGCTCCTAATTACTGGAGCCGTAGCTGTGTCTACCTGCCTAGTCGTCTCATTAGCTCTCGGAGTCACTTTTAACCCACGTGTGAGCAGTAGCGCTCACTCTGGACAGCTAGAGTCGATGATAATTAATAATGATTCATCCTTTTGAAAACTTCCTTAGCTCTGTAAGAAGCATCATTTTGGAATTAACAAGCCGGAGAAGATTATACCATCTCCTGATGACTCCAAGTTTCTACTGAAGACATTGACGCACATCAAATCCAACGTGTCTGCTCCTAACAAAAAAAAAGTAAGAGTTTGACTGGCATGGGCTTTAAATCCATTTTTGATTAGTTATAAGTTGAGGGTAACTAGATGAATCTGGAAGCTTTCTGTTTTTAATCAGAAGAGCGTCGAGCTTGGGGGCTGTCCTTACTTGAAGGCTTGCGTTATCTGTAATCTTTCCATCTGACTCCGGTACTTACAGACTGACTTCTTACAGGTTAAGGAAAGTAAAGAGAAGGAGAAGTTGGAGAGGCGGTTACTTGAGGAGTTGCTGAAGATGTTCATGGACTCAGAGTCTTTCTATTATAGCTTGACCTATGACCTGACCAACTCCGTGCAGAGGCAGAGCACCAGGGAGAGCGATGGCCGTCCCCTCTGGAAGAAGGTACAGCGCAGGCAGTGTTGGCTCCTGGATCTCTGCCTATTTGCCTCTTGTAGGAAACTGAAGTCATGTGTGCTGAGCTGATTCTTCCCTTCCGCTTCTTCTAGGTTGATGACCGATTCTTTTGGAATAAGTACATGATCCAAGATCTCACTGAGATTGGTGTGAGTAGATGCTTCTAGAATCCCCTGTTAGTTGCTGTTGTTAAGCAAATGTCCCTATATCAAGATGGATTTTGAAATCTTATTAGGGTGTTTCCACCCACTGAAGAGGAGCATTTATCAAGAGAAAAGTGAGGACACTGCTTTCAGGCATGTTCCAGCGGCACCGCCTCTGCAGACAGCCTGGCTGACAGCAGTTATTTACCTAAGTGTGGTGTCACACACCTGTAATCCCAGCACTTGGGAGGCTGACGTGAGAGGCTTGTCCCAATTCCATACTAGGCTATACAGCCAGAAAAAGAGGGCTCCAGAAAAAGAGGGTGGGGGGTAATAAGCCCAGGAACCCCAAAATATCTTCAGAGTTCCTGAAAAGATGCGTGTTTGTTTGTTTGTTTGTTTGTGTTTACATCCATTGGGAATGCAGAGTCTTGCTTTTCCGTTATGATACCACTCTGGTTTATCTTCTGGTCGTGGTGTCGATGGATCTTTAAGGCCCGACCAGGACTCCCAGGGTTTTATCGTGAGAGGTATTTGGGGAAACCACAGGATATGGTGAGATGGTTGCATGGAGCTCTCTCTGGTTTGTTTATATTTGTTTACATATTTTATTGGTGTGTGCATGCGTGTGTGCGGCACGCACTTGCCATGACATGTGTGGAGGTCAGAGAGCAGCTATCTGGAGCTGGGCCTCTCTCTTCACTGTGGGACCCTGGAATTGAACTCAGGACCTTGTACTTGCTTGGCAGTGTTTCACCTGCTGGGCCACCTTGCCTGTTCTCTTTCTGATTCAATGGCTCCTTTCTTTGTTTCCTTTGTGCAGAAATACTGGAGTATAGTTACTTTTGGTCACTGTGAGAAGGATGTATGAGATGGGCAGACTAAAGGGAATCAGGGTTGATTCTGATGATGATTTCAGAGAGTTCAGTGCTGCGCACCGCACCCCCATGTCTGCACTCTGTGCGCTGGCACCCAGTTTGCGAGCTTCGGGCAAGGGGCTGGAGGTTAAAATACACAGGCACACACACAGACAGAGAGACAGCCACACGAGTCATCCTTGAATTCCCCAAGAATGCCCCCTTTATTGTGTTCAGGGGCAGATTATATAGAGATAGCCACTCCCCAGCCAAACCCATCAGAAACCACTCTCCTGCCATCAGGAACTCCTGAAGGTCTCGTGCTCAGAGCTCTAGACAAAAGCAATGGAGCATGGTCCTCTGTTGTTTCTTCTTAGCCTTTCAGTTGTTTTCTTTCCTCCCGTTTCCTCCTCACTGTTGATTCCTAACAGTTACTGACATTTTATGCAGTGGCATCTCTAGACAGATGCCTAGCTTGTCTCTACTGAGGTTGAGGCATGGGTTGTTCTTAGCGCTCTGATACGGTGTTGGTAATGAGTGTTTGTCTCTATGTGGGCAGTGGGGAATTCCAGTGTTTGTAGAGCTTTTGCCAGACATTTGCACATTATTGTTTAAAGCTTGTGTCTAGGATAAAGGTGACAGTTGGCAACATATGTTTCTATGTTCCCATGTTCCCGTCAAGGATCTTGGATTTATTGCTAGAGCAAAAGTACAAGTAGTGAGGATGGTGGTGAAAATGATGAATGCAGGCCAGTCTTTCACCTCATTGCTTCCCCTGACCCTCTGAAGAGCCAATAGAGACCACAAAGCTGAATGAAGCTGTGACACAGCCCCCGAAGAGCGTAGTGGCAGAAGGAAAGGGAGGTTTGAAACTGATGCTGCAAAGTGGGTATGGCGGGGCATGTCTGGAATCCCAGCACTCTGGAAGCTAAGACAGGAGGACTGAGTCCAGTTCAATTTGGGCTACACAGGGAAACCCTATCTCAAAACAAACAATTTTTTGAATATTCATTTTATTTCATTATTATTTTGACATTGTGTGTGTGTGTGTGTTCTTGAGTATACTTGAGTGGAGGTCAGAATACAACCTCAGATGTCATTTCTCAGGCACCTGGTTTATTTAGAAACAAGGTCTCTCACTGGTCTGGAGTGCAGCAAGTAGGCCCAGGCTTGCTGACCAGTGAGCCCCAGGGAGCCACTTTCTCCACCTCCCCAGTGCTAGGATTCCAAGGATATACCCCATGCCTGGCTTACCTTAACCAGCGGCTCTTTACTGACTGGTCTCCTGGGTCTTACTCTTGTGTTCCTGAGACGGATCTCGTGTAGCCCAGACTGGCTTCAGACCTAACATGTAGTGAGACTGGCACTGAACTTCTGATCGTGTCTGCGGTTTAAAATCGGAGTGCCTTTAGTTTGAAAGACACAGGAGAAGGAAGCTCTGACTTTGAACAGAGCCCTCCTGGTTCTGTTAGAGAACATTTCAAGTGAGACATTTATGGAAATGCTTTTTATCGTTCATTTCCTGTTGGAATTTTAAGCTGGTGGCACTCGTGCTTCTCCGCAGCAGGATGTGAAGTAGAGCTGGGGCTGAGGGAGAGCCGGCTGTGGAGCTTCATCTCACCTGTGCATGAGGCTCTGGGTTTGATCCCAGCGCCACAAATGACAACGAGAAAACTGAGCGTGGTAGCACATGCCTGCCATCCCAGTGCTTGGGAGTCCGAGGCAAGGGAATCTCCTAAGGTTCCAAGCCTGACTGAGCTGCAGAGAGAAGCCCCCTCACAAACAAAAGATGCAGGGGTCTGGAGAGATGGCTCAGTGGTTAAAAGCACTGCGTGCTCTTGAAGAGGGTCTAGCTATGGTTACCAGCACCTGCTAGATGGCTCATCATCCCCTGTAACTGGAGTTACAGGGGATCTGACACCCTCTTTGGGCCTTTGCAGGTGCTATATAAACCCCATGCACATACAGACAAACAGGCATATACACATGAAAATAAACAAGTAGTTTTTTTAATTTTTTTAAAGCCAACTGTGTGCTTTGTAATGAAATGGTCAGGATTGGTTCCATTTTGGTATAGGATGCAAGTGAGGATTGGACATCAACTTAAATGCTTTGCTTTCCTCGACTAAGAGCTGCATTTGTTGACTGCTCTAGGAAGACCCTGTGCCTTATTTACATGCACTGTTCATTATTCACAACAGCCCTAGGAGGCAGTAGTAGTCCCATTTCACAGAGGAAGATACTGAGGCCTAGTGAGGTGAGCGAGAGTCTGTCAGTGAGTTTGTGGGTGGTGGAGCTTGAACTTGTACGGAAGTCTGGCACCTGTGCTGTGTTCCCTGTTAATCAGCTCTTAGGAAAACTGTTGTAAAGAGAAGGGAAGGCCCTTTGGCTCTCACCCTAGTGTCCAGTAAGTAGAAAATGGGGCTGAGAAAGGGCTTATGCTTGTAGCAAGCTGAGGGCAGTATGTGTTGACTGTCACTTGGGTTTGAGCATGTAGCGGTGTTGTGTGGAATATGAACAACATGCCATTTATTTCCATTCTAGACTCCGGATGTGGACTTTTGGATCATCCCCATTATCCAGGGTTTTGTGCAGATTGAAGAACTTGTGGTTAATTACAGCGAGTCATCTGATGACGAGAAGAGCAGCCCAGAGACCCCCCTTCAGGAGCCCACCTGTGTGGATGACGTCCACCCACGGTTTCTGGTGGCGCTCATATCTCGCAGGAGTCGGCACAGAGCCGGTGAGTGGGGGGGCTGCTGTAAGACACACAGATCACACGCACACGAGCTGTGTTGAGTGCCAATAACAATCTTGGTCTTGCAAGCACAGTGAGCTCCAAACTCCAAATGCCGTGATGCAATTAGAGCCTGGTGTCTGCAGTCGAGGGGCGGGAAGAGTGAGTAAAGCAGACAGAATGGTGGCTGCATGCAGAAGATAAGAAAGTCACTTGGTGTGTCTGAGTACAGGGTTCCAGCTGAAAGCCTGTGCCACAGTGATAAAGCCTTCCAGGGCTAACCCCTTTGGGAAAACCATTGCCTTTCACCCAAAGGGTTCAGCTCAACAATGATGGGCACAGTTGTGGTCTTGTGTATGTTGTTGTTTACCTGCCAGCTGTGTCTAGGCTTTCCTGTAGACGGTCAGTTAGGAAGCCTAATCTAGTCAGACTAAGTGCAGGGGTTGGTTTGGTTTGGTTCTGAGAGTTTTTCTGTATAGTTTAAGCTGGCCTCGAGCTTGCAGTCCTCTTGCCTCAGCCTCCAGAGCATTGAACTATCAAGCATGCGCTGCAGCTTGGCACCAAACCAAGCTAAACACATTTTTATAACTGTTGCTGCTTTCTGTTTAATTTTCCTTCAGGAATGCGCTATAAACGAAGAGGAGTGGATAAAAATGGAAATGTTGCAAATTATGTGGAGACTGAGCAGTTAATTCATGTTCATAACCATACTCTGTCATTCATTCAAACTCGAGGCTCTGTGCCGGTCTTTTGGAGCCAGGTTGGGTATCGCTATAATCCAAGACCTCGACTGGACAAAAGTAAGCATACCAATTATTTGGTTTGCAAATAAAGGTTTCTATGAGAATTTTTTTTTTGATTTTTTTTGAGACAGGGTTTTTCCTTCTATGAGAATTTTTAAAATAAAAATTGGGTGCCAGATTTTTTTAGGTTTGAATTTGTTTCATATCAAAACAATAATTCCCAGGGCTGGGGTACACAGCTGAGGTATGGTTTCCTGACCAGCCTGCTGGAGGCCCTGTTCAATACCCTGTGCTAAAACCAACAGCGACAAAAGCCACGCCTCTCACTGTGACGTTGTGTCCTCCCAGGTGACAGAGGTGAGGCGGTAGACACTGGACTGAGTCCTTACTGACTGTTGCAGTTTCTCTGGCTCTGCAGGAAAGCTCCTCACTTCCCATTCTGACCTGCTGTTGCCTTGCCACTTATCCTCCCGCACAGTTAGCTTCGGAAGGATGATTGTAGCCAGTGTCTGCAGAAGTGGGGCCTGTGCTCGCCAAAGGGCAGTATGCAGGAAGTCAGTGAGAGAGGTACCTTGTCAAGTGGCTCTTCCGAAAACGTTAAAAAATTATTTTGAAACATTTAAATTTTAATTCCTTAGAATATTTTAACTTTAGTATCAAATGTCATCTTTTATTTTATCTTTTATGTCACGTGAAACCTTTACTGAAAGGTAGGGTGTGCGTGAGTGCACATACGTGTGCCTGCCACGTGCGTGTTTATAATTTCACAGATGGCACTTACTGATGCAGTTTAGCTCAGTCTAACTGGAAATGATGGTTAGGCAGTCTGACATTTAAACTGCCAGTAACTGATGAAAAAGTCAGTGTAAAGATGGAGTGGGCCCTCGTCTGTCACAGCTCTCGGAGGAGAACTGCATCTCGTGTTGCTTCTTTGCAGGTGAGAAGGAAACGGTTGACTGTTTCTGTGCCCATTTTGAAGAACAGCTGAAAATTTACAAAAAACAGGTGGGCTTTGATTTGTAGTAAGAAAAATTTCCTTATATGTAGAATTAAAACCCAATGTACTGTTCGTAACTAAACAGTCACATTTAGCGCGAAGGTTAAGCACGCTAAGCTAAGGATACTCTTACTGTTCCTAGGAATGACGGTGGCGCCTGCTGCTTTGGGTTGTTTGGAGGAGGCAGATTAGATGCTGTCGGCCGTTGCAGACTAAGCTAGGCATCTCAGTGCCGTGCCCTGCTGGAGGGATGGTTGACTTATGTCTTCCTGCATTTCTCTTCTCTGTCCACACGCTCACACGTGGACATGCAATCCAGTCAAGCAGAATGGCTTGAAAAGCACTACCTGGAAAACAAGTTCAATAATTTTGATACATGATTAAGATATGAAAGTCAGTAATGCTCTTGTCTATTAGGGATGACCAATCTGACTGTGTAATGACATGGGAACCATTTTAAAAGGCCAGCCTGGTCTACATACAGAGTTCCAGGCCAGCTAGCCAGGCAATATAGTGAGATCTTGTCTCAAAGAAAAAAGCAAACCAACAACAAACAAACAAACAAACTCAGGAAAGCAGAATACCGCATGAAAGGAGAGAAAATCCGGAGTTCCCGGGTTCATGAATGACTTCAGCTCTTCCCAAGTTAGTGTTTAGATTTCATGTAGTTTCAACCATAGTCTCATAGGGAGTAGGAAGAAAAAATAGAAAGGAACAAACAATTATTATTTAATGATCACATAAAAATTTAGAAGGTTTTATAATAGTTAAAGGCAAGTGTTTGCTTTTATAATGAAAATTCAAATATTGTTAGCAGCAACATAAGTTGGCATAGGCATTTTGAATGTTATTATTAATTAAAATAAAATATGCGGATATATATAACTGTACTTTTCTTTTTGATACCCACTGCCCATTTAACATACATAAGAACAGTGTTGAGAAAGGTCTGGGTCTGGATGTGAAAGGTTAAGCACTGAAGATTTCGGGGGACAGCATAATGTCTTTGACTTTAAGTCATAAGCAGGATTTACAAAAGCCGTTACCTTATCTTTCTGTGTTTCGATGTATGATTGTCTATCACATTTTATTTGTCATTTAATAAAGGGCAATGCCCATCGAGGAAACAGTTATTTTGGGGTTGGAGAGATGCCTCAGTGATGAAGAGAGTGTACTGCTCTGCAGAGGACCTGGGTGTGGGTCCCAGCACCCACATCAGATGGCTCACAACCTGTGATTCCCCCTCCAAGAGAGAGCTGACATCTCTGAGCTCCCTGTGCAGTTGTGCTCACATGCACAAGCCCCACACAAACATACACAAGCACACATAATGTAGGAAGAAAGAGAAAGAAAGGAAGACATGTGGTAGCACACACTTTCAATGCCAGCACTCAGGAGCCAAAGGCAAGAGGATCTCAGTGAGTTTGAGGCCAGCCCGGTCTATAATAGTGAGTTCCAGTACTAAATAGCGAAACCTTGTCTCAATAAACAAAACAAAACCAGAAATAATTGTTAAAAAAATAAAAGTAACGACTGGGGAGATGGCTCCCTGGGTAAAGTACACGATGCACAGGTATGACATGGAGCTGGGCGTGATCCCCAGAGCTCACGTGCAGCCAGGCACAGTGCCAAGTGTCTGTAGTCTCTGTAACATCCGTGTGACACATGGATTCATGTAGGCAAAACACACATAAAGTAAATCTTTAATGGTTAGGATTTGGTCTTATATCTTACAGTGTGTTTAAGTGTCTTCTAGACCCATTAATGACGTACATTCCAAAAGAAAGCTGGACAAAAGAATTGAACAGAATCTATGTAAAAGGATAGTTTACAAAGTCATAAAAGCACATGAGAGGTGCGTCAGCTCACTAGTCATCCGGGAAATGCAAATTAAAACCATGACTCACACACTGCAGTGACTGAAGGAATAAAGATGAGAAACATCAAATTTGGGAAAGGATGGAGGCAATTAGCACTTCAATAGGAAAACAAGTCTACAAATGTGTTCCGTCGAGGGTGCTTATGCAAGAACACTCGCTGTGGCCTCAGAACACGGCGCATTCAGGGAGGCATGTGGGATCAGATGTGGTCAGGAATGATTGGTCTCACTCTGCATTTGAGTCCCTTGATAGTGTTAGTTGATTCATGCGTGAGTCATAGTCCTAATTGTAAGTAGCATTAAAAAGAATAAACCACATTTCAAAGTAACACAAAATTGAGAAAAGGAGCAATACTGAGGTGTGCAAGCCGAGGGAACAATGTCTTCCCACACTCGTTCTCTGCTTCCTGTTGACTCTGACATCGATTTCTAGGTGTGTGTACTGAGCAGACACTTCCTGGTTTCCAGCAGTAGCCTGGCAGTGTTTATTTATCTGTGTCCCTCTGGGTAATTGCTCTGTGGGGTGAAGGGCCCAGGGTCAGTGTGACTCAGCCGTGGTGGCAGCATTGCTCTTGCCTGTGACTGGTTTGGGCTGGGACTGTTTGACAGCAATGTATGGTATGGGCAGAGCTTCCTGCTCTTCTAATAAAAGGTATCCCAGGACCTGCAGTGCCCAGCAGTTGTCGTGTCTGGATTTGATGGAGGACTCTTACAGCTGTATCAGGACTGTGAATGAACCGGCAGGATGTTTATCCAGTGTGCTGCTAGGGAAGAAACAATGGAGAGAGTGGCACAATAGTGAAGGTGGAAAGAGCCAGTGCCCAGGGGCTTCTGGGATCCCTGAATTCAGCTCTACTGCTTCCGGACTCTTCTGAGATTTGAGTCGGTGGTTTATTTTTTGTAGCAAGAATTACCTGACACCAGCACATTCACAATGGAAGCACGGTCACAAAGAACTCTGTGTGTATTCTGTTCTGCAGTGGTTTTATTTTATTTAAGATCTCTGGCTGCCAGCCTTTTCCCCATTGACGGACCTTCAGGAAATACTAGTACTTTTTGCTATTGCAAGAAATCATCAAGCTGGGAATGGTGGTGCATGTCTGTAATCCCAGAACCTGGGAGGTTGTAGAGGGGATTCCAAGGTTTAGTTCAGCCTAGGCTACTCAGCAAGTTCAAGGTCTGGACTACTTAAAAATTCAGTTTGAAAAAAAATAGTAAGTTGGGTGTGGTGACACACTTGTTTAATCCATCACTCCAGAGGCAGAGGCAGGTGGATCTCTCTGAGTATGAGGTCAACTTGGTCTACATAGCACGTTGCAGGACAGCCAGTACTACATAGTGAGACCCTTTCTCAAAAGAAAAGAAAAAAGGGAAAGAAAAGGGAAGAAAAACAAAATCAGCTGAACGAGAATGGAGAACTGGCAAGATGTCCCAGAAGGCTGTCTAGAGCCCATGTACAGTGGAAGGAGAGAACAGTCCACAAAGCTGCTTTCTTAACTCCCCCCACCCAGCACCTCGACATGTGCATGCCCCCTAATATTAAATAGTAATAGTAAATATAAGAAAACATCTTTCATGCTTATTTAGGGTACTTGTTTCTACACAATACATTTGTGAAAGCAAACTTGTTGAATTAAACAGTATATACATTTGAAGTTGATATTTACCATTCAGTTGCTTTCAGAGATACCACACCAGAGCCAGTGAAAGTCCACAGAGTTGCCTTCTGATCCCTGCCTTGTGCACTACGATGTATGTACCCATCCACTCATCCAACATAAACAATAGTAAATTAAAAACGTTTTTAAGAGGTCGTACAACTTATACTCCCAGAAACAGTGTTTCTATTTTCCTGTGTTCACCAATGCTTTCTGTGTTTAGTATTTAAATTTACTTGTATGTAGGTAAAAACTTTTATATCTTAACATGTGCATTTGGCTGTTAACAGGACTATAGTATCAAGCTTACTGTTTTGTTTACTGAATTTACCCAGATTTTTTCTTATTCTATTTATGGTACTCTATAAATTGTTGATTTTGTGTGGTAGTTTCTCATGAGAGTTCCTTGGTTTTTGTTTTTTGTTTCTTGGGTTTTTTTTTTTTGACCCTTGCTTATAATGTCACTTGTACATAGATTTAAATTTTTCTGTTATCACATCTCTATTTTTCTTTGTCTTCTAAATTTTATATTATGCTTAGAAGGTCATGCTCCCACCTACAGCTGTGAAAAATTACTCTTTTTAAAATATAACTTGAAGAAAAACATGCAGGTCATTGATGCATCTAGAATTTGTTTTGTGTTTCACTAAAAAGATGTAGGGTGCTACTGTAATTCTCTTTTCCTTATGGACAGTTTTCCCAGTGCCCCTGGCATAGTCTTGTGTGCTTGTCCCCGGTGGTGTGCTTAGTATACCCGTCACTGCTCCGTGGACTCAGGTCTTTGGCCGCCAGCCTGTTCTCTTGAGTTGTTTGTGTGTTTTGTTCTACAGGCTTGTCTGCTATGTAGTATACATAGAATTGCTCCAAATGGGGAAAATTCCTCTGCGTTTATTGCTTTCCAAATTTTTCCCCCAAATATTTACTCTTTCAGATGAACTTTAGAATTAACTTGTCTTGCCTATGGAAAGATTCTGGTTGAATTTTGATTGGGATTGTTGAAGATATAGATTAATCTAGGGAGACTTGACATCTTTGCAATATTGTACCTTGAGATTCAGCAACATGGTAGATATTTCCATCTGTTCAGGTTTTCTTTTACATATTTCAGTAGTTTTCCAATGTTTAGTTTGTAGATTTTTTTTAAAAAAGTTATTCTGCCTATTTAAAATACCTACTGTTTGGGCTGAAGAGATGGAGGTCCAGAAGGATCCAAGTCAGTTCCCAGCACCCAAATAAGGCAGCTCACAGCTGCCTGTAACTCCAATTCTAGGGAGATCTGATGCTTTGAGCCCCTGGAAGTGTAAACACACACATATACACATGATAAAAAAACACTTTAAAAAATATTAAGAAACATGTTTTACTATGTGTTTTTGTTGGTTAGTGCAAATATATAGATCGATCACCATTGATGTCAATAGTTCTTATAAAACTAAATTTATATAGCAAATAATTTTACGGGAAAATTGATGCTTGAGTGGATTGATTTCTAAGCACAACTAGAAGATATTTGCTAACTGTAATTCCACATTACGATTCTGAGGTGTAGCTGGCCTTAGCTTTTTCTCGCCCTTCGTTCTCACAGGTTATTATTAACCTGGTCGACCAGGCTGGACGGGAGAAGATTATTGGCGATGCTTACCTGAAGCAGGTGCTGCTCTTCAACAACTCACAGCTCACCTATGTCTCCTTTGACTTCCACGAGCACTGGTAAGGCGTCTTCCTGGGAGGCTGCTATTGCTAAAGGGACGTCCTTCTCTGCTCAGAAGGGAAAGGTGTAATGTTCACTTGCTGCTACGTGTTTGTGATGAGGCCTTTGAGGAAACTGTTGCTGAAGTATTTACAATCTTTCTGTTCCGAATCCTATGGAGAACTCAAGTTCTGGTTTTGGCTTTGATCATTCATAGCAGAGGTGGTAGAATGTCGTTATCCTGTTGGCTGTCTTCACCAGGAGCAGTGCTCCTGTCCCTCTAGATAAACTCCTGTTGTGCTTGATTGATCAGCAGGAAGTGAGTTCTGTTACTGACACCCTCAATTGACCTGTATTCTGAGAGCAGGGGCTTTCGCTGCAGTCCCCTTCTGCCTGGGAGTTTACCTGGGTTGGAAAGAGTTGTAGGGAAAGAGGCGTCTGTGCGGACTGCTTCAACTCATCTGTGTTTGTACTTATGCCTTCAAGTGCAGGTTTGCTGTAGAATTCCCTAGTATACGGTAGTACTGAAATCATGTATATGTGGTGACAGTTCTTTTTAAGATTTTTGAGCCACTTTAAAGATCCTAAGAGGCTGGCAAGATGCCTCAGGATAAAGATGCCTGCTGCCAAGCCTGTTGACCTGAATTTGATCCCTAAAATCTATATGGTAAAGAGAACCAACTCCTGAAAGTTGTCCTCTGACCTCCTCTTGTGCACACCATTGCATGTGTGCCCCACATCCCAAGCATGCACACACACAGAATAGGTAAATAAAAATGTGATTTAAATATAAAATCTAATATCTTAAGGGTTTTTGGGTTTTTGTTTTTTGAGATAGAGTCTCACTGGATAGTCCAGGCTAGCCTCAAACTCACAGAGCTGTCTCTGCCTCTCGAATTCTGGGACTAAAGGTGTGCGCCACCATTCTCAGCTTTTGTTTGTTTTAATGCCCCTGGGGATTGGCACCTATGCATGCTAGGCAATTGCTCTACCACTAAGCTACACCCTCATCCCCTTTTAGCCTAAGTAAATTAAAAAATAAGTCTGTTATAATACTAAAGACTGGTTTTGTTTGTTTTTTGGGAAATGTGTTTTAGCCGAGGAATGAAGTTTGAGAATGTTCAGATCCTGACGAATGCCATTTACGACATTATTCTTGACATGAAGTGGTGTTGGTATGTATCTGTACTTGTTTTCCTGTACCTGTGGAGAGACACTGTGACCAAGGCAACTTATTAAAAAAATTTAATTTGGGGTTCTTGCTTCCAGAGGGTTAGAGCCCATGACCATCATGGCAGGGAGTATGGCAGCAGGCAGAGGAGCAGGCATGACATGATGATAGGATAGTAGCTGAGAGCTTACATCAGAGCCACAGACACAAGGCAGAGGGCAGCTAACTGGGGATGGCTTGGGCTTTTGAAACCTTAAAGCCCACCTAGTGACATACCTCTTTCAATAAGGCCACCTCCTCAGCCTTCCCAAATAGTTCCACTTCCTGGGAACCAGACACTCAGATATATGAGCCTGTGGGTCCATTCTTGTTCAGACCAGCACAGTATTTCATAAAAAGTTGTTTTGAGCTTGCTCTGTGAAGTCGTGTGTTCATCTAGGACAACTGAAACATGGTTATGCTGACAGTTCAGTCTCCTTCCTTTTCTGAGTGCCACCAGTAGACTAGGAAGTGCTCTCCGTGAATGGGGAACACTTCAGATGGTTGGGAAATGACGTGGAGTGTCGCCACTGCATTTAAAGGTCTTAAGCTTGTCCCTCTCGTTTTCTGTGGCTTCCATTTTGTCTTCCTCTTTGGCCATTTCTCGTATGGGAAGGAAAGCTTAAAGGCATTCAGTTTTTAGGCAAAAGTGAAAGAAGGAAAAGATGCCCAGACTCCAGGAGGTAGGTGTAAGGAGGGGGAACAAGGTTTTAAAGGCCAGGAGAGAAGAGCTGAGTAGACGTTAAGCCTACATGCACGGGTGGCCTGAGAACTTAGAGGGCAGAGACTTACTGCATGACTCCATGGCAGGTGGAGAAGCCGCTTAGTGTGTTTTAGATAGTTCCACTTGGACTTAGAAAGGGAGGAACAAGACGGGCTTTAAAAGCCTCCTGGTTTATAACCACCTACAAATGTGGTCACGGCAGCTCTGCCATCTTTAGAGGGAGGGGAGTCGCTTGTTCTCTTGGTTCCTCCTGTCTTGCTTTTGAGTTTTCAGATGGGTGTAGCAATACCTCACCGCCAGGGTGTTCTGCACCTCAGCAGTGGAGTCTGCAGAGCACGCCTGCAGTATACGGCTCTGCTTGCGCCGTTGCCAGCTAGTGCTGCTGCTGTTGCATGTTTTTAAGAGCTGTGTTTCTTGAAAACCTTTTGGAGTTGTAAATTAATCCCATGCTTCTTTTAAAGGGTCGATCAAGCTGGGGTAATATGTAAGCAAGAAGGAATTTTCCGAGTCAATTGCATGGACTGCCTAGATCGCACCAACGTGGTCCAAGCTGCCATTGCGCGAGTGGTCATGGAGCATCAGGTAATCTGGAGTCCCTTTGATTCCAAATGTTCACCTTAAAATAGTTTGCGCTTCGTGCATGAGTAAGTAGTGCAACATCGTTTTGAAGTTCAAATGTTTTGTGGAACATTTTTTAGCATGCGAATATTTGTCTTGCATAAAAACCTGGAAAATAAGCTGGGCGGTGGTGGCGCACGCCTTTAATCCCAGCACTCGGGAGGCAGAGGCAGGCGGATCTCTGTGAGTTCGAGACCAACCTGGTCTACAAGAGCTAGTTCCAGGACAGGCTCCAAAACCACAGAGAAACCCTGTCTCGAAAAACCAAAAAAAAAACAAAACAAAACAAAAAAAAACCCTGGAAAATATAACTTAGTAGAAGTAGATGTAGTGGCATTTTCTTAAATACTCAACTTGCAAATGTTTTAAATCTGTTTGGGGTATTATGTAGTTGTTTGGGTTTTTTTTTCTCCATTTTTCGCTGAGCTCAAACCCACTTTTTTGTATTTTGGGCTGTGATTTTGTGTTTGGCCAGCACTGGCAGGATGGTAGGGTGGGGCTGGTGGAGGATGGGAACAGGCAAAATATAATAGTAGTAGTAGCCTATACATTAAAAAAATTACAACAGTGTAAACATTTAGTTATATTTATTCAGTTATAGTAATTGGTAGTAATACTTCATTTAATAATAATTGTTTTTGAAACGGGGTCTCAGTATGTACCTCCGGCTGTCCTGGAATCTACAGAGATCCTCCTGCCTCTGCCTCTGAGTACTGAGATTAAAGGTGTGTGCCACCATATCTGCCAGGAGTTTAGTTTTTAAGAAATGAGCTGTCATCCCAGCACTCATGAGCCTGAGTCCAGAGAATTCAGAACTCTAGGCAAGCCTGGGCTACATAGCAAGACTGTCTTAAAAATAGAGTCTGGGGCTGGAGAGATGGCTCAGAGGTTAAGAGCATTGCCTGCTCTTCCAGAGGTCCTGAGTTCAATTCCCAGCAACCACATGGTGGCTCACAGCCATCTGTAATGGGGTCTAGTGCCCTTTCTGGCCTGCAGGCATACACACAGACAGAACATTGTATACATAATAAATAAATAAATATTAAAAAAATAAAAAATAAAGTCTGAGGGAACCAGTGAGGTGCTCGGTGGGTAAAGTACTTGCCACCAAGCCTGAAAATGTGAGTTTGCTCTCTGGGACACACATGGTGGAAGGGAGTACCAGCTCCCAAAAGTTGTCCTCTGACTGCCCAGTGTTCTTATAACATGAACACCCCCTGCACACACACACCTATAGTTAAGGAAATAAAGTCTGAAAACACTTCTTTTATAGAGGAACCTAAACTATATGGCAGCTCGTCTTCTTTCTCTGTAGAATACATTTCCTGCTCTAGTTTCTCATTCATCATCTACCCACCATTGTGTTTATTTTAGCTCAAAAAACTCGGTGTGATGCCCCCAGAACAGCCACTCCCTGCGAAATGCAATCGGATCTACCAGATAATGTGGGCTAACAATGGTGACTCTATCAGCAGACAGTATGCCGGGACAGCTGCTCTGAAGGTAACTATGGTGGGCATTGGGATCATTTTATCTGAGGTTCTAAATCAATCTTGCTTTTGATTAAAAGGTATCTGGGCTCAGATGATGGGTCTGTTACTTGATTTCTTTCTGGATTGTCCGACTATTACAGGAGCCCACCGTTAGATCAGGGCGTAGTGGCCTGTGTGGACATGATGGGAGTGTACTGTCCCTGGAGAAGATTGTCCTTTCTGAGGCCCCACGTTGCTACATCTTCCAGTTTTTCAAAGGAATCTGGAAATATGAAATTTTTATTTTATTTTGAGACAGGGCCTTACTATGTAGCCCTGACTGTCCTCGAATTCACTACGTGGTCCTAGCCATCCTCAAACAGAGATCCTCCTGTTTCTGCCTCCCTGTGTACCACCATGCCTGGCCGTGCATTCATATTAAAGCTGCACACAAATAAGACATGCCTACTGGGACCTGACCTATCCTGGGATACTTTTGTCTGCTTTCAGTGTGAATCTTAATCTTGCCTCTTATAAAGTATGACCGTGGACAAGACACCTGTTCGGTTCTGCTAGTTGTCCAGTGGAGATAATGGGCCCACTGAGACAGACTGTTATAGGGTATGCGGGCTTGGACTGTTCCCTGACACAGTATGTGCTGAAGGCATGCTGTCTTGGTTTTTGTTTAATGGGTTGAGTGTTTTGAAGAGCCTACAGAACTGTTCTTCATAGAACCTTCAATGTAAATACAGTTGCTGGCAACTGAATTCTCAACATGTGGATACTCTTCATGGGCAGTAGAAAGTGGCTGAGTGTTTAAATTAGGTTTATGTTGATTTTCCTCGAAGCTACTATTTCATCTAGGACCATATCTCTTCTAACAAAATGTAGCTTGTTTGGTGGAGCACTGGCCCAGAATGTGTGAGGCCCAGAGCTGATTCCTAGCAAAACCCAAGCAAAGTAACTCGGACCAAGGACACAATAGACATCTGCTTCTGTGGGTTCTGGTTAAGTAATAAATATAAAAACTTGTCCTATTTTTATGACAGTTCCTCTATGTAGGCCATATGGTACTGTACACCCTCAGCTGGAATTACAAAAGTGAGCCATCTCATCTGGCTCCATGTATGTATGTGTGACTTTATGTGCATCATATACATTTAGGCACCCGAGGAAGCCATAGAATGTCAGATCCCTAGTCCTGGAGTTACAAGCAGTTGTGAGCCACCTGAATTAGGTGTTAGGAACTAAACCCAGGCCCCCCACAAGAGCAGCAAATCCTAACTACTAAACCAGCCCCCAGAAAACATTTTTAATAATTAAGGAAAATGAGCTTTAGAATTCCTTATCCAGGCGCTACCTCCTTTTCTTCCTTTGAGTTAGAATGCTGTGGATTCCACATGCATGCCTTGCTATCTGTATGTGATATTGTTCTAAGATTTCTGGAAAGTGGGCAGCTTGTTGGCAGGATGTTCTTCCTAAACTGTCAGTTTTAGGATATGGCCTGTGTCCTAAACTTGCTGTGAAGAGACACCATGGCCAAGGCAATTCTTATAAAAGGAAGTATTTACTGGGGCCTGGCTTAAAGTTTCAGAGGATTGTTCTGTTACCGTCCTGGCAGGAAGCATGGCAGCAGGCAAGGCAGGCATGGTGCTGGAGAAGTAGCTGAGAGCTATGTCCTGATCTGCAGGCAGAGAGAGACTGGGGCGTGGGCTTTTGAAACTCAAAACCCACTCTGAGTGACACTTTCTCCAACAAGGTTGGAGAAGCGCACCTGTTTCTGAGACTGTCTTGTATAAAAACAGTGGGCTGGAGCAGGGAAAGCGGCGGACCTTCTTTATCTGTGAATAGCTCTAAGTCACCACCCCTCTATTCATGGGTATGGTGGTGCGAGCCCGTGATTCTAGCTTTTGGGATGTGGAAACAGGAGGATCAAGAGTACAAGGTCACTCTTGGCTACAGAGTAAGGCCAGTCTGGGCTACTGGGGCTGTCTAAAATCTCCTCCTCTCCCCTTAAAATTTTAGTTTTGATTTTATACCAGTATGAGCCTTGAAAAATATGTTTTTGTCTTTTTAGTATTTGTCAAATAATTGTTTTCTATTTAGAAATTTCTTTCTACAAGTTTCCAGGAATGGCTTTGCCCTAAAGGGGCCATCTAACTGAACATTTGATTCCATGAATAAATATTGCATATAGATATTTGGCCTGTGTAGATCAGAGTCAATTGCTACTACATATTTTAAATTAACTACAATTTAATTTAAGACTTTTATAACTTGGAAGCCTATAGAGTTCTTGTCTTGAACTGAAAGTCTCAAAGAAATTTTGAGAACATTCTCAAATCTGAATAAATTTCCACAATTGCCTTTTCTTTGATAGGGTGACTTTACAAGAACAGGAGAAAGGAAGTTGGCTGGAGTTATGAAAGATGGAGTTAACTCTGCAAATAGGTACTACCTCAGTCGATTCAAGGATGCCTACAGGCAAGCTGTCATAGGTAAGAACAGAAATGTCCTCTTTCTGTAAGACTGGTAGTTCCTTCTGGGAGTTCTATTTGGCAGAATTCAGCTTCTTGCCTTTATTATGTTTTGAAATGTACTTGTGTTTCTACACTGAGCACCTTACCTAACATATCAAGTTCAAATTTTCCCAGGCTTAGCACTTGACAAATGCTTTCAGCTGGAGCAACAAAGGAAACATAATTCCATTTGTGTTAGTCAGTTTGTTATTCACGTAATAGAAGAACAGGATTGAAGCTCCCAGTGTGTGGGTGCAGTACCCAAACCTCAGCATGCAGAATCTTCATGATGCATTGGTTTTCCTATTGCTCAAGCCATGTAAACAGATGGTTTTCTTCTTTTCCTGAGAGTCATTTATCATCCAAATACACCACTGTTTTCCATAACCATGATTTAACAGGGTATTAAGGTACCACATTTACAGGTTATCCGAACCAACTGATGACTTTGTAGAAGAGGAAATAGGAAGGTAGATTTTACCCATAAAATTCCTGCATTAATATGTTAATTTGCTATTCAAGAAAATGTTATTTTATGGGACTAAAGTGAAAGTAGAGTGTTTTGGGTCAGAAACAAATATGACATGAATGATCTATGGCCCCTAAGAATATTTTTTAACTTCCATTTCTTTCGTCTGATTATTTTAACACACATAAAATAACCCTAGCCTGTAAGCAGAGACTGCTCTTTCATTTCAGCTGCCCAGACCCGAATAATCACACAGAAACTATGTTAATTACAACACTGCTTGACCAATAGCTTAGGCGTATTCCTAGCTAGCTCTTAAATCTTAAATTAACCCATTTCTTTTAATTTGTGTATCACTACAAGGCTGTGGTCTTCCAGTAAGGTTCTGGCATCCTCCTCCTTTGGCAACAACATGGTGTCTTTTTGACTCCTCCTACTATCTCTCTGTGTCTCTGTTTGAATTTCCTGCTTGGCTTTATTCTGCCCTGCCATAAGCCAAAAGAAAAAAAAAACTTCTTTATTAACTAATGGTAATAAAATATATTCACAGCATATAGAGGGGAATCCCACATCATCTCCCCTTTTCTGTCTAAATAAAAAGGAAGCTTTTAACTTTAACATAGTAAAATTGCATATACAAAACAGTTATTAAGCAAGAATTATGGTTAAACTATTTAGTCCATTTACATTTGGCAAATTAAGGATCATAACTAAGGAAAACTATAATTATAACTATCTAGTCTTCAACTCCATCAAAGGCCCCCAGAGGATATAATATTACCAAGTAAACAGGAGGTGCATTGTAAGGAACTTCCAAAACTATAGAATTGACAGAGACATCTTATTGCCTGGACAGTCACCCAAAGTTCTTTTGTAACATTGGGGCATCCATCTGCAGCCTACAGGCCCATAGTATCTGGCAGACTTTTTAGTGAAGCAGAAAATATGAAGATCTGTTCTGCCTTGTATTGGCAAAGTTCATCAGTTGCTTACTTCTTTGTCCTGCAGAATGTCTGGCAGTTTCTTATGTAAAACAGGAACCCTGAAGGACCATCCTGTCTTTTGGAAAGTTCAGCAGTCACTTTTCTGTGGGTCCTGCTTGACCAGTTCATACAACAATTCCCAATAACCACATGGTGGCTCACAACCATCTGTAATGAAATCTGGTGCCCTCTTCTGGCTTGCAGGCATGCATGCAGGCAGAACACTGTAAACAAAATAAACAAATCTAAAAAAAAAAAAAGAATTTCTTCTATGCCCATCCACCTCTCTGAAGTAATTGGTGCTGCCAGAAGCAGACATGTCTCCCTGTTGAGAAAAGTCTAAGTTTTTAAAACCTCTTAAATGTCATATTCTGTATGTCTTTGAAGTGTTGAAGATTATCTAACTGAAATATGTCTCTGTATATCTAGAAAACCTAGCTAACATTACTAAAAGTTTGATTATTATAGATGACTATCTATTAATCTATATTTTTAATTATATATTACATTTTTAAATGAGCTGTATAACGCCTTGAACAAGAGCAGAAATACATATTCACAGTGTAACAAAATCTACCTTAAATTTGTATCAATAGACCAAGATCCATACCAATGCAAAGTATTCCTATTTATATCATATCTCTCCTATTCTTAAAAAAAAGTAGATTGACTGTGACCATTAATGATTTATACCCAACTCCCTTTAAATGAAAATAAACATTTATAAACAGTCATTTTGGAAATTTAGGCATAGTTTTCTTCAAGCTACTTCCCACTGTTTGTTGGACAAAGTATTTTGGGGGTTCATGGAGAACCTTCAGGGGATCTTGTTCCATCAAAGCACATTATCCTGGATGGAATCCACAAGTTATTATCTTCTATGGAAACAAAAGCAGAACCTCTTTTCCAAAGCAACGTATCCTTAGAGTCAAATTTTGAAGTCAAGATACCTTTAAAAAAATATATGTGTGTGTGTGTGTTGGTTTAGCAGCCCATGCAATGAAATGTCTCTCTGTAGTTAGCTCATTCACTGTCAAAAAATTCAAAGAAAACACAATAATATACATAATCCAGACTCTGTGTATTTTCCATCTTTATGTGGCATTTTTTTACTCTATTGCTTTTTAATATTTTTTGTCATCTTTACTCCTTTAGTCTATGACTGTATGTACTCTTATATTACTTTTACTGTTTCTTTAAAGACTTTATTTTATTTTTATTTTTTTTAAGATTTATTTATTTATTATGTATACATTATTCTCAGTGCTCTGCCTGCAGGCCAGAAGAGGGCACCAGATCTCAATACAGATGGTTGTGAGCCACCATGTGGTCGTTGGGAATTGAACTCAGGACCTTTGGAAGAGCAGGAGGTGCTCTTAACCACTGAGCCATCTCTCCAGCCCTTTATTTTATTTTTAAAGGTGATTTACTTTTTATAACTGTCTATACTTTTCTTCTCTCTCCCAAGCCTGCATACATTTTTTAAACACACTGTGTCTCGTTTAGAAGCCTTTTGTATCAGAATCTGTCCTAGTGTGTATCTAAAATCATTTTCTGACAAGGGACACTTTTAAAATGGATGGATCTAGAAAACATCATTTTGGGTGAGGTAACCCAGACCCAGAAAGACAATTATCATATGTACTCACTCATAAGTGGTTTTTAAACATAAAGCAAAGAAAACCAGCCTACAAATCATAATTCCAGAGAACTCAAACAGCAATGAGGACTCTAAGAGAGACATACATGGATCTTAGCTACATGGGAAGTAGAAAAAGATAAGATCTCCTGAATAAATTGGGAGCATGGGGACCATAGGAGAGGATTGAAGGGGAGGGGAGAGGCAGGGAGGGGAGCAGAGAAAAATGTAGAGCTTAATAAAAATCAATTTAAAAAAAAAAAGTAAGCAGTGTGGTCACAGTGGCCCTGGATGCTCCCTCTACCTCTCTTGGTTTTTTAACATGGCAGAGGTACATTTGCCACCAGCTCTAGGTAGGACCACCAAGGGGGAGCTATGCTCACTACCTCTCTGGGAAGCAGTTGGGCCATGCTGCCACCAAGAAGCTTGTAAGCATGCTCTGAAAGAGCCAGAGCCATTCGTGCCACCAGCACAAACCAGGAAGCTGGGTTTTTTTTTGTTTTTTTGCTGCTAATGCCGAGTCAGGAAGCCTTCTCTTAAATGAGCCATGCCTCTGCTCACTGCCAGCAAACAGAGCCTATCCAAGAAAATGCTGCTACCAAGAAGCCATGCTTAACTCTGTTCTTTTGTGTCTAGAATTCCTTCCCAAGCTCTCTCAGGTGTTATGTGGATACATTTGGCCCTCATTGGTGCCATTTTGTAAAAGGAGACTGCTCTTTTGTTCCGGCTGCCCAGACCTGAATAATCACACAGAAACAATGTTAATTACAACACTGCTTGGCCAATAGTTTAGGTGTATTCCTAGCTAGGGTTTAAATCTTAAATTAACCCACTTCTATGAATCTGCGTATTGCCATTATGCTGTGGCCTACTAGTAAGGTTCCAGTATCCACCTCCTTCAGCAGCTACATGGCATCTCTTTGACTCCACCTACTGTCTCTCTGTATCTCTGTTTGGGTTTCCTGCCTGGCTATATTCTGGCCTTCCATAGGTCAAAGCAGATTCTTTATTAATCAATGGCAATAAAACGTATTCACAGCATACAGAGGGGAATCCCATATCACTAACCAAACACCAGGTAGGAATTGGAAAAATCTAATATAAAGAAGTTGGATTCAGAACTGGGTTTTAACTCAGTTTTAGAGAACTTACCTAGCAAATAGGAGGCCCTAGATTTAATCTCCACAAACAAAACAAAAAATGTTGGATTTATTTGCCGGAAATGAGAAGTACATGGTATGATTAGAGACTTGGATCTCTTAAGACAAGATCTCACCCTGCAGTGCTGGCTGGCCGGGAACTCACTATCTAGACCCGGCTGGTGTCAAGCTGAGAGATCCACCTCCCTGTCTTTGAGTGCTGGGACTGAAGTCATGCACCACATCTAGCTGAGATTTGGATTTTAGTAGTTTATTGAAAGGGGGAAAAGATGTCTTCCTTCGCCGGTTAATGTGGCTGTTTATTGTGTAACTCTAACCTGGGCTCTGAGTTCAGCTGTCAGTCTTGGTCTCCTCACAGTTGCAAGAGAGACCAGTAGTAGTAGAAGCTTGTTAGTCCTTTGGTGAGGCCAGTGGCTGACAGGTCTTTTTTCCCATAAGCTGCCTGAGATCTCAATGTCCAAGATGTCTTCATAGGGCATAGACTCATAATGGTGGATTAAAACCTTAGCTGTATGCCCCATTGGGAGGAAGTTTTTTTTTTTTTTTTTTTTTTTTTTTAAGGTTTTTGAGACAGGATTTCTCTGTAGCTTTCGAGCCTGTCCTGGAACTAGCTCTTGTAGACCAGGCTGGCCTCAAACTCACAGAAATCCACCTGCCTCTGCCTCACTATTAAAGGCATGTGCCACCACCGCCCGGAGATTTTTGTATGTTTTAAAGTTGGATTGGCTTTGTATTGCTGAGTGGTTAGGAGTTCTTTATGTATTAAGTATGCAAATCCCCCCACAAGATGAATGAGTTGTAAATATTCTCGTGTATTTGTGGACTTTTTCACTTCTGTAATGATGCATTTTGAAATGCAATTTGTTTTTAATTTGAAAAAGTCAAATTTTATTGAAAAATCACATACACAAAATAACTTTTGATTTGTTTTAGATCTCTCACACTGAGCCTTATCCCTGCAAATCAGTTTCCCCTGAGTCCACACTAACTAGCAGGCAGAGAGCTAGTCCCTTATTAACAGGTGGGCAGCAGCTTCCGCTCAGAATTAGGTTTTGCCCATTACTTCCACTGCCAAGTTGGCTTCTCACAAGACCTGAAAGGCCAGTTCCTTCATCATCAGGCACAGACTAGACTCTTGGCCTCATCTGCACCTCCTGAGCAATACCCTCCTCCATAGGATATGTACTCACATGCTCTATACACAGTATCTGTTCTAACTTTTTGTGCCCTGTGGGATTATGCTTCCTGTCACCCGGAGTACCATCTTCCTATTAGGTACCAACCGTGACCAATCAGACTCCTCACCCAAGTGCACAGGGTAAGTACCATTCACATCTGAAAGGTCCATCCTCCTGTGCAGTAGAGACTCTCCCAGGGCCAGGGAGAAATAGAGAAGGCAGAGCCTGCGAGAGAAGTGCACAGCACTGCACACAGTACACAGTAGGAAGTGGCTGATGAGAAGGTTTCCAGAGTTTGCCAGCACCAGTGCTAGGGGTCACCAGGCCCCAGGGAGGACATGAATGAAGCCAGGGAAAGCTCAGTTTTCTCACCCCTGAAATAGTTCCAGAAACACAAAACTTTTTGATGACATCCAATTTGTTTGTTGTTGTTTATACTTTTAGTATCCAGTCTAAAAAATTGAATCTACTTTAAGGTGGGAAAGATTTACACTTATGCTTTCTTTTATGATACCTGTTGTTTGGGGTTGTGGCTTCTCTTTGTTTTCTAAAAGATACGTTAGTGAAGCTAATATGATGATAGTATTAACCCTTCTACCCTAGATTTGATGCAAGGCATCCCAGTGACAGAAGATCTTTATTCCATATTTACCAAGGAGAAAGAGCATGAAGCTTTGCATAAAGAAAACCAGAGAAGCCACCAGGAGCTCATCAGCCAGCTCTTACAGAGTTACATGAAGTTGCTGCTGCCGGGTGATGAGAAGTTCCATGGGGGCTGGGCCCTAATTGACTGTGACCCTAGGTGAGCTGGAGCCCCTAATGGGATCTAAGGACTTAACTTCTTAACCTTCTGGGGTTAAGTTGTCACAGTTAATGCTGGCAGTTGTCCATAACGTGTGGACCTGATCATATCAAGCGTGGTAGTTTCAGTGCAAGGCGCAGTCACATTTGGTACAGAAATAAAGGGTGCTGGGAAAAAAATCACTCATAAAAAGAAATGCTTAAATATGATCCTTTTTTTTTCCCCCAAGACACGGTTTCTCTGTATAACAGTCCTAGCTGTCCTGGAACTCGCTTTGTAGACTAGGCTAGCCTCGAACTCACAGTGATTTGCCTGCCTCTGCCTCCCAAGTGCTGGGATTAAAGGTGTGCGCCATCACCGCCCACCCTTAAATATGATACTTGATTTAAAAAAATTCAAGCCTGAAATGGTGGTTCATACTTGTAATTCCAGCCCTTGGCAGGCTGAAGCAGAGAGATTGCTTGGGTTTAAGGTCAGCTTGGGTGATATTTAGAGTTCCAGTGTCAGGTGATAGTAGCACACGCCTTTGATCCCAGGACCCAGAAGGCAAAGGCAGATGGATCTCTGTGAGTGTGAGGCCAGCCTGTTCTTCAGAGTGAATTCCAGGCAGCCTGGGCTATAAAGTGGTCTTGTCTCAAAAAGTGAAATAAAACAGAACAGCATACAAATGGATCAGCTGCATCATTATTTTAAAGAACACTCAGAACTGGGTGTTTCTGTTTAAAAAAAAATATCAAGTAGGAATTGGCCTATTTTATGAAAGTCTGAGACCACTTTATACCAATAAAAATAACAAGCATTATTGTACCTCTTAACAAGTATACATTTGTGTGCCTCGATAGAAGTTGGACTCTCAAGATAAAAGTGTACAAGAGGACTTACAAGGTTAGCTGCACACCAACCAGCTACATTCGTTAAATACTTTCTGTACCCGTCACTGTACCCGTGTGCTCACAGACATACATGCAGGCAACACACACACACAAAACTAAATCTTAAAAATAATTTGTTAGTAACTCTGATACTCAACACCTGTAACAAGATTAGAGCAAGCATGCTTTGTGAAGACTCATTAAAACCTCTTGCAAAGATTTATGGGAACACTGGTACTGGCGCCGTGAAAATAGTGGTGGAACAAGGTAGAGTCTAGTTCTAGGTGTTTAGGTGGCCGCCCAAGCTGGGCCCGTAGTTCAGTTGGTAGAGACTTCCCTCACATACATGAAGCTCTGGGTTCAATCACTCACATCTCATGCCTACGATCTCAGCACTTGGAAGACGGAAGCAGGACGATCAGAAGCTCAAGGTTGCCCTCAGCTTCGAAGTGGTGAGAGCCTCAGATTCGCATTTTCAGCCAGCGAACACTTACTTGAGGAACACAAGCTTCTGTTCCCGTTTATTACTAGCAGGGTGTAATGCTTCTCTTCTCCCACCCTTTCCCAATGCTTAGTAGTTATATGGGCTACTTCTTATTTTTCCTTTTTTTTTGATACAGGATTTCCCTGTGTAGCCCTGACTGTCCTGGAAATTTTTTTTTTAAATATTTATTTATTATGTATACAATATTCTGTTTGCGTGTATGTCTCCAGGCCAGAAGAGGGCACCAGACCTCATTACAGATGGTTGTGAGCCACCATGTGGTTGCTGGGAATTGAACTCAGGACCTTTGGAAGAGCAGGCAATGCTCTTAACCACTGAGCCATCTCTCCAGCCCCTGTCCTGGAAATTTTTATGTAGACCAGGCTGGCCTTGAACTCCTCATGCCTCTGCCTCCCAAGTGCTGGGACTAAAGGCCTTTGCTCCCATGCTTTGTAAGCAGAGACTGCTCGTTCATTTCCTGGCCATCCAGAACTGAATAGTCATACAGAAACTGTATTAATTACAACTGGCCAATAACTCAGGCATATTTCTCGTTAGCTCTTACATCTTCAATTAATCCATTTCTATTAATCTGTGTATTGCCATGAGGCTGTGACTTACTAGTAAGGGTCTGGGTCCTTCTCCTTTGGTAGCTGACCCCACCTACTCTCTCTAGACATCTCTGTTTGGATTTCCTGCCTGGCTTTATTCTGCTAAGCCATTGACCAAAGCAGCTCCTTTATTAGCCAATGGTAATAAAGCATATTCACAGCATACAAAGGGGAATCCCACATCAATGCTTGGCTTACTCCCTCCTTTGCAATAGCAGTAAAATTTGACTTTCTGACTAGTAGGGGCCAGTGACTGTCTTCTGCACATCTGTAACTAGAGTTCCTGCTTAAAAAATATCTATTAATAATAACATGCTAGATATTGAGGGTCTGAACAGTCTTTTTCTCTGTACTTTGGATGTGTAGATGGAGTAATTCCCTCAAAGCAGATCCCACTTTCTCTTCATTGGAAGCTGAAACACACAGACCATTTGTGTTGCCAGGTTTTCACCAAGTGCTTCTCTCTCCCACAAACCTCATTTACATTGGGTTCCAAGATGCAAGCTTTAAGTCCATCCAGTTCTGTCTTTATTGCTGCCTGGTCTGTAGGTGCTAACTTAGCCCATGGCTGTGTATCTGACTATCAGGGAGATAGTCCACATACAAATTAAGCCCCAGAATCCTTCATGTGCTTTGCTGTGCCGCTGGGTCTCAGGCTGAGCTTTCTGCTGAGTTGTCCAGTCCATTGTTTTTGTTTCTTGAGAACAAGCCTTAGCCTTTGGTGGCTTCTTAAAGATCCAATGCCAGGATTTTATTGATTTATTATGATTTTTATAAAACCAGTTGTCAGGTATGATTATGTACATTTTGTTTTGTTTTGGTTTTGGTTTTTGAGACAGGATTTTTCTGTCTAACAGCCCTGGCCATCCTGGAACTCTTTCTGCAGACCAGGCTGGCCTCAAACTCACAGACATCCACCTGCCTCTGTCTCCCCATTGCTGGGATTAAAGTGTGTGCCCCTACTGCCCAGCTTGTTTTCTGTAAGGGCTTCTCTGCAGGCTCTGGTTTTCAGTGTGGGTGTGGGCTTAGGAACGAGTCCCAGCATGGTTTCCCCTTTCTCTTCATGGGAAACATGCTATGGGCATCTAAGTTTTCTATAGAATCGCTGTATGTTTGCTAACTGAATGCACATAAAGTTCCAAAACTGTTGTTGCCTGGTGGAAGACAAGGCAGCTTTAATCCCCACACTGAGAGGTAGAGACAGGCAGCTCTCACTGATTTGGAGACCAGCTTGGTTTACCTAGCAAGTTTGTTACCCAGTGTGACATCACCAAAAATATATTTATTTGTGTGTGTGTGTGTGTGTGTGTGTGTGTGAGAGAGAGAGAGAGAGAGAGAGAGAGAGAGAGAGAGAGCCTAAACACGACTGTTTCTGTGTGAAAGGGTAGGTTTCGATGGACCGCAGGTCTCCAGACTTGTGTGGCAAGTGCCCTTTCAGTGACCTCACGGCCAGACTATTTGTCTTTTTGTCCTTGAGCTATAATAGTTTTTCTGAAGACCAGGGCTAGGATTCGATTTGGGGAATAAGGCAGAACTATGCAAATTTAGGAGTTATATAGTCTTTATATAAATACTTGATGTTTTATTCTTTATGCTACTGTTATTATTTTTAAAATACGGCCATAGTGCGTTGTCCTGAAGACTGCTTTGGCAACGCGTTCGATTTTGCTGCATTCACTGCAGTATCAGTAGTGTAAACTGCTCAGGAAAGCAGTTTACGAGCCTTCCGCAGGGGAGGCCAGAAGCGGCTGTGGGAGTTGTCCACACCGCATCTGGTCTGTGCGCAGTGCGACAACGTTGCACAGCCACGGGACAGAAGCAGCTCTCCCGGACTTTGTCTCCTTCCTGCCTGCGCCCTGGCTCCGCCAGTTGCTGCAGAACTCCGGACTTTAGTGATCGCAAAGAGGAGGCTTAGATTTGGACGGAACTAGGAGACGTGCAGACTGGTCCCTGAGCAACTGCGGAGGCTGCAGGCGGTCCCCTGCGCCCTGCTCCCTGCCTCTGCGATCTGTCTGCTCTGCAGACAGAGGATGCCGCGCTTCAATCGGCCGCCGCCCCCTGCTCCTCGCGCACCACCTGCCAATGCTGCGGAGCCCAAGTCCGATGGTGTTCTCGCCATGACTTTTAAGATTTTCCTCCTCTTTGCAGGACTTATGGTTAAAGTACCTGTGGGGCTATATTTTTCTTGTAAATTGCTTCTTTTCCAAAGCCTGATGTTGATGTCCCCGGAAGACAGCGCCTTTTATGCTACCATTGTCTCCGTGGTCGGGCTGCATGTGGTTTTGGCAATTTTTATTTTTATAGTATGGAAGGAGGGTTTGCCACAGTGGCGGGAAAACAAAAATGATTAGGGCAGCAGGGAAGAGCTGCAGTGCTGGGGGTGGGGGAGTTATAAATAAGGGTTTTTTTCTTTTTCCTTTCTTGTTCGTATCAAATGTGCTTTTTTTTTTAAATTTTTAAGGGTAGGGGGTGGGTAGGGAGAATTATATACTGCACCTAAGAATGCAGTAAAAATGGGGTGGGGGGAAAGGCCGACAACATTCGACCGCTTGTTTCGTGCCAAATGCTTTTAGATAAGGACATGATGTTTTTGTCTGATGTAAATATTAACTCTAGAATAGGCAGCCAGGATGGAAGTAACACTGTAATTAGATGTTTTTTTTTTTTCGTAAAATTTGTGTCGTGATGTAATTTTTGTGGCGTGGTGTGACTCAACTCAGCGGCAGTTTTTACAATTCAGTAAGTATCCGTGTTGTTCGGCGTCATTTTCCGCGAGGCTGCCGAGATTGCTGCATTGAATGGTGTTCTCGTGTTCAGATATTGGCTGCCAGAATCAGCCCTCATCGGTTTTATTAGGTGCTTCCGTGCTAGTACATTCATTGAGGTCTTAAGTGTAGGCGAAACCTGAGGAATTCATTTAAAATGAAAACTGTTGGATTTAGGTTGCAACAAGGTGCTGCTGGGGCAGAAAACTGAAAGGAAGATTTCTGTAAATCCATCCTTCTCTGCAGCACCTCTAACAATGACTTCCCCATGGGCAAGTTAGCTAGTGGTTTAAGTTCCATCTGCAGTAGATATTTCCTATTTGGTGTTTTGTTTGTTTTGGCTTTTGTCACTGCTTTGATAGAAATAGCAGATGGGTTTTAAAATCCTAAAGCGCGAATATCTTGCGATGGTATCCAAAAGTCAGCCATCGGCATGCGGGTTTATCGATTTGGCTGGAAAAGCTTCTCGTGCCAGATTAGAAATTATGTTAAATTTTTGAGTTTGGATTATGCCTGCTTGTTGACTGTATTAGTCCTTGGGCAGTTCCTTATTAGAAAAATTTCAAGATGTGCATTTCACTGCTGCCATTAAATATGGCTCACCGCTCACTTGAGTTATATTCAAATCTATTTTGGTATTTGGAGTGTGTGGGGAGTGCGACAAAATGGCAGTGTTTACTGATTCCTTGAAAGCTGAGTGTAATCTATATTGGGAAAATGGAGCGTGCCTTGCCGTGCACCCTCCGTGTTCACAACCGTTCGTTTATCTAAGGCGCTTTCAAAATAGCTGTTTCCTAGTGCTGCAGAAATATCCTTGGTGTCTAGTGTGCTATTTTGAACACTGGCAAATGTAAACGAACAGATTTCTCTTTCTGGGCATCAGGGTTTTTCTTCTTCCCAGTAGCCACCTCTCTATCGCTGTCCAGTTCCCGCGCTTACATTATCCCCTTTTCCTTTGAAGCCTCTGCCCCCTGATGGCCGTGTCTAGGAACAGCCCTCCCTTCAGCTCTGGCCCTTTATCCAAATCCACCCCCACTCAAAGGTGGGGGTGGGGAGGTGTTGTTTTTTTTCTTTTCCCCAAATGGATAGATGTTTTAACTTCAGAGGTAGAATTATTCCATTTTCGTTTGTTCCCCCTGGGCAATCTTTTGTCATAAGTGGGAATATGCTTGCTAAAAAAAAATGTGGATGAAAGTAATTTGGGTACCGTGTCTGCGCAGCCTCACCGATGCCGCTCACAGAGATGTGGACGTGCTGCTGCTGCTCTCAAACTCCGCCTACTACGTGGCCTAGTAAGTTCGCATTCATTTAAAGCTTTTGTTTTTTGGTAAATAATTTGGTTTTGAGAATTAACTTTTTTTGTTTTCATGTTTATATATGAAATTTCACTGATCCCTTTAAATCATCATGTTTGATTTATCACTGTTTTAGTATTATTTGGTGTTCATCAAAGCCTGGGCACTACGCATAGATTTTTTTTTTCATGAATGGCTGCGTGTCATGGCTCGTTTTGCTGTATTTCTTCCTGCTGTTGGACACTGAACTCCTTGCAGCTTTTTGTCACTGAATGATGCAGCTCTGCAGAGGCATAGCTTGCGTCTGCGCATGCGCAGTCAGTGTCTCCATGGTTACAAGCATATGATTATGTGAGTTTCAGTGTCTCCTTGGTTACAAGCATCTGATGAATTATGTGACTTTGGTGGTTTGTTAGCGCCATCTCCAAACGGGCATTTAGCCGTGACACTGCCAAAACTGAAGTGTCTGTTTCTGGAGCAGCCAGAATTCAGGTTTAGCGTGTATTTCCTGAGTAAATATTTCCTTTACTTTTGGCACAGTTTGAGCTGCCATTTTCCTGTCATTCTCTAAGCCTTTTAGCATACATAATGACCCTTTTCCTCTTTGATTCAGGTATCAGGCCCATTATTCCTTATTATTCCCTAACTAAGGTGTTCCAATATGTGTATTACTTTCATTTTAATTAGTTTTCATTTTCATTTTGTGTTTATAAAACTGAAATTATTTTTGCCTTGTAATTGATTTCCTTTTTATATGTAAAATTCTCCAATAGTGGTAAAACTACGTTTTTTTTCTTTTAAAGACAGGGTCTTCTGTCTGTTATGTAGCCCAGGGCTGTCCTGGACTTAATATGTAGACCAGGCTGGTCTGGAACTCACAGAGATGCATGGGCTTCTGCCTCCTGCGTGCTGGGCTGTTACTCTTGTTTTATATATACTTTTTAATGTTCACTTTGTTCTAGAATGCATGCAGGGAAGATTCTATTCTAATTGCATGTGGTAGCTTGTTATATTGTGCCTCTGCTTTGGAGTCACAGACAGACATTTGCTTTTAACCTTCTTTGCACTCCCTTGTCCCTAGTTATGATGATGAAGTTGATAAAGTAAACCAGTATCAACGGCTGAGCCTAGAGGACCTGGAAAAAATCGAAATAGGTAAATGCAAACACATTAACTAATTCTGAATAATCCAAGCCACCCGTAGTGGCAGACTTCCCTTTTCTCTTTAGAGACTAGTGATGGACACCGTCACTTTCATCTTGTGCCTTGTGAAAAGAACTCCAGTCACCAGAAAGCTTAAGCAATTACTATTTAAGTAGTGTTTTGTTTTTTTTCTTTTTGTTTCTTTTTTGGGTTTTCGAGACAGGGTTTCTCAGGGTAGCTTTGGAGCCTGTCCCGGCACTAGCTCTTGTAGACCACGCTGACCTTGAACTCGAGTGCTGAGTTCACTTGAAGCAGTGTTCTTATGGCCTCATTAAGTCATGTTTGTGATAGAACCCTAACAAGGCCACCTTGTTATGGTTGTAGGGCATGGACATGCATGAAATGTAATAATGAAACCCATACATAAAAACATTTTTTTATGGGGCTGAAGAGATGGCTCAAAGGTTAAGAGCACTGGCACCTCTTCCAGATGTCTTGATTTCAATTCCCAGAAATCACATGGTAGCTCAACTATCTATAATGAGATCTGGCGCCCTCTTCTGTCCTGCAGGCATACACACAGGAAAAATACCATACACATAATAAGTAAATAAATATACTTTCTATTGTTGTTTTTCAAGACAGGCTGTTGTTTCTGTGTAACAACCCTGGCTGTCTTGGAACTACCTCTTGAGACCAGGCTGGCCTCAAACTCACAGAAATTCTCCTGCCTCTGCCTGCCCTAAAACAAAACAATTTTATGCTGGGCAGTGGTGTTGCATACCTTTAATCCCAGCACTCGGGAGGCAGAGGCAGGAGCATGTCTATGAGTTTGAGGCCAGCCTGGTCTACAGAGTGAATTCCAGGACAGCCAGAGCTGTTACACAGAGAAACCCAGTCTTGGAAAAACAAAAACAAGACAACCCATTTTTACAAATTGTCATAAGTTTATACCTTTTTATTTAGATTATGAAAAGAAATATGCTCACAGTTAACTGATACATGTGTGTTTGAAGTAAAGGAAGAGAATGTTATATGCAGAAACAAAAGTTTAAACATCCTCATTTGTGTTAGGTCCTGAACCTACTCTTTTCGGCAAACCGAAGTTTTCCTGCATGCGACTGCACTACAGGTGTAAAGGGTCGAGTGGTCACTTCCACACACTGAGAGCTGTGGTACGCAGTCCGGAAGAGGATGGGAAAGGTATGAAAGAGGGAAAGGGAAATTATTCAGATAGATTAGTAACAGTTCATTGCTTGGGACACTTGGGACTCTCTGTTCCTGTTTAAATGGGTGGTGTAGTCTGGGCAAGGAGCTGTGTGGCAGGAGTTGTAGTGTTTGGTCCTGAAGGAGGTTACACGGGTTCTAGGCTTTTCCCACCTAGTCTTAAGAGGCAGCAGACATGGACCACTCTTTGTTTGTGCTGTCCTGGCGCCTCCCAGTCATTAGATCCCTGAGCGCTAACCAGGTGTTTGCTGCTCATTTAGCTCTTTTGCCCTTGACTCTGTTCTGTTAAAATCACCGTTTAGAACATTTTGGTTTAGTAAGGTGGAGGGTAGTGAACAAGCAGCAGTTTTCTGTAGGTTGTAGGCAAACTAGTATTTAAACCTGTGGCCCCAAGTCAAATTCAAGCTGAGACTATTCTATTGTAGTGTTTGGGCAATTAGTAAGGGCTGTGTTTGAATTCCAGATACTCTTCAGTGCATCGCAGAGATGCTGCAGATCACCAAGCAAGCCATGGGGCTGGATGTTCCCATAGTTGAGAAGAAGCTTGAGAGGTCAGTATTGAGAGAAGACATCATTTAGAGCCAGATGCAGGAGTGCACACCTGAAATCCAGCATCTGTGAGGTGGACGAGTTCAAGGCCAGACTGGGTATAGAGACTTAAAACAGGAACAAAACCCCACCCAAACAGCAGCAAAATACCTCACACACTGCATTAAATGCACTAATATATCATGGTTCTTAAGAAATACAACTTAAAACACCATGGAGTGCTGGCATTATAGGCTTTTGCCACCAGACCCATTTATGCTGTGCTGGAGACTGAGCACATGGTTTCATGCATGCCAGGGAAGTCTCCTACCAACCGAGCCAAAGGCCCTTTGTTTTGGGGAGACAGGCTTCAATTCTTGATGTTGCCTCAGCCCTATAATGCAGGGATTGGAGTGTACACCGCCTAGCTGTGGTAGGTTAGCCCTCTGTTGACTGTACCTTCTCTCACTCTGGAACCCTGAAGAAGCTTCAGGGTCCTTCTGTTTTGTTGCCTGTTAAAATGAGATAATGAATGTCAGAAAGGTTGCAGATTGAATGGTAATGTACTTAGAAACACCTAGCACATAGCCTTAAAAATCCAACTGGTAAAAAGTTTGATTGCCGCCTTTTATCTTCTCATGCTTAGTTGATTTCTCAGAAGAGGGACCAGGAGGATGCACTGAGGGAGACTGCTTCCTCGTTTGCCACTCTTAACCCTGCAGCACCTTAGAGGCCTTATTTTCAGCTTAAGGAATTCTTAACTGACCCAGGTTTTTATTTTCTCAAGTGACATGGTACTTCTATTTCGATATCCATATGTGTTTAATGCAAATACTAGCCTTTCCATGAGTACTTAGCTAAGCAATACGTGTAAAACTGATGGAACATGGCTCACAGGGCCTAAGACAAAGTCCTTCTGCTTGGACCACAAGTGATGCTCTCTGAGCTCTAAAGTAACCAGAGGGCACGTCCCAATGTCATGAGTGTACAGAGAAATGCAGGGTTTTAAGCAGATGTTCCTACCAGCAGGTTATTTCACATTTACAGTATGTGGGCTTTTCCTTCTGAGCACTGCTCAGGCGCTAGGGTAGGAGAGCTGTTCCTGTCCATTCTTAATGGCGACAGCTACTCGGGCACCTACTCTTCCTGCAGTGCTCTTGTGGTAGGTGATCCTGCATGAGCTGAGTGCTGATGTGCACACAGGGACATTTGATGACAAAGGAGAGAACACAGATTAACTACATTAGATATCCCAGATCCATCCTGAGGCTTGGGATTCCTGCAGGTTCCCACTGCAGCCAGCTTAGATCTGCATGTGTGGTACAGCCACTGCACTAGACTTTCATGCATTAGACTTTCACTTGTCAGAACAGCAACCTCATGCCACACGAGGCCCTGGCCTTTGAAGTGTGGCGGGTCCCAGTTCAGTTATGCTGTAATCACACTACTGCACACTAACCATTTTAAAGACCTCGTGCAAAAGGAACAAGATACAAGTCTCTGTATGTCTGTGTTGAATTGTAGTATTCAGTGTGTAAGTAAACCTTTGATTCTACCTGCTCTAATGTGGCGGCTACGAAGTTTTGTTTTGTTTTTTGGTCTTTCGAGACAGGGTTTCTCTGTGGTTTTGGAGCCTGTCCTGGAACTAGCTCTTGTAGACCAGGCTGGTCTCGAACTCACAGAGATCCGCCTGCCTCTGCCTCCCGAATGCTGGGATTAAAGGCATGCGCCACCACCGCCCGGCAGCGGCTACAAAGTTTTTAGTTATATCCCTGTCTTTCTATCAGCTGGTGTTTAGTGTCAACTGCAGGTATTTGGGTTTATCAGTTAGCAGTGCCCTGCTCCCAAGAGATCTGGGCTACTTACAAAGCATTTAGTGGTATTAGTTGGTGTATTTTGGATTCCATGAGAAATTAACTTCTTTCTCTTCTAACTTACAGGAAAAGCAGTAAGCCTCACGAAGACATCATTGGTATCAGATCCCAAAATCAAGGCTCTCTGGCCCAGGGGAAAAGCTTTTTAATGAGCAAATTTTCATCTCTAAATCAAAAAGTGAAGCAGACCAAATCCAACGTGAACATGGGCAACCTACGGAAATTAGGAAACTTTACAAAGCCTGAAATGAAAGTGAACTTTCTAAAACCAAACCTAAAAGTCAATCTTTGGAAGTCAGACAGCAGTCTTGAGACCACGGAAAACCCGGGAGCGATGGATAATAATAAGGCCCAGGGGGAGTCTGATGGGGACATGTCTTCAGATAATGAGTCTTACCACTCAGATGAATTCCTTACCAACTCTAAGTCTGAGGAAGACAGGCAGCTAGCCGATTCTTTAGAGAGTGTAGGGCCAATAGATTATGTTCTCCCAAGCTGTGGTATTATTGCTTCAGCTCCTCGACTAGGCAGCCGATCCCAGTCAGCCAGCAGCACTGACGTCAGCATTCCTGTCCCCTCAGAAGCTACTGTTGGTCATGGAAGTGGACCTGGAAAAGGCCAGGAGTCTCCCTTGAAGAAAACCCCTTCTGCTGACAACATACGTGTACTGACTGGCTTTGCCAAGCCTGTGGATGTCTACTGCCACAGATTTGTACAGGATGCACAGGACAAAATGTCTGAGCTGTCAGAGACCAGGTCTGTGTCTCACAATAGTGAGGAAGGAAATCAAAAGACTAACCCTGTTTCTAATGAAGAAAACCAGTTGGAACCTGTGGGACTGGTGCCTTCTCGACCATCCCAGTTAAATGTCTCCTGTTCTTTGGCAGGCCCACAGTTTTTGTCAGTTGAACCAGCACATCCAGGGGTCTCTCAGCAGAGCCCCAGTTCCGGGTCCAGCCTGCTGGAACTGGAGGCAGGGCTTTGTGTGACCCCTTCTCCAGAGAGCGGCAGCAGAGCAGTCTCTCCCTTTGCAAAGATCCGCAGCTCCATGGTCCAGGTTGCTAGTATTACCCAAGCTGGGCTAACACATGGGATAAATTTGGCAGTGGCCAAAGTTCAAAAGAGTCCAGCAGAACCTGAAGTGGTCAATGAAATTCAGCAAAATGAACTTAAAAATATGTTTACACAATGCCAGACACGAATAATTCGAATTTAGATTTTAGTCACAATCTTAAGGTTTTTATTTAAATACTCTTAAGTTTTCACCTACTGGACTTTTTTTTTTTTTTTTTTTTTTTTAAAGGAACAGTTTCTCTGTGTATCCCTGACTGTCCTGGAACTTGCTCTGTAGACCAGGCTGGCCTTGAATTTAGTCCATCTGCCTTCTGAGTACTGGAATTAAAGGCTTGCCCCACTAACGCCCAGCCATTTCAGGCTATTTTAACCAGTACTGCGTTTATGGATTACAAATTCTAATCACATTGTTGACTGGCGATTGTTTTACAAGGAGTCTGGACCTGAGCAAATTCCCAGATGTCCAGACTACAAGTGACCATCTTAGACTGTAGGCCAGCCTAGCAAATACTCAACAGAGTGGTTTGTTGATCTCATTTGGGAAGGTTCAGGAAAAGAACCAAACTGGTGTTTGGAGGGAAAGGGGAGCTAGTCTTGGAAGCAGATGCAGTGTGGATCCACCATGTAAAGTTAGCGTTCTCCCGCTCCGTCAGTTCATCCCTGTACGCTGCCCTAGACGGGAAATTAGACATTTAGATTTTAGTGACTTTTACTAGTGTGCAGAAGTATCTAAATTTTTTTTAAAGTAGTTTTACCAGCTTAACCATTCTCTATGAAGTTGAGAACCAATAATGGTAAACAATGTATTTTCTTTGATTCCAATTTCTCCCGTATTCTTTTTTTCTCTCCCAAATTCCTAAACACACACGGGCTTGCCTGTCATAAAGCCCACCTGCTTCAGGAACAGAAGATCATGTATACTGACTGACTCTAGGAATCTCTAGAAAATCAAGTTTTAACTCTTTCAAGAGGGACACTTAGCATCTTTTTTGGTTCAAGAACCTAAAATGCCGGTTAATACTGGTTTTCTAAGTGACTGGCCACCAAGATCACTGGCCTCTGCACCCCAGAGAAGGGTGTATGGCACATTCCAGCAAGCACTGGCGTCTGGCATCCTTAGAGCCTTACCCTTGTGAAGTGACTCAGTTGAACATTCTGTCTGCTGTGACCTGATAAGCATTCCGTTTTTGTTATTTATTGAAGTGTCGAGTCCTGTGACTGTTAAAGTACCACTGTAGCTCGAAGCATCAATGTGTATGAGAATTCCTTGTACAGCATTTAACAGTACTTTGGTTTTCAAAGAATTCATAAGTGGCAAGTGTGCTACAACCAAACACTTGTTTTGAACTTTTTTGATTAAAGTGTTCTTATTTTAAAAATGGAAACTGTATTTTAAGTCCCAAACATTAAAAACTAGATGCTGCAGTCTGTCCTTTCCCCTCTTTTCCTTCAGGCTCTGGATCCAGGCAGTTAAGTGCTGGCAGCTGGGTTGGGGTGGGGGTTGGGTTTGCACAGAGGTGACCCACAGGAAAATCCGGCAACACAAGTGAAGGCAATGGTTATTTCCAAATAGGCCATAGATGCCTGGTCAGGGCTGCAGCTTGCCTTGACACAGAGCTATGAACATGAACATCCTTTGTGTAGGCCAGGAAGAGACGGTGCCTCAAAAGGCTGAAGGTTCTGGTCTCTTCTAGTTTGACTTGGGTAGACGACATCCTGTGCTTCTAATTCATGAAAAAACGCCCACGGGTACTGGTAATTTGAAGTTTTATTTACTGGACATGGTTACTCAAGGGAACTTTTCTGTAAGATCAAGCAAAATTATGACTTCTCTTTGGTAAATTACAGTTTACATTGGTACAGTTTGACAAGACAAACCAAAAACTTTGTTCTAGGACAAAAAAGTATTTTCAAAAATCTATGTGAACATCTTATTTTCAAAGGTTTAAGGAAGAGCTTGTCTACCAGTTATAAAAATGAAAACCAGTTAGAATTCTAATATGAACATTATTTACATTAGCTTAGAAAAATAGATTTGAGGTTAGGAAAGAACACTGAACAACTAGTAGTCTGTACTTCCTCTCATCAGGCTAATTCCTTGACTTATCAAGGCTGACCCTGTTTCCTTGGTTAACAATGTCAATGCAAGCCTCTTCAGCAGGAAAAAGATAAGGGACCACTGAACTCACCTGTTTCCAAATGAATTCATCTTCAAGCGCACCACAGAGAGCTTAAAAGCACTATTCTAACCTTTCTGAAGATTACTGTTGCCACAATTCTATATTAATTTGCAAATTATAAGTAATAACTTTTATTTGAAAATATGCATATCAAAATGAATAGGTCTGAGGAAGCCTACTTGTAATGTATGGACCTTTACCGCACTAGCAAATGATGTTACCCATCTAACACACTTGGAAGCTATCTGATAAACTTATATTAAAAGCTCAAAATCCAGCATGATCATCAAATCAGCTAAATAATGAGGAAAATGATTCAAAGTCACCCCCCCCCCCACACACACACACAATAGGCTAAGGATGCAGCTTAGTGGTAGAGAACGCGTCTCATGTGAGTGGCCAGAGTTCAATACACAGCACCGGAAAAAAAGATTAAATCAAGTCTTTCATGCTCGGACAAGGTTCCCTTCAGAGTCCCTTAAAATGACAGTTCCCAAATGCTGGGTGTGAGAGGAGCTAAGAACAATGTAGTGACCTGAATCACAGAGCTGCATCTGAGGGTGTCCTTTCATGGAAACAAAATGGTGATCACATTTTGGCAAAATCAATTGGCAACACTACTCCAGAAATCTCTGGAAGTATTACTAGTGTATGAAATCTAAAAGTTGGGGACATCTATCATGGAAAAGCCTACTTCTGCAGGTTATTAACAGCTGCTAAGGGGGGAAAGTATCTGTCCAGATGTGGATACTGACACTAGAGAGCTCATGAATCAATGCCAAGTGCGTCCCGACTAGATAAACTCAGACAGACTGCACTCACACAGGCGTGGATGCACAGCTCCAGGGGAATGCCAAGTGCGTCCCGACTAGATAAACTCAGACAGACAGTATTCACACAGGCGTGGATGCACAGCTCCAGGGGAATGCCAAGTGCGTCCCAACTAGATAAACTCAGACAGACTGCACTCACACAGGCGTGGATGCGCAGCTCTAGGGGAATGGCAAGTGCGTCCCGACTAGATAAACTCAGACAGACTGCACTCACACAGGCGTGGATGCGCAGCTCTAGGGGAATGGCAAGTGCGTCCCGACTAGATAAACTCAGACAGACTGCACTCACACAGGCGTGGATGCACAGCTTGGGGGAAGCCGGCACTCCAAGAGTCTGGCCTAAGCTGTAGCTACAGCTAAGGAAATGGTATGATCAGCAACATTATCATTATTAAACCTTTAATATCAAATACATTTTTGTACATCATAACTAATTATAAAACAAACTCCAAAACTGCATAAAACCAGTAAGGTAAAAGCCCTTACAGAGAATCATATAAACTTTAGGTGTCACCAGGCTTGATTTCAGGAAAAGTCATTGTTTTTTTTGCCTACAAATCATCTATAAAACAGTATGGTATAAACAGATCCGAGCTGTGCAGCACGGAGGCTGTAGCTTGCCCGTTCTTCTCCAGTTCAGACTCTAAAGCTCATTCCCGTTCACACACTTGTGCTGCTGAAGCCTGTGTTTTCTGGACGACTCCAGCTGCTTTGCTCTCAGCCATCGCTCTCGTGACAGTGTGGTCTGGCCAGCGCTCAGGGACAGAAACCTGGTTTGAAGTTTAAAAATTACCTAGAGTTAGGAAGATTAACTTAAAGTTTTAAGAACTAGGAAATCTTTGAAGCCCATCAGGAGACAAGAACATGGCTACTACACACAAGCAAAGGCCAGGTGTGACCTCACAAAGAAGCCCCGAGGAGCCAGAATGAGAGGGTCTCACTCTTAAAGACTGTGCCCCTGCTGAGACCCTGCAGTAAGTACTTCCACCAGGTGGGTATTCTTGATGAAGATGATGCAGCCCGACTGCCCTTTCCTCTCCCTCCTCTCCGCCCAGCCTCTCCTCCACTCTACACCCACCCCGTCTACTCCTCCTCTTCTATTTAGAAAAGTGCAGGCCTCCCATGGATATCAATCCATATATCAATTGCAGTAAGACTAATAAAGACTAATCCCCCCGCCCCAAAACGTATTAAGACTGGACAAGGTATGAGGAAAAGGGTCCCAAAAGCTGGCAAGAGTCAGAGACAGCCCCTGCACCCACTGTTAGGAGTCCCACAAGAAGACCAAGCTACACATCTGTAACATACAAGCAGAGGGCCTAGGCCAGTCCAGTCTCTATGGGCTCCTATGAGCCCAGGTTAGTTGGTTCTGTGGGTTTTCTTGTGTCCTTGAACCCTCTGGCTCCTACCTTCCTTCCACCCCCTCATTCACGGGGTTTCGTCTATGTTTGTGGGAGGCCCAGGGCTGATATCAGGAATCTTCCTCAACCACTCCCTGCCTTATTCATTGAAGCAAGGTCTCTCAACTGAACCCAGAGCTTACTGATATGACCGGGCTGGTCAGTTTGTTCTGGGATTCCTCATGGCCATGCATACCCAGATTTTAGGTGGAATCTCAACTTCAGTCCTCAGGCAAAAGCTTTAGGCATCTGCTCAGCCCAGGAAGATATCTTTGAAGGAAAAGTTCTTTTGCTTTTAGAAGTCTGCCTCAGATACTGTTGAATAAATCAGAACTGCACACAGCCAAGAGAACAGGGAATTATGAGGCTGGGCGGTGGTGCAGGTCTTTAATCCCTGCACTTGGAAGGCAGGATCTCTCTGGACCAGGCTAGTCTACAGTGAGTTCCAGGCAGCCAGTACTGTTACACAGAGACACCCTGTCTCGAAAAACCAAAGGAAGAAGGGGACTGTGGAGGAGAGCGCCACTTACCGAGCCACCACAAGCAGCTGGTGGAGATCATCTGCTGTGATACTCTGAGGGTCGTTTTTACGCATTTCCACGAAGTCATCTTCAACCGCCTTTACCAAAAGAGCAATATACTTGTAAGTCTCCCTTCAAACCTCTGTAAGTACATTTCAAACTGTTTCCTTATCTTTATAAAGAGAAAGAAACATTGTCCTTGACTCAAGTAAAAATAGATGGGCAAATGAGGCAAGATGGGTAAAAAGAGGAAGAACCAAATTCAACTTCCATTACAGAATGCCGCATGGAAATTATTCTACACACAGCCCAGTCCCATTTGAGAATGCCAAACAGGCAGAGAAGCCAGCATCTTCCATGGTGTGAAGCCATTAAACAAGAAGAGACACCAGAGAAGCTGGCCCGGCAATGGGGGCTGCAGTGCACACTTGTAATCCCGGTAGTCAGAGAGCTGAGGGAGAAGGACCACAAGTTACAGGGCTGTCTGGGACCAACCCAGCAGAACACAACCACTGCAGTCGGCTTTGTCAAAACCCCGGAAACTTCCAGTAACTTAGGAATCAAGAACACAAGTGGCTCTTGGTAAGACATTTCAACTTGTTTTGTTTTCAAACCCCACACCCCACCTGAGGTAATGTCCTTGAAAACCAACAGCCTAGCAGACTGCTGGAACAGCAATGGAACAGCGGAACAGGCAGGGCTGGAGTTCCTTTAGTGCACCACTCACAGAGGACTGCTACTCTGATCTGTAAGGCTGTCATTACTTAATCAAACTTAAACCCCATTATACATGTTCTACTATTGTTACCGCTAATATTTGCTGTGCTTACTATACAAATTATGCACTGGAAAGGGTTGTATACAACACGTTATTATGCCATTATGTGCATGGAAGATCTGGAAGTAGCCAGTTCCAAGTACCTACTGGGGGGGACTCTTGAGCATGCATCACTCTTGGATGGGGGAGGAGGTGAGCCACTATATAAAGAATTAAAGGAGATATCAATAAGAAGAAAATAATGTTTAAAAAGAAGCAAATAGGAAATTCTATAGAAAAAATAAGGTAACTAATAGCAATAACAAATTGCTATGTATAGAAGATTTAAACAGGCACAAAAGTCAACCAACCAACTTCAAGACAGATAAAAAAGAGAAAAGGGAAAATGAACAGAGCTCCAAAGACCACCAAATTCACTGACCAAGTGACAGGAGGGCTAGCGGGAGAGGAAGCAGCAGGGGAACTGAAGGAAATAATGGCCTTAAACCTGAAGGGTGCTTGTTCAAGACATCATCAAATACTGTGCACACCAAGCTCAGCAAACTGCAGCAGGACAGACTCAATAGAAGCCCACTGGCATCTACTCAGGGTCTTAGAAGTGTGCTCCTTAAGGAGGAACGGCTGCTGACAACCCAGGGAACAGACTGTGGCACAGGATAAGAGCTTTAATCCCAACACTCAGGAGGCAGAGGCAGGCAGATCTCTCTTTTTTAAAAAAAAGGCTCAATGGCAGGTGCTTAACCTCGTGAAGGCCCTGAGTTTCAAAGAAAACACACCCTCAAGAGACACTAGAGTCCATCAGATAGGAACAGAAAGCCCAGTAAAGGTAACGGCACAGGGAAATGCTGACCAGTGTAAAGACAGGCAGGGTGGTGTCTGCCAAACCTCACGTTCCCTCCAAGTCCAAGTCTAGCTTGGACTACATAGTAAAACCACAGATGACTCAAAAAAGCAACAAAAATTTTGTTTTCTTGTTTAAGCCTTTCCCCTCTGGTTTGAAAGGCAACTGCACAAAGTGATAATTAGGAGTTATGGGCACACAACACACAAGGGCATAATCTGTGAAGTGACAGCATGAATGAGGGAATGAAGAACAGACTGGAAAGGAGCAAATTTTCATGTATTAGTGTAGTTACATCATCTGCCAATCCTAAAGAGACCAAGGCTCCTAACCTGATGAGGTAGGAGACAGACTGCTCGCTGCTCTGACAGACAAAGGAACTGGTTCTGATCCCTAGCGCTGAAAATAATTAAACCAAGCAAACAAAGCCAAAAGCAATTCAAATGCAGAAAGGAGGCGGCAACTAAGTAAAAAGGACAGAGAATGAATCCGTTTCACGCAGCAGATGACATACTAAAGGCTAGAGATGGCAAACACCAACTCTGCCTTACAGGTAACTGCGCTTAAGTCACATTAAGTGAACCCCAAAACTACAAGATTTCTTGCTGCGATGAAGACATACCTTGGTTATGTCATCTGAGATGTTGTAATCCAGGAATCTCAGGAGGGTCAGGTAGATGCGGAACTTGTTGAGCACAGACGGCAGCACAGCTGAGAGAAGGCTGTTCATGTACTCTTCCATGTTGGGTGGGGTCAGCTGGGGCTGTAAGTGAATCTGGCAGTCTGCCTGGAAAGAGGAAACGAACTGATTTCCAAGGTCCTACGATAACCTACATTTAGAGAATGCAGCTCTCAACTTGGAAGGGAAATAGAAAATAGCAGGTATTTGAGGAGGGGAGTATTTTTAAAATCTTAGTGTACTCAATCTGCTGACTGCATCACAAAAGACATGAAACCATTGCAATGTGATTTTCTGTCTGGCTCAAGACAAGATCTTATCCTGTAAGTCAGGCTAGCCTTAAAGTCAATCTACAAACGTTTGAGATGGACATAGCTCAGCTGGTGAGGGTGTCCTCCAGCTCTACATCCCAGCCACTGCACGTGCACACATGCATCGCATGACCGGCAAAAAAAGGAACAAAGGGAGTAAGAACAGCAGGCTGGATTATTAAGGGAAATTAGCTTTTCTTTATTTCTAGATATTACAGGCTCTCCTACTAGTAGCTTTGGTTATCTTGTGATATTTGGGTTCTTAACAGTTATAAATTTTTACAATGAAGTAAAATGAGATACCAGATTCTCTTGTTAAGCAGCTACCATCTCCTTTTTTGTAACTTATCAGTGGAACTCAGAGCCTCACACAGACAGGCAAGTGCTTTACTACTGAGCTGTACTCACAGGTCTTTTGAGGTACGGGTCTTACTATGCCACCAAGGAAGGATGTGACTTGGCCACCTTCTCACCCCAGCCTCCTCAGAGTGTAGGATCACGGGCATGGACTAACACTCCAGGCTCACCCACAATTCATAAATAAATGCAACTTATTAAAATAATAAGCAGCACTGAGCTAAGGAAATGGTTCAGCCTATGAAGTGCACACCCTCGTGGGGCAGAAGAGACAGGGCAGCAATTTAGAGCACTTAACTACTTTACAGAGGACAGTTCGGATCCCAGCACACACACTGGGTGGCTCACAAATGCATTTAACTTTAGCTCCAAGGCTCCAACCCCCCAGTTCTGTTTCTGTGGCTGTGAATGAGCATAGGCACACACCCACACTGATAAAATAGTAACACCTGGAGCTGCGGAGCTGGCTCAGTGGTTAGGAGCACTTGCCGTGCTCTTGCAGAAGACCTTGGTCTGGTTCTAGCACATACATGGTGATTAACAGCCAACCCTAACTCCAGCTCCAGGGGATCAAATGCCCTCTTCTGTCCTCCATGGGCACCAGGGCATGTAAGTGGTGAACACACATACATGTGTGCATTCATACACATAAAATAAACTATTAAATAAAGTGTGGCAAACACACATAAAATGTGTTTTGGCTTGTTTTAGAAAGGGTCTCTCTGTGTAGTCCTGGAGCTCACTATGGAGAACAGCTGGTGACAAGCTCAGAGATCCGCATGTCTCAAAAAAAAAAAATAAACCTTCAAAACACACACACACACACACACACACACACACACACACACAGCTTGAAGTCTAGCCTTAAACCCTAGAATCTACATAAAAATGAAGGATATGTTGGTATACCCTTGTAATCCCCAGGTGAATCTGTGGCTTGCTGGACCTACTTGGGTAGGTCCAGGCCAGTCAGAGACCCTGTCTCAAAAGGTGTACAGTTCCGGAGAAACAACACCCAAGGGCAACCTGTGGCCTTGACACACACTGTACAAGTGCCTGCATCTGCACACAGGGACAATCTAAGCAACAGAAATGGACAAAGTGACAACAATAACCCTCCACTCAAACATGAGCTATCGTACCGGGAGCAGGGACCTCCCCTCAGATGTGATGAGGACGTTGATGTTGCACGGGAACTCCATCTGGTGGTAACTGAAGTCATAGTCTACCTTCTGCCAGGTTATCAGATTGCTCAGGGCAGTCACATTATGAACACCTGGAAGAGCAAGACCGTCCGTTACTGGCAGTGATGTGATTTTAATCACATACTCAAATTATGGCTGGCAATGATCTTAACACATGTGATTTTCTGCTGCTTAGATAAAGGTAACAGTAGCCAAGAACTTAACAAGTGCAATGTCAGTAAGCCAGGTGTTAGGTAATAAGCTCCAGCAGTACTGGGCCAACCTGAACTTTCTGAGGCCAAAACTCACCCACCGCTAATGCCAACACAAAGTGGGACTCTGGTAAGTTCATTACTTCCCAGGTCATGGTTATAAGATGGGAAATCATTTCTTTAGAAAGTAAGGTTGTTGAGTTTTCACAATTTATGTATTTTTGAGAGAGGGTTGAAAGAAGAAGCCCAGGCTAGCCTTGAACTCCTAGTTCTCCTGCCTCTACATTCTAAGTGACAGGAATGTTGGTGGGTGCCACCACCCCTGGATAAACCTTTCTGATTTTAGGCTCCCCTTTGCCTTATAAATTCCCAGCGTTCATTATTTTTTCATCTATTTTTTGTGCCCCACCTCCTCCCAGCACAGCGTCACTACTCCCAGCACTGCACGCTCTTCATGGGAACAAGATCTAGCAGCTCTCTCGTCTTTTTTTTTTTTTTTTTTGGGCGGGGGGGGGAGGATGACTGTGTAGTCCTGGCTGTCCTGGAATACGCTCTGTAAACCAGGTTGGTCTCGAATTCACAGAGTTCCGCCTGCCCCTGCCTCCCAAGTACTGGGATTAAAGGTGTGGCCACCATCTCCCAGCTTGTTTTTTAACATATTCCATAACTAAGGCTAGATTAAACCAAATGGTCTATTCCCCCCACCCCCCAGAAATCATTAAAAATTATTTATGGGATGTATAAAATATTACATTAAATCTTTTCTACCCTTTCTGAGCTAACAGGCAACCAACAGAATATCATAATAAAACAGTTAGTATACATGCATGTTTTAAAAATATCTGGTAGGGGGCTGGAGAGATGGCTCAGAGGTTAAGAGCAATGCCTACTCTTCCAAAGGTCCTGAGTTCAATTCCCAGCAACCACATGGTGGCTCACAACCATCTGTAATGAAGTCTGGTGCCCTCTTCTGGCCTGCAGGCATACACACAGACAGAATATTGTATACATAATAAAAAATAAATAAATATTAAAAAAAAATAAAAAAAAATAAAAATATCTGGTAACTCTAAGTTTGCCTTAGAAATCATTGCTAGGTCTGACTAAATGGAGCAAAGCCACAAGAGGACAGGAGGTTTGCATGCCTACCTGAGGTGTCCAACTGCCCCTGCTCTAGAAGAGTCTCATCAATGACCAGGGACGTGTTGTTGGGCAGCTGGAGGAGACCGCTGACCAATCGGTTGGCTGTATAGTCTTTGTGGGGAATGAGTTTCAATTGGTTCATGTTTTCTATCGTCATCTGTAGACGAAAAGACTGAAACAGAAATTGTAATGAGGAAGGATCCAAGTTTCTCTATTAGAAAATACACACAGACACATATTGAGTCAAAACACGTGTGCTTCATATGGTAAGACACCATTTCTAAGGGAAGAAGCTGTGGCCACACCACAAGCCATGCATTTCTTACAGCTACTTGTTCTCCGTCTTCAGCTGGGCCTAGAGCACGCTAGAAAGATAAGGCCAGCCAGAGATACAAAGAAAATTTGTGTGTGTGTGGTGTTTTTTTTTAAGTCTTGATGAGTAATTTTTACTCTGAAACAAGTGGTAGACAGTTCAAATATCAGACACCCAGAGGCTGAACTTTACTATTCCTTTAAGACAGTCCACACTGCAGCCCAGAGCATGGCCTCCCATTCCTCCAGCCCCCACCACATCCGGCAGTCTCTTGTCTGCTCTGGACTCCTCTACTCATACAGGGTGCAGCCTTCAAAAAAGCACAGGGTGGGGAGCCTGTGCAGGAAGAAGATCACAGCTAAAATTTAAGAGAATTTTTAAATACTTTGGCTTAAATTTTCTTAGAAACGAGAGTGAGAATTGTTTACAGATTCAGAAGAAGTCCCAGAAGAGGTGGGGCTTGTCAAAAAAAAAGGTGGCTGGCTGCAGTGGTTAAGAACACTTGTTCTTGCAAAGATATGGGTTCTACTCCCAACACCCATATAGAGGCTTATAACTGTCCATAACTCCAGTGCCAGGGGACCAATACCCTCTGCTGGTTCCCATGGGCACCTGGCATGTACATGCTGCACCGACATACATGCACACATCTCAAAACAAAGAAAAGAGTGGCAGGTGCTGGGGCTGAGACAGAACCACAGGCAGGACACATATAACCAGTAGTCAAAGCTGAGTGTTCTATTACAGAGAGGAACACTGAGAAAGGGCCTAGTGCCAGATGAAAGAGGAGACAGGGTCAGTGCAAAACAAAACAAGGAAAAGTGACCAGAACAAAATGCAAACACACACCACACTGTCACTTCTCAGCCCCTTCCTGTACTCTCTTCCCATGTAAAAATGTAGCCTGAGAACCCCTGGGCTCACAACTGACAGCTGGATGGCCTCTGGCGCCACTTTGTGTCTGAGAGCTGGTACTACACCAGCTTCTTCGCGGACATCTCTTACTCCAAGTAGGAGAGAGGAAGGACATGACCCCAGCTAGGCAGCCACCAAGTCAGCTCCAAAACCATCCATGAGTCTTAGGCCATTCTGTATAGATGGGCATATGAGCACCACCAGTGTCTCCTATCCCATTTCAAGTGCTTCGTTGTCTTGCCATGAAATTTTTTTTAAAGATTTATTATGTATAAAGTGTTCTGCCTGCATGTATGCCTGCAGGCCAGAAGAGGGCACCAGATCTCATTACAGATGGTTGTGAGTCACCATGTGGTTGCTGGGAATTGAACTCAGATCCTCTAGAAGAGCACTCAGTGCTCTTAACCTCTGAGCCATCTCTCCAGCCTTCTGCCATGAATTTTTAAAGCACACACCAGCAATTACTTTCTTGGTTTTGTACTACAAACACATAAAACTCAGAGAGCTTATTTCAGGAGCTGTGGGTTTTGGGAACTGCTAAGACCCTGTTACAGGGTTTATGAATAGATCACACATTTACCCTCACTCCTTCAAAATGGAAGACAGATGAGTTTTACCATAGAGAACGTACAAACGCCAGCAACAGGCTTCCAGATACTACACCAGCTATCATCGACAACACCCCAGATCAAAACACATCACCATGGGTGCAAATGCGGAAACGGACTAGAAAATCTAGGGGAAAACCCAAGACAGTGTCAGTTTTATGACTATTTTGATAAATATAATGAATTATTCTATATAGAAATTAGTGAAAGCATAGCCTGTTGAGTAAGTGGCCCCAAGTCCTTGGGACTCTGCTGCTTCTGCAGGGCCTGAAGCACAGCATGACGGGTTGTTCAGTGAAGGGCCTGACTGGCTTCACTTTTTAAGACCCAAAGAAGTGGCCAGCATTTTTAGATAGACCACTCATCAGAGCAATTCCTCTATCCCCAAGATCCCGACACACAAATGGTACACTCCAGATGGTTCCAAACAGTACCTAACTGGGCCATGGAGATGGGCAGCTGAGAGAACTCAGCTTATTTAGATCTCAAGTTTAATATGTATACAAAGGGCCAAACTGAAGGGACAAACTGGCAGCGGCAGGAAGCGTGATCTTGAGGGAGTTCCTGTCATTGCATTAATGTTTAAGATTTACAAATTTGTGCTGGGCCAATCAGTGTCAATGCTGAGGGTACATTTTAAATTATGTCAGTTGGCAGGTGTTCTCGCTTGTCAATGAGATCCACAAGGAACACAAAGTTAGTACTTGAGGTGAGTAGAAAATAATTGGCTTTGTTGTTCATAATACTTTATCAGAATATTATCTTACTGCTGGAACAAGGTGTTGAATGATCCGATAGAGGTGTTCTGTGAAGGTGCTATTTTGTGGGCAGCCACTCAGGTTAACTGTAAATTTTCCTAGTGGAAGAACATCTCTTCTTGTATATCTAGAAGAGGGGAAAAGAAAAAACAAAACAAACAAAAACAAAGGTAAGATATTGAAATACCAGCATTAGACATTTTGCAGAAGCAGGAAGAAATGGCTCAGTGGTTGAGAGCACTGGCTGCTTTTCCAGAAGACCATGGTTCAATTCCTAGCACCCACACAGCAGCTCACAGCCGTCCTCGGAACTCAAGAAGAAGATGCCCTCTTCTGGCTTCCACCAGCACTGCATGCACAGATATGCAGGCACAACAGCCATACACACAAAATAAAAATAAATTTAATGGTTTTTGCAGAACACCAGCTATTTTATCTATCAGAACAGCAGCGGTTAAAGAATAATCAATACTTAAATGACTGCTCACATGCCTTTTCACCCCTCTCCAAACATTTCAAGGTGGGCAGTATTAAGAACTCTGAAGTATAAGTAGAGCACCCTGATCCAAAATACTGAGACTTAAGTGCTTCAGAACGTTTGCAAACTTCCGTAGCTAAGCATGCCTAGTGTGAGCTGGTAGCTACTGCTTCCCAGTGTGACTTCAGCAGTATGCCTGTGGCTCAGCTACTTCAGACTTCCCAGCACTTCAGGCTTTTCCATTAGGGATGTGCAACCAGTCAAACCATGACAGAGCTCTGATGTGAGCCTTGCTTCCAGGCATTACCTACTGTCTTGGATGCCACCGGGAGAAAGGAAGGAGTTACACTGGAAAGATGCTGACTGTAACAGCATTTACTTACACACGTGCGTGCACATACGCACGCACAAAGTGTGAAGGTCTAACATTTTGGGAAAAGGTTACAGTATGGCACAAATATAATGAAATAGCACACAGTCATTAGAAAGCTTGTCAAGAAGGCAGGGTGTGGTTGCATGCCCTCAATCCTAGCACGCAGGAAACAGAAGCAAAAGGATCTTTATGAGTTCCAGAGCTAGCCTGGACTATATAGAAGGTTCCAGGCCAGGACTTCATAGTGACACCCTATGTTCAAAAAAACAAAAAACAAAACAAAAAAACCCCACAAAACCAACCCCCCCCCCAAAAAAAAGGGAAAACGGAGCTAACTAAGCATTAAGTGGAAAAAAACAAGATAAGGATCTGTGCTTTAACCACAAGTGACATCCACATTAGTAAGCATAACACGTGGATATAAACCAAAGAACACACACAAGTAGTAAATGGGAAGAGACTGGCATGGGAGAGCAGGCAATTTTCTTCCTGATATTAGGATACATTACTTTTTAAAACAAAACAAAAAAACCTGTTGTGGGGTAGCAGCACATGCCTTTAATAGTCTCAGGAGGCAGCAGCCGGGCAGTGGTGGCGCACGCCTTTAATCCCAGCACTCAGGAGGCAGAGGCAGGCGGATCTCTGTGAGTTCGAGGCTAGCCTGGTCTACAAGAGCTAGTTCCAGGACAGGCAGCAAAGTTACAGAGAAACCCTGTCTCGAAAAAAAAAAATAGTCTCAGGAGGCAGAGACAGGCAGATCTCTGAGTTTAAGGCCAGTCTGGTCTACAGAGCAAGAGCCAGGACAGCCAGGACTACACAGAGAAACCTCATCTCAAAAAAAAAAAAAAAAAAAAAAAAAAAAATTTAGAAGGAAAAAAGGGGTATGTGTGGAGGAGATAAAGTCAATATACAAACTAAAAAGAAACAAAGACAGGCATCACTGCTTAAAAGCAAAGCCTGGAGAAGTATAATACAAATGGGTATGGGCATGCAACTCAGTGGTAAGGCACAAGGAGACCCTGGGTTAAGCTACGTTCCCATAAAGAAGGGGAAAAAGAATGCAGAAAAGATACAACAGTTAGTTTCACTCATCAGCCATGTACTGTCTGATCTTGCCCCTAATGTTTACTAAGAGGACACAATCAAAATGTTTTGTGTGGGGCTGGAGAGATGGCTCAGTGGTTAAGAGCATTGCCTGCTCTTCCAAAGGTCCTGAGTTCAATTCCCAGAAACCACATGGTGGCTCACAAGCATCTGTGATGAGGTCTAGCACCCTCTTCTGGCCTGCAGGCATACATACAGACAGAATACTGCATACATAATAAATAAATAAATATTAAAAAAAAAACAACAACAACAAAAAAAACCCCCACAAAATGTTTTGTGTGAAACTAAGACACGGTGAAAAAAAATCTGTATTTGGTGCAACATTTGTTTTTGGTGCAACATTTGTTCTATGGAACAAGAAAAATCCCATTTGAATATGGAGCTGACACTTACAACAAACAACCGAAACCACACTTGTTCCATTCCGCTCTCTTCCCTACACCGCAGTTCCCAAGAAGAGCACAGCACTTACACTGTTGAGATGAGATGTAATATAAGGTATTCTGCAGCCAAACTATCTCCCAAGAGTGCATGAGTGAGGAATCCAAGCAGCTCTGCTCTGACTGGAGACAACTCAGACATGAAACTGGATACAACTACAGAAGGAAGGAACAAAGGAAATGAGAGTACGCACACCAGCTCTGCACCAGTGCAAGAACAGGAAGGAACACTACATTTCTGGGGACAGTGAGCATGAACTTAGAATAATCGTCAACAAATGAGGCCAATATTAGAGTGGGCAAGATGGCTCAGAAAATAAAGGCATCTGACACCAAGTTCAATGACCTGATAACCTAAGTTTGATCCAACGATCCACATAGTGGAAGGAGAGACTTCTTTATGTTCTCCTCTTACATCCACATGCACGCCCTGGCACATGCATGTTCTACATCCCCCCACAAATAAAAGACAGGCTTTCTCTGTGTAGCCTGTCCTGGAACTCTCTCTGTAGACTAGGCTGGCCTCGAACTCACGGAGATCTGCCTGTCTCTGCCTTCCGAGTGCTGGGATTAAAGGAGTGCACTACCACCACCTAACCTTAGGCTTCATGTCAATGACAGAATAAAAGAGAAAAATGGGGCAAAGCCACAGACGTTACTAGAGAACTCACTCTGCTGAGCAGGGACTATGGCCCACATGGAGGTGAAACTGCCTGCCACTCATGGGCCCAGCACTTACACTTACAGGTTCTGCTCTCCTCCTTGTTAAGGCAAGTGGGTAACAAAGGATTGATGTGCTGCAGCTTCTGGGCTAAAATGACATGAATTCTTGGCACTAACGAAGCTGGAGGACTGTGCACCCTCTGCTCCTCTGCCATGTCTGAGCACTCCATGGGGTCCAGCAGTGCAGAAGCATCCCTGTGGAGATACCAAATAGCAAAGAAGTACAAACGATAAGCACTCTGAAGACAGACTCAGAATCCTGCTCACGGGATTCTCCATCTCCCAAGGCAGAATGCGGCCCCTCAATCTAAAATGTTTCTTATCACTCAGAAGTGCTGGGTCGTGGCACAGCACAATGGGTGTCCTCTACTGCCCAGGACCACTGTGTTCAACTCAGTGAGTGAACAGTGCCATGTGCACGACAGAGGACATCATTCACAAGACCATTTCAAATCAGGGGTTCCCTGAATTTTCATCACATCACAACCCTGGGATCCTTTTCTCCAAAGCCACAAGAGCTTATTATTGAGTGTGGAGAATCATTCCCCTCTATCTTGTTAATGATCCTTGCTAAATTTTATTCTCATGTGATGCTCCACCACACTTCAAAGTGTGGGCAAGTGATTAAAATGGTGTGAACATTGAGGTTTGCTAATCAATTCAAATATGATAGTCTCACTCTGCAGCCAATGAACAAATGACAAAAAAGTGTAAAGTCTTCAACTATACTATGCACAACGGTCAACACTATATATACAAACTCCATCAGATTTCACAGTTCACAAAGTCTACCTCAGTCTGTGTTTTTTCCCCTCTGAATCAAGAGGCCTCAGAAATCAAGTAATTTAGAAGGAAAGCTGGTGGGTGTTGTAGCACACACCTTTAAACCCAGGACTTGGGAGACAGAGGCAGACAGTGAATGAGTTTGAGGCTAGCCTGGTCTACAAAGTGAGTTCCAGGATAGCCAGGGTTACATAGAGAGACATTGTCTTGATGAGGAAAAATTTTTGTCAATGTTTTTGAATTGTTGTTTTCTTTTTTCCTTTTCTTTTTTTGAAACTGGGTCTCACTATTGTAGTCTTGACTGTATTGGAACTCACTATGTAGAACCATGCAGAGTAAAGCCTGGTGGGAAATCTGAACAGAGATATATAGACAGATAGATATATAAATAGATAGGTAGACAGACAGATAGATGAAAAGAAGAGAGAGAGGGCAGAGTCGAGGAGATGCCATGTAGCCACCGAAGGAGTAACATGCTGCACCAGTAAGCCACAGCCTTGTGGCAATAGACAGATTAATAAAAATGGGTTAATTTAAAATATAAGAGCTAGCTAGGAATATGCCTGAGCCATTGGCCAAAACGGCTTTATTCATCAACCAATAAAAGCAACACATATACAGGAGGACTTCCCACATCAACTTTCTTAACAGGAGCCCAGAGGACAGGCATTGAGAGTAACAACTGACAAATGGGATCACATGAAGTCCCATGAGATGGCACAACCTTGAAGAAGCAGGGAAAAGTAGAGGTCTCTAGAGAACTGGAGAGTGTCTGAAGGGAGATTATGGAACTGGGTTTTTCTTCCCAGCATGATATAATACCTCCATATAGAACAGAAGAACCCAGTGCACAGACTGGACAGGGATGACACAAAGGAAAAAGACTGATGAACTTTGCCAAAATATGGCAGGACCTTCCTTCAAAATTCTTGCTTCATAGAAAAGGCTACCAGATATTCTAGGGCTGTAAACAAAGGTGGATGCCCTGATGTGGCAAAGGAATCTCGGGTGACCGTCTACGTAGCCAGGTGTCTCTGCAGTTTCTATAGCTTTGGAAGTGGCTTGTGCTGTACTTCCTGTTTACTCAGGAAATACTATATCCTTCTGGGGTCTTTGATGCAGTTGAAGACTAGATAGTTATAGTTGCAGGTTTCTTTAGTCATGATAGAAGGTAAATTAGGTACAAACCTTTGGACTCAACAAGATAGGATAAATAATATTTTCTCTGAATTTGCCAAATACAAATGGACTGGATACTGTAGATGTAATCCTTACCTGATAATTGTTCTTACTGTATATAGTTTTACTATGTTAAAGCTAAAACCCTCCCTTTTTATTTAGACAAAGAGGGGGAAATGTGAAATATTACTTTAACTAGGCAAAGATGTGTTACATTTGTTTATGCTACATTTGTTTAATTATATAAAGAAGTGTTGCGTTGACTGCCTAAGGCACTCACTGGTCTAATAAAAAGCTGAATAGTTGGGCAGAGGACAGATAGGTAGGGCTGAAAAGCAGGGAATAAGTAGAAGGAGGAATCTAGGTTCAAGGGAAAAGAAAATGAGGAGAATGAGGGAGAAAGAGTAGGAGATACCCAGGGCTAGGCAGACACGAGTAGGACATACAGAATGAAGGAAAGGTAAAAAGCCCAGAAGTAAACACAGATGAATAGAAACAGGTTAAAACAAGTTATAAGAGCTAAGGGACAGGTATCAGATAAGGCCAAGCACTCATAAGTAATAATAAGTCTCTGTGTTGTGACTTGAGAGCTCATCGGTGGCCAAAAGAAAGTATGTTGCATACAGTTTGCTCACTGTGGCTCCTACTAGCTGAATCTAGGAAAATCTGAATCTCAAAATACATGCTGATATTGAATAAAATGAACGTTCATTGGTTCATACTGACATAAAGAAATTATTTGAAAAACAACTGTAGGAGGGACACAGTAGAAAATGGCTACTGTAGTAGAGACAAAGTTAATGAAGTGCCTCTGAGAGACACAATACAAGTCAACAGATGCTAAGATGCACAAAAGTATCTTTCAAATTATTAACGGCAAAGTGAAAAGTGCTCACGGGTCAGGCAATACCACCCTAACTGAGTGATGGACACTAATGACACTCTCGTGCATCAGTGGCACAACCCTGGGAAGACTCTGTGCCTGGCTGACTTCCACAGCCAGGGGTTGCCAGGATGGGATGAGGGTAGTACACAGAGGGCAGCAATGACAAGCATGGCATGGGTGGTGTAACTGGTAACTATCTGAAGACAGGAAAGGACGTTCTTTGTAACTCTCTGCCACTGTCTGAAATTACATCCGATGAAAAAGTAACAAAGAAAACCCAACAAACACTCACCTTTCTTCATTATTCAGTATGCTTAGGACAGGATCTACAGACAGCACACCATATAACTCAAGAATGTCGTTGACTTTGAAGCAGTCCCAGTCTTCATAGATCTGACAACAACACAAAATCAGGTTAACACTGAATGACATAACCAGGTACTTGCCAGTCAGACAGCGAAGTCAGCAAACATGTGAACAACCACACTCCCACAGAGGCTGGCAGTCAGGCAAAAGCTAAACCAGAGCCAGGTATGTCCACAGAGCCTACCTGGCTGGTCTAATGCTGACCTTGGACTCAAAGCAATCCTCAGGCCTCTGCCTCCCAAGAGTGGGGATTGATGTTTCAAAGCACTACAAACAGTTTAGTTTTACTTTGCATCAGGGTCATGTTATTGTAGCTCATGCTAGCCTTGAGTTCTTGATCTTCCTCATCTCAACTTCTAGAATGGCAGGACTAGGCATGTGATACAACACCCTTTATTTTAAATACAAGTGAGAAGTGGATTTTGAAAAGGTAAAATAGCAGAAATAAAATATGCAGTCAGAAATGACATAGGAAGGAAGTAGCTATGAATTTAAAAGGCGGTCCACTTTTGAATATGACTTTACCCCTTTGGTTTTGTGAAACAGGGTGTGTTGCCTAGCATCATGTCAAGTTGACAAAGCTTGTCAGTGAGGAAGGAGCCTCAGTTGAGAAAATGCCTCACAAACTACTGAGAACTCAAGATCAATGGCAATGGGTTTTTGATCCCACTGCACGTACTGGCTTTGTGGGAGCCTAGGCAGTTTGGTTGTTCACCTTACTAGACCTGGATGGAGGTGGGCGGTCCTTGGACTTCCCACAGGGCAGGGAACCCTGATTGCTCTTTGGGCTGATGAGGGAGGGGGACTTGATTGGGGGAGGGGGGGAATGGGAGGCGGTGGTGGGGAAGACAGAAATCTTAGATAGATAGATAGATAGATAGATAGATAGATAGATAGATAGATAAGAAAATGCCTCACAAGACTGGGCTATGGGCAAGCCTGCAAGGCATTTTCTTATGGGAGGATCCAGCCTATTGTGGGTGGGGCTGTCCCTGGGCTGGGGGTTCTGGATTCTATAAGAAAGCAGTGTGAGCAAGCCTATTCCTCATGGAGCAAGCCAGTAAACTGTACTTCTCTCCATGGCCTCTGCATCAGCTCCTGCCTCCAGGTTTCTGCCCTGTTTAAGCTCCTGTCCGGACTTCCTTTGATGATGAACTAATATGGGAAGTGTAAGCTAAATAGACCCATTCCTCCCTAACTTGCTTTTGGTCTTGTGTTTCATCGTGGCCACAGTAACCCTGACTAAGACACAAGGTCTGACTATGTAGTTCAGAACGGGTGTGAATTCTCCATCTTTCTTCCTCTATTCCCTGAGCACTGGGATTACATGTATATGCCACCACATCAGGTTCCACACTGGCCAGTTCTTTGAATGTTGTGTCAGCCAAAATAAGGAGCCCCAAAGATGGTCACAGCACAATCGCTGAAATGCTGAGTCTGTGAGCTCACAAGGAAAGGAACCTGCAGTTGTACTCAAGGACCCTGAGGTGGTGATAGCCTGGATCGGCTAAGCAGGCTCAGTGTCAAAGAGAGAACTTTATCTGATGGAAATGTGACTACAAAAGAATGGTCAGATAGACACAGTGTTGCTGTCTTAAAGATGGAGAAGCCACAAGTCATGGAATGCAGGCAGCCTCTTGAAGCTGGACGAAGGAAAAGACACAACAAACCAGATCCTGTCCCCTCTCCATCCCTCTAGAGCCTCCAGAGGACAGCACAGCCTGTAGACATGCTGAGGCTTTTCTAATGCCTCATTTCTGAGTTAGAAGCATCTGTGGAAAGAACTAGGAAAGGCTGTACCTTAACGAGGCAGGCAGGGCCCTTCTCTCCTGGCAGGGGGAAGTTCAGATCGAATGGAGAAGAGAGGTTCAAGGAGTTCAGCTGTTGCCCACTGGAAGCTTCAGTTTCTAAGCGTTTTGGCTCTCCGCTCCAGTGAAGACCACCGAGGCCCCCTAGACTCAAACAGCATTGCATGCGGTCACTTCTAAGCCTAAAGAAACGAACATTCTAAAAGTGCTTTTCATTTTGAATAAATCACGTTTATGAGTTGAAAAAGGCTCATGTCAAGTTTTAATAACATTATTTGATTTATACCAGAACAAAAATAGACACATAAAATATTTCATTGCTTTCTTACTCTGAAATAGCAACAAACTACTCCATCAAACATATTGGAAGGATTTTGTTTCTTTTCCTTTTTTTGAGACAGGTCTCACTGTGTAGTACAGGCTGGCACTGAACTCTAGGCCATCCTTCTGTATTAGTCGCCTTAGTGTTAGGGTTTCAGATCAAGCTATGACGCCTAACTCAGGTCAGTACTTTTACAAGTTCATTTCAATCCACCCAGTTATGACACTTAAGAACCACATGCATGACCAGGACAACATGACAACCCTAGGGGGGCAGTAGTGGCACACACACTTGGTGGTGACCAACAGCTCTAATTGGACCTAAGACCCTCTCTGGAAACAAGAAGACCATGCCTGGTACTGGAATCCTAGTTAACTACTCAGTGCTAGTCAAGTTATAGCTCCTGAAGGAGAAGCTACAACCACTAATTTACTAACCAGCATTAATCCATAATAACAACCTATAAAAAGATATCCTTACACCCACTCACTCTTCATCAAGGAAACTTCTCTTTGTAACAGATGAAGACCACTACAGAAAACCAAAAAAAAAAAAAGAAAAAAAAAAAAGAAAACCACAACCAATCAAAATGCAGTTGTGGAGGTCAATGCCAATGGATGCATCTAACAGAACAACTCCTGCACCCAAGGCTCAGGGAACACTCTAGAAGAGGTGGCAGAAAAGTTTTAAGAGCCAGAGGATCGGGGACTTTGCAGTGATACTGTGTCTCCTAATAACATCAGAAACTACACCTGTAAACTCTCGCCAATATGACTACATAAATGTGAGCTGAACAAGGAGGACACCAACGAACATGTTAAATTGCATGGGATAAAGGCCGTAAGACTTCAATCCTACACAAAGAATTACGTGCAACTGAGTAAAACTGGGAACAGAGGTGGCCCTCCCCAGGGAAGAGCACACAAATTGGTTATCTAGTGCCAAACAGTCATCCCTGAAAATATACATACGATTAACATTGTATATATCCAACAGGTTGTATTTAGGAAGGCATATGTATATATAAACACATACATGCACAAAATACCAGCTGAGGAAAACAAGGCCATGAATTTGAAGGAGAACGGGGACGGGTATACAAGTGGATTTGGAGGGAGGAAAAGGGAGAAATGTATTTAAAATACAATCTTAACCAACCAGGCATGGTAACACAGTCTTCAATCCTGGCACACTGGAGGCAAAGGTGTAAGGATCTCTGAGTCTGAGGCCAGCCTCCTCTACACAGTGAGCTCCAAGTCAGTGCTGCACAGTAAGACCCTGCCTCAAAAACAAAAACAAACAAAAAAACAAAACAATAACAACAACAACAAAAACTTAAAATTAAGCAAAAAAACAAAAAACATACATTTTTTTAAAAATAAAAAGTTAATCTCTAGCCGGGCAGTGGTGGCGCACGCCTTTAATCCCAGCACTCGGGAGGCAGAGGCAGGCGGATCTCTGTGAGTTCGAGGCCAGCTGGTCTACAAGAGCTAGTTCCAGGACAGGCTCCAAAAGCTACAGAGAAACTGTATCAAAAAAAAAAAAAGTTAATCTCAAGGTCTAGAAACAGTTAAAGGGCTAGAACACTGGCTTATCTTGCAGAGAACCCGACTCAGGTCCCTTCACCCACAGGGCAGCTCACAGTCATTCCCTAACTCCAGTTCCAGGACCCCATGGCCTCATCTAACCTCTGAGAGCATTCACATGGTACAAAGACAAGCATGCAGGCAAAAGTTCACAAACAAAATAAATTTCAAATTTTAAAAATTAATTTCAATATTTTCATTTCACAGAAATCTGCCTGCCTCTGGCATATGCCTTCTGCCACCTGGTTTTTGTTGATCTTTTTTTTTTTTAGGCCAGAAATATCAAGGGAAAAAAATGTGAAATTGCAGGATGAATTTGTAGTTCAATTTTTCTTAAGTATAGCTAATTCTTTTATCTCTGAGGCCAGCCTGGACTACAGAGTGAGTTCCAGGACAGCCAGAGCTACACAGAGAAACCCTGTCTAGAAAAACAACACAAAACCTTCCCACCCATCTACCCCCAATAAAATAATTAGGCAGATTTCTGTTAGTTTGAGAGTTCAAGATCAGCCTGGTCTATAGAGTTAGTTCCACAAATTTATAGCCAGGGCTGTTACATAGAGAAATTCTATCCTGAAAAACAAAACAAACAATATGAACAACAAAAATCAGCAGAAATACCGTGGTTCCAAAAGGAAAGCAAGAAAGAATGGTTTCAGCTAAGTCAGTTGTAGGGTAGAGCACAACCATGCTTTCTATTGTTCAAGAACTGGGATAACAATTACGAAGATACTAAAAGATCTTCCATTCAACCACTTCAAAGTAAAAGCATCCATCAGAGCTTTCCAAAGGGTCCTCATTGTAAAAATGCTCAAAAGTGCCTAGGGATGGAAACAGGGCCTCGTACCTTCAAGGCCAAAGTTCTACTCCCGAGCTTCACTCCGAGCAACACCACCCGCTATGATGGAGTGAAATGAGGTTATCACACCACACCAGTTCCCAGTCGAGAACTGTCAGAGAACAAGCCCAACAATGAGCCTTGATGTCAGAGGAAGGTGAGGGCACACAGTACCTGCTTGCCTGGCACCTGCATGTTGGTCTTTCTGCTTGTTGGGCTGTAGGTCCATATCTTCATCATCTTCATAACTCCTCTTGTGCCGACTGGGAGTATAGGAAGTCGAGGGACTGACTCGAGCTTGGTTTGCATTGACATAGGCGTTAAATAAAAGGTTAAGAAGACAATAATCTTGAACCAGATTATCCTAAATTATGTTAATTACATGGTTCTAAAACATCACCAATTTGACAATTCAGTTAAAGGAAGTACTTTAAAAAAAAAGATTTATTTATTTTTCTTTTGAGTATTTTGTCTACAATTATTGCTGTAAACCACATGCATGTATTGCTCTTAGAGGCCAGAAGAGGGTGTCAGATTCCCTGGACCTGGAATTACAAACCACTCTGAGCAGCTATTGGATACTGGAAACCAAACCCAGGTCCTCTGCAAGAGCAGCCATTGTTCTTAATACCTGAGTCAACTCTCAGATCCTAAAATACTTCTGAAAAGAGACTAGACAGTTTGGGTTATGAAATAAGAGGTTTTCCTCTATGCCCCACATCCACCTGGTAAAAACAACAAACCTGGACAACACAGATAAAGTATCTGTCCTCAGGCAGTGGACAACAATGATCCTGGAATAAGGAGACACAACCCCAGGAAAAACTCCACATCCTTCTGGCTGCAGGAGGACCTTCGAACTGTAGCAAAGATGAGTGGCAGTCTATCTCTTGCTGGATGGAGAAAATAAAGCCCAGAGTTCAGAGTTACAGAGTAGCAGAAATTTGCAAAAGGGTATCCAGAGGAACAGCTGTAGACACAAGATCCAGGAATTCTGATCTTTGGCCAAGCACCAAACTGCAGATTCTAACTCAAGCTTCTCAGTCCCGAAGGCCTAGCAGGCATCTAAGAGCTAGACACAGCCTATGTTGTTGTTTAGGGGCTATAACTTGTGGAACTGGAGTAACTCTGTTACCCATCTTGATCAATTCCTATACCACTCCTTGACAAGAAAAAATGCTATCCAGCATACAAACTGCCAAAACCAAAGTCAACCCTTCTGAAGGCAGGAAACTCAAAATGCTATTAATGTTGGCTTTTTAGCAGATAATAAAACAGTAGTTAAGCAGAGAAACAGGAAAATCAGACCTGTTATCAGTTTTTTAAATTAATGAAAACAAACCCAGAGATAACAGACTCAGGAATTAGTGGGCATGGATTTAACAGAAAGGTAACTGTATTAAGGGAAGAGCTGGAGTGTAGCTCAGGTGACATAAGGTTGCCCAGCATGTGTAAAGCCCTGAGTTACTCCCTGCCACTCTCAGGCGGTGCCTGTCTGGAATCCCATCTCTCTAGGACTAGAATGACCAGAAATTAATGCCATCCTTGGAGATAAGGCAAGTTCAAGTCCAGGCTAGGTGACCTGAAATGCTATCTCAAAAACAAAAAGTAGAGCTGGGTGGTGGTGGTGGTGCACGCCTTTAATCCTAGCACTGGGGGGGGGGGGGGGGGCGGGGCAAGCGGATCTCTGTGAGTTCAAGGCCAGCCTGTTCTACGGAGTAAGTGCCAGGAAAAAAAAGAGATGATGAGTAAACAGATGAGGACTATTCACAGAGAAACAGAAACACTGAAATAACCAGACGGAAAATAAGATCTGAAAATAAATGACATGAGCTGGGCAGTGGTGGCGCACACCTTTAATCGCAGCACTAGGGAGGCAGAGGCAGGTGGAGCTCTGTGAGTTCGAGGCCAGCCTGGTCTACAAGAGCTAGTTCCAGGACAGGCTCCAAAGACACAGAGAAACCCTGTCTCTAAAAACCAAAAAATAAAATAAATAAATGATGTAAAACATGGGGGGAAAAAAAACAACAAAAATTCAAACTACTTCTATTGACCCTGCCCCCACCCAAACCCCTCAGAAACACACACAGACACAAGTGATTGTTTATAAACCAGGGATGGAGAAAAAAATTCAGAGACCATGAACACGGGTTAACGTTAACAATTCAACTAAAGCAAAACGAGGGGGGAAATATCAAATAACAGAACAAAACTCCAATTGGGGTGTGCTCTGTGGGAGAATGTTTTGCCGGCTTCTAAGGAACTGGGCTCGACTTCTAGCAATGGGATAAAAAACAAAAAAAGCAAAAACAAAAAGATAGCTGTCAAAAGAAAAAATAAAGTAGTCTTATAATATATGTTGGACATTCCACAAAGGGGCTGGAAGAGAGCTCAGGCAGTAAAGTGCTTGCCTCCCCAGGGCTCACAATAACAAACCCCAGCTGGGCACACACAGATGCCCATACAGTCTAGTCTGTGTTTCACGTACTGAGATTAGGACAGAAAAAATATTTGAAGAAATGACTAAAATTGTTGCTGAAAAATATCCACAAACTGGAAAACTCAACAAAATCCAACTAAGTAAGAGAAGTATATGTCTCCCCCCAAAAAGAGCAGGGGAACCCCAAACTCCCAAACCAAAAACTCCACACCCAGGCACAACATAATTAAAAGGCTGAAAATAGAAAGAATATTTTAGAAGCAGTGAAGAGGGCAAAAGACATACTATATAAGAGGAATGATAAGAATGATAGCCACCCGTTCATCAAAAAAGATGGAGGGCTGAGATAACGGCCCTGTACCATTAACACACTAGTGAAATGTGCCAATCAAGAATTTTACATGGAGTGAAAATCTCCTTCAAAATGAAGGTGAAAAGAGTTGAACTTTCATGAAGGAATTCACCACCCTCAGCCCTGTTTTAAAGGAGGGGGGGAGGGGGCAGAATCTAAGGGAAATAATTTCACACAAAGAACAAAGAGAAACAGATAGTGAATATATATGTTCGCAAGTATGGATGATGTAGTTTTTTTCTCAATTTATATAGAAGACAAGCCACTGTACTGTTAAAACCAACCAGGGGCCAGAGTTAACAGTTAAGAACACCTATTGCGTTTCTCTTTCAGCTTCCTCCCAGGCTCCTGTGAGCGTGTAGTGCACATAAACTCATTCAGAAACACAAACAAACACCTTTAAAAACTAAGATAAATCTTTAAAAAATTAGAATGCATTATAATTTGAAATTGTACCCTTCTCTTATTATCATAATATTTAAGTACCTATAAATCTACCACAACCTATTTTAATAGTGTTTCACTATAGGGATGTAACAGAATTTAGGCATTTCTCTGTTATAAATACTTAAATTTATGTCTTATTAAGGACATATATTGTATACAAACACTTTTTTTCCCTATCTAATGTCACCCAGGGTAAAAGGATTACAAATCTATAATCTGAACTATGACCCTTTAAATTAAGAAAAAAATTAAGAATCACTCATCAAATAGTAAGGTTCAGATGAAGGATATCTCTTTGACCCATGAAGATTCTCCAGGCACTGGGACACAGTAGAAGGTCTGTCTTTCTGCCGTGGTAGATCGTGGAGAGTTTAAGTCAAGCTCCTGTTGAGGCTGTGATATACAGAAAGCATTTTTGAAGTTTTGTTAAGAGATATGCATTTTCATATTATAAAATCAAAATGTTATCTCAAGTTAACGTAATTAACAAGCAATTAATTTCAAAGTCTGGCTGACATGAATTTGTGGTCTTCTGCCTCAGACTCCCAAGTACCGGGAAGAGTGTAAAGGCAGATGCTGCTACCACACAACACACTATTCTTCCAAAACTACCTCATTTTCTTTCTTTCTTTCTTTCTTTCTTTCTTTCTTTCCTTGAGTGGGTGGGGCTGTCACTCTGTAGCTTTTGTTTGTTGTAGTCTGCTGGCCTGGTCTGTCACCTGGGTACCCTATCCCTTTAAGAGATAAGCTCCGCCCACTCTAAGCCCTTCCCCCCCCCTTTCCTCTAAGACCATGGGATCTCCCACCTCCTCTCTTTAACACTCCTCCCTTCCTCTCTCCCTCACCCCACCTTTTTCTGGAAAGGCAGCTTCTGACTCTCTCTTCTCTCCCCCCTTTCCCCTTCCTAACCCATTAAATAAACTTTATACCCAAGCTCTCTGTGCATGGCCTATCTATTTGTTATGCCCCTGGTGGACCAGCCTGGGGTCCCACCGCTTTATAAATGATAACAGTGTTGGGCTCTAATATCTGGCAATTCTCCTGCATCAGCCTCCCACGGTCAGGGATTACAGAAGTAAGTCACTACATATCCAGCTTTCCAACGTCCACTTTTAGTACATTCATTCAACTATTTACTGCGTATGTGGGCAGGGGGACACATGTATGCCATGGTTACACACGGAAGTGAGAGGACAACATGCAGGAGTTCTCCACGTGGGTTTCAGAGCCTGAACTTCGGCCATCAGGCTTGATAGCAATTGCTCTAACCCCCTGAGTCACCTCACCAGCCCTCAAGGTACCAATTTTAAAAACAAAACCAAGGGAAATCTTTTTTCAAACACAATAGCCAAAAAAAAAAATGCCTTCCTCAAAGCCATAACACACAGTACCCCAGCTATGAAATTAAATCCTTCTAAAGACAAGGCATGAGTTCAGTGGTAAGAGTCCTTGCTTAATGTGTATGATGCCCTGGGTTTGATGCCCAGCACGCTGAGCCTCCAAATGACAAAATGCTCAGTAATCTCTCTCCATAGAAAACATCCAATTCAGCCTCTGCCAGCAAAACTTAGTAAATACTCATTATAGTTACCTCTGAAATGGATTTAAAATTCAGACCTTACTCCCCAAGGAAGGCACTCTATTTAAGTAATAACTTAGAAAGCTGTGAGTTTTCCTTAATAAATCTGCCTTTGTTCTGCTAAAAAAGAAAAAGTCTTATGGTGGAAAAACAGTCCCTCGTGACAGCAAGTTTGAAATTGAGATAAGACACAAAGTGGGTTTTTAAAAAGAGCACATAAATTGGGCCATGGTAGCACACACCTTTAATCCCAGCACTCAGGAGGCAGAGTCAGGGAGATCTCTGTGAATCTGAAGTCAGCCTGGGCTACAAATAAGTCTAAGTTCATCTTTCCCTTTCGTTTAAAGAAACATTAAGAGCACTGACTGGTCTTCCAGAGGACCTGAGTTCAATTCCCAGCAACCACATGGTGGCTCACAACCATCTGTAATGCCCTCTTCTGGCCTACAGGCAGAATACTGTATAAAAAAAAAATAAATAAATCTTTTAAAAAAAATGATCATACATCATGCTTTTAGTCACAAATATTGGGGAAAAATCTCACCATTTACAATCTTGCTAGAAATCTTTAAAAGACAAATAAGAAAACTATGTCAGAAAACTCTTTTTTAAAAAAATATTTATTTATTATGTATAAAATATTCTGTCTGCGTGTATGCCTGAAGGCCAGAAGAGAGCACCAGACCTCATTACAGATGGTTGTGAGCCACCATGTGGTTGCTGGGAATTGAACTCAGGACCTTTGGAAGAGCAGGCAATGCTCTTAACCTCTAAGCCATCTCTCCAGCCCCCCAGAAAACTTTTAAAGACAAAAAAAAAAAAAAAATTCTGTCTGATTTTTAAAAACTCGTTCACACACAAAACAGCAACATTAAAGATGAACCAAAGAAAAATGAATTCTCTTTTTAGGTGAAATAAATCATGCTAAAAAAGTTCAAATAACATAAAAGATACATACCCCACATTCTGCTATATCCCTGTATTTTCCAAAATGAAGAACCTATGACCAAAACAAAAAGTATCATATATATATAGATAGATATACATACATACACACACACACACACACACACACACACACACACACACACACATATATATATATAATATCACAAATTATAAACAGAAAATCTCAAGAAGAAAGCAACACATACCCGTGCTTTTGTGTTCTGGTTAACTGTCTCATAAACGCCCATGTAAAACTCAGGGTCAAACATATCCTGAATCATGCAACGAAACTTGACAAAGCTGTTAGGCTTCAAATAATGAAGGGGAACTTCATTCAATGATGGTACCTTCAGAGAAAACAAACAAGCAAGTCAGCAAAGTTGTCATCTGTAACTGTTAAGCAAACACACACTCAAAATCTAGCCCTGTTCCTGTGATAACACTTGTCCATAACGGGATGCTTTTCCTTCCAAAAGCATGTATAGCATGTGTACCCTCCCGGCCTGCCTTCTTTATTTTCTGTCTCTTCTTTCCCTTCTTTTGAGACAGACTTCTTTGTAGCTCAGAATGGTCTGGAACTCACTAATAGCAGAGGCTAGCCCCAAACTTGTCATCCTTCTGTGTCTCCCAAGGCCCCAGATTACAGACATCACCTCCTACAAAGGACTCCGGAATCCTTTCAATCAACAGAAAGGCATGCACCTTATGAGTCCTCTGAACATTAGCACATGCCAATTCTTCTAGGAGGGAACAGAACATAGGTGACAGCTACTAGACAGTTCACCAGGAAGGAGCAGGCATTTACTGCCACCTAGAGGCACAACACAAGCATCAGCGCAAAGCCTTGCAATGAGGAAGTACTGAGGACAGGAGCTGCACTCACTAAACCACTTCTCCTCACATTGGGGTGAGGGTGGGGGTCTATTCTGCTGAGAGAAACTATAGCCAGCCAGCTCACCCATTTAGGAGCATTATTTTCCTTCAGCTTTTCCTTGAAGTATTCTATAACTTTCTTCTCCCAGTCGGGATTAACTCCATTTTGGGCTGAAAGAGAAATATGATCATCAAAGTACAACAAAGACCAAGAGATTATGTTCAAGTCAATACCATGTAAACTTAGTAGTTAATACAAGTGCAACTGGGACAGCCACAGGCATCCAAGGAGCTTCCCTGCTAGACGCTGGGTACCACAAATCCAGGCTGCTGGCCCCATGGCTCTCCAGCACTAACAACTGAGAGCCAACACCTGTGGAATATGTGGTTTACCTGGACCAGCACGAGCTACAGTAGATCAAACATTCAGCCCAAGCTATTTTATTTATGGTAATACACTCTGAACTGGAAAGCGTGAGATTTTAAATCACACTTACTTACTTAGTGTGTGTATGTGCACGCACACATGCAAGGAGGCCAGAGAACCATTTGCCAGAGTTGGTTTCTGAGGATCTAACTAAGGGAATCTGGCAATAATTAGAAGCTTTTAACCTACATAAACAGTATAAAGAACACCTATATCGGGGGCTAGAGAGATGGCTCAGCAGATACGAGCACTGACTACTCTTCCAGAGGACCTGAGTTCAATTTCCAGCACCCACATGGCAGCTCACAACTGTCTGTAACTCCAGTTCCTGGGGATCTGACACCTTCACACCAATGCACATAAAATAAATTTAAATAAATTATTAAAAAAAAGAACACCTATCTTTGCTCCGTCTGTCTTATCATTTGTTTGATCATCACACGTCTTTTCTAACCCATTTAAGTTGTATGCATTATGTACACTTGCCTTCTAAATATTTCAGTGTGTTTCTTCAGATTATCGTAGTTTAAACAGCTATAATAATACTTTAAATACTTTTAAAAAGATTTATTTTTTAATCCTGTGTATCTGTGTGAAGGTATGTACTTGAGCACAGGTGCCTGAAGAGGCCATAAGAGGGCATCATATCTCCTTGACATAGAATTACAATCAGCTGTGAGTTACCTAAGTAAGAGCTGGGAACTAAATCTGGATCCTCTGCAGGAGCAGTAGATGCTCTTAAACACTGAGACATCTCTGCAGGCCCTGATACAACCAGCCATGTATGTTGTAATGTCAGTTAATACTTTCCTTGAGCTGGGTGGTGGGAACCCCAGTCTTTAATCCCAGCACTTGGGAGGTAAAGGTAGGTGGATCTCTATAAATTCAAGGTCTGCCTCTGCCTCCCAAGGGCTGGAATTAAAGATCCGCACCACCACTACTCGACCATTTGAGGAGGCAGATGCACAGAAAGCATGACTAAAATAAAATGCAATTACCATGCTAATACCTAAAGTTCTATGTCACCAAAATACCAGGAAACTAAGCTTTTTGCCTCATCTTCCAAGAAGCCAGGAGAAAAGCACAGGCAAATTCTCCAACCAACCAGTTTGAACTGGCCTGGCATTCAGTTTCTCTCATCATATTCATTTTTCTCTTTAAAGATTTATTTATTATCAGCAACCAGTGCTCTTAACTACTGAGCCGTCACTCCAGCCCCCTCATCGTATTCTTTATACCAGTGGCCTTACGCCTCCAAACACTAATCAGTTGTTTCTCAATTGTCCAGTCCTGCTGCCCACCTGCCAAGGGAACGAACAATCTATTTCCCCTGTTTCTGCTTTCTTTAGGCTTCCTATAAAATTCAACAAATTCTTCTCCTCAGCCTATCAAAATCTTAACGGTCTAATGGAATATAAAGTGTTGCCCAATCCTAGAATTCTAAACATAACAACAAAACAAAAATTAAGATCAATAAACTAAAGTTGTGCTTTTTTCTTTTGACACCGGTAACCATACCATACTAGTTATGTTGGGTTGCCTGACTCTAGAATCAAAAATAAGGCCAAATAAGGTCTTTAATCTGGGCTATGGATGTAGGTCAGTGGCAGGGTACTTGTCTAATACACAAGGTCTCAGGTCTAACTCCCAGTACTAGAAAAGTGGGAGAAATCCTATGAAGGTGTAAATGACACGGCTGTGACCTCAGCATTCGGGAGGTGGCAGCAGGAGGATCAGGAGTTCAGGGTTCCTCAGTTATACAGTGAGTATAAATAAGGCCTGCCTCAGTTACATGAGCCAATAGCAAATGAAATAAAAACAAAACAGGAAAAAGAAAAACCTTGAAATTTTAATTCTGTCCTTCAACACCCATTGTACTGCCAGGTAAGTGATGGTCTATCCTTCTAGCAGTGCTAAAAGGCGGAATGTCCCAAAGACATAAGAGGCTCATCACCCAAAGTGGCAGCCAGTTCTCCACTCCACATACAGTATATCTTCAGCTCTTACAATGAGTAAACCATTTGCAGGAGCGGCTTACAGGTGGTGAAAAGACCAAACAGTTATCGACAGGATACACCTAACTCCCCTAGCGCACATGTCTGGCAAGCCTTTTTATTTACCACATGGTTGCTCTAAATAGATGCCAAATAAGAGGAATTTGTTTCTAATTGTGATGGAGCTGAGCCTGTCAGAAACACAAAAACCTTGCTTTTGCAGTTTCCAAACATTTTTCCCTTAACTGGGCCACACTTGACAACCGTAGCTCAATCCCTGGGACCTACGTGAGGGAAGGACTCAATCCCTGGGACCTACGTGAGGGAAGGACTCAATCCCTGGGACCTACGTGAGGGAAGGACTCAATCCCTGGGACCTACGTGAGGGAAGGACTCAATCCCTGGGACCTACGTGAGGGAAGGACTCAATCCCTGGGACCTACGTGAGGGAAGGACTCAATCCCTGGGACTACATGAGGGAAGGACTCAATCCCTGGGACCTACATGAGGGAAGGACTCAATCCCTGGGACCTACATGAGGGAAGGACTCAATCCCTGGGACCTACGTGAGGGAAGGAGAGAAGTGACCTCCACATGTGCACCACCCACTTACACACACGTACGATTCAATTAGAAATGAAGAACAAAGCAACCTGGGTGTCCTACTCCAGGTTTTGTTCTTAGATCTATGACCAATTGAGTTAATTTCTATGTAAAGTATGAGGTTTAGGTTGAGATTTCTATTTTTGCGTATAGTTTCAGTTTTGCTTCAAAGAATATCCTTACGGGGCTGGAGAGATGGCTCAGAGGTTAAGAGCATTGCCTGTTCTTCCAAAGGTCCTGAGTTCAATTCCCAGCAACCACATGGTGGCTCACAACCATCTGTAACGGGGCCTGCAGGCATACACAGACAGAATATTGTATACATAATAAATAAATTAAAAAAAGCCAAGTAGGTAGGCTGGCTAGCCAGCAAACCATAGAGATTTGCCTCGCTCCACTTCACCTCCCCAGTGTAGAAACTAAGGACATGCACTCTAAACCCCGTTTTTATACGGGAGCTCTGGGATTGAACTCAGGTCATTATGCTTGTGAGCCAAGCATTTTCCCAACTGAGTGTTTCCCAGTCTCGTAGCCAGACTCAAAAACTCAGAAAGGGGTCGGGTGGTGGGGCATGTCTTTAATCCCAGCACCCAGGAGGCAGAGACAGGTGCGTCCTTGTGAGTTCGAGATTGACCTGCCTCTGCTTCCCAGGTGCTGGGATTAAAGGTTGAAGTTTCTTTTTAAACACACATACAGCAATGTCTCTGGTTGTGCTTAGAAAACGTTCTCATGTTTCCATTTTTGTTTGGCTGAAAATAATTTTAAGTTTCATAGAGACTTCTTTTTGATCTGTTGACTTTATGTTTTACAAGTCTGACATCTTTCTGATTTCCCTCTTCCTGCAGATTTCCCTTCATAACTCAGAATGATTTATCTTGGCCAAAGTCACATGTGCACTTGGACAGTGCCTGTTCTGGGACTGGGAGGTGAAAACACTAAATGAGCTGCTTGGTTGATGGGCACTCTCAGACCTTCAGGAGCTCTACGAACTTTCCAGCTACTATAAGCAGCAGCAAACTCTTCAACTGTGGCTGCGTTTCCACACCCATCAGCTCGGCGGCATCTGCGTGAGCTCTGAATCTTTGCTGATGGTGCACATATGGTCATATCTTCTTGGTGAACAGACCCACTGTGAAGTTGTCTCTCATTCTCATCTAAGTCAGCTTTGAAAACTATTTTAAAGGGAGGCTCCCAGGCGACACACGCCTTTACCCTCCAAAGGCAGAGGCAGAGGGAGCCGTGTGAGTTCTGGGCCAGCCTAGTCTACAGAGTGAGTTCCAGGACAGTCAGGGCTGTTGCACAGAGAAACCCTGCCGAGGTGAGTGAGTGAGTGAGTGAGTGTGTGTTCAGAGGACAACTTTCAAGGGTCAATTCTCTCCTACTAAGTGGGCCCCAGGAATTGAACTCAGGTCATCAGGGATGGCAGCCAGCACCTTTATCCACTGAGCCAGCTTGCTCATTTTTCTTTTCATTTTAAAAAGAAAGAATCTCAGTGTATAGTCCTGGCGGGCTTGTAACTCGCTCTATAGACCAGGCTGGCCTTAAACTCGGAGATCCACCTGTCTCTGCTTTCCAGATGCTGGGTTTAAAATTGTTCACCAGCACACTTGACTTTTTCTATTTTTAAATTTTATTACAGCCGGGCGGTGGTGGTGCACGCCTTTAATCCCAGCACTCGGGAGGCAGAGGCAGGCAGATCTCTGTGAGTTCGAGACCAGCCTGGTCTACAGAGCTAGTTCCAGGACAGGCTCCAAAGCTACAGAAAAACCCGGCTCGAAAAACCACACACACACACACACACACACACACACACACACAAAATTTTATTAAAATATACTGAGTGGTGGTGATGAACACCTTTAGAAACTTGTAATTGAAGCACTAGGCAGAGACAGGAGGATCAAGTTCAAGGTCATTCTTGGCTATTAACAAGTTCAGGGCAAGCTTGCATTACGTGACAACTAGTCCCAAAAAGAAAAAAAAAATGGAAAACAAAGCCCAAGAATAGTGCTGGCAAGAGGACAGCCCAGTGAGACAAAATAAACAACCTACAGGTCTACACCCTCACTGTGGCCAACTCAACTTTCTACAAAGGAGAAAGCGCTGTAAGAATCATGTTGGAACAAATGAGTATCCCTGCAAAAAATTGAGATTTAGGCCCAAACCGTAAATCTGTTACAAAACTAATTTAAAATAGATCACAGAACTAAACAAACAAAAAGACTGTAACATTATAAAACTCAAAGTATCACACAAAAGAAAACCTAGATAGACAAAACTTTGGCTAAAACTGTTCAAATAAAACACCAAAGACACACTCCACAAAAGAAAATAAGGATAAGACAGACTCACTACTTTTCTGTTCTATGACAGAAACTGTCAAAAAAAGAGACATGTATCCATGCATGTGCGTGCAGTTTCGTGCGTACGTGTGTGTACACACACACACACACACAGATTGAGAGTAAGCACTATAGAGTAGCGATTATACAGAACACCAACCACATTACATGCAGATGAGAAAGTGTCCAAGCTGTTCTGTAAAAAGAACAAGACCCGGGATGCAGGTCAGCAAAGAATGCTTTGCCTTGGCAGCCGGAGCTGTGAAGAGCAGCAGTTTTCATTCACTGCTGTGGCCACTAGAGCAGACAGCCTGGAGTCTGGCACTCGGCGAATGCATTCCTATCACTCTACCCCAGCAATGCAGAGAAACTGTGGACTTTGGAGGGCACCATGTTAACGGAGGCTTTATATACATATATTTGGGGCAGGGCCTTGTGTGCAGAGATCACAGGACAAGTTTTTAAATAACTATTCATTTAATTTTATATGTAGGTGTGGTGCCTGAATGTATGTGTAGTACTGTGAGGGCTGGCAGAGGTCAGAGAGGGCATTAGAGTTCACGGAACTGGAGTCACAGTTACTATGTATGTGGTTACTAGGAATCTAATCTGGGTCCAGAGGACAGCTCTAGAATTCATTCTGTCCTCCCACCTTTAGACTGGGTTCCAGGGATTGAATTCAAGCCATTCAGTTAGCACAGTGAGCCATTTCCTTGGCCCAATGAGAATTTCTCCATTGTGACAAATACACTTCTCTTTGGAAATGTTATCATTTGGGAGAAGGGGAGGTCTTCCACAGAAATCTTTACCTTTCATATCTCCTGTGAACTTAAAACAGCTCTAAATAAATTCCTCAAAATCATATACAAGTAACAAAAACTAGAATGGATAGAAGCAGTCAAGAATGGCTGTAAAATCAAGTACTGGTTAGAATAATGGTTATAAGCAATAACAGCAAAGGCTTAGCTATAGAATGCTAGTGATGGAATCCAGGGTCTCAAACATGGTGATCATATGCTCCACTAAGCTGTAGTCCACAATCTCCACCCTCTTTCACCCAACCTATTTATTAGAGTCTCACTGTGCTGCCCAGGCTGGCCTTGAAATTAGCATTCTTGCCGGGCAATGGTGGCACACGCCTTTAATCCCAGCACTCGGGAGGCAGAGGTAGGCGGATCTCTGTGAGTTCGAGACCAGCCTGGTCTACAGAGCTAGTTCCAGGACAGGCTCCAAAGCCACAGAGAAACCCTGTGTCGAAAAACCAAAAAAAAAAAAAAAAAAAAAAGAAATTAGCATTCTTACTGCTTCCATCTTGAGGGCTGGGATTCCAGGTTATATGTGTATGAACCCAGAGGATAACGGGTGTCATTTTTTGAGAAGGGGGTTTTGCTGACACAGGCTAAGACCTGAATTCAAATCACAAGCATACACAAAAAAGTTGGGTATGGCCATGGGAGCCTACAACCCTAACACGGGGAGTGGAGACAGGTAGGGTCAGGAACTGACGAGTCAGCCCCTACAGCCAAAGCTGGAAGCTTTGGGTCTGGTAAAAGACCCTGCTTCAAGAGAATAAAATGGAGAATGATAGAGCAGAATGTCCAATGCCATCCTCTGGTGTCTACTAGACATGTATGTACAGATAAACACACAGACACAGACACCACTCCTCAACAACAAAACAGCACAAAGCCATAGCAGTCAAGAACTGGCAAGGAGGAAGATCATAGAGACCACAGAGTAGAAATGGAGTTCGAAATAAAGCCACCCAGGTGGGACCAACTGATATTTCAATAAAGGTGCCAAAACTGTAATAAGGAAAAGATAGTCTCACCAACAAATAAGACTGGGAAAACTGGACAGCTATCAGTAAAAGAATGACTTTAGACCCCCTGACTCACTCACTATTAAAAAAAGGGGACGATGGGCAAATATATGGACACCCCAAAATATGAGCAACCAAAAGGAAGGTAAGTTAGACTTTATCAAAATTAAAAACTCACAGTGGGAAGCCGGGCAGTGGTGGTGCACGCCTTTATCCCAGCACTCGGAGGCAGAGGCAGGCGGATCTCTGAGTTCAAGGCCAGCCTGGTCTACAAGAGCTAGTTCCAGGACAGGTTCTAAAACTACTACAGCAAAATCCTGTCTCGAAAAACCAAAAACACAAAATCACAGAGAAACCCTGTCTTGAAAAACCAAAAAAAAAAAAAAAAAAAAAAAAAAAAAAACTCATAGCCAGGATTGCTAAGGGGGAGAAAATTCTCTGTATCAAGCAAAAAGACCTGAGTTCAATTTCTGGCTTTGCTTGTGAACTAGAGAGAAGGAAACAAAATCCCACAATTCAACAAGAAAAAGGAAAATTTACAAATTTTGCCTACATAGTGAGCCTAACGCTGGCCTGGAATACATGAGACCTGGTTTTAAAAAGTAAGAAGGAAGAGGCTGGAACCAGCTCAGTTGGTAGAGTGGTTGCCTAGCATGCACACCGCCAGCCTGGAATACACGAAACACTGCCTCACCTACTCATTGGCTGCAAAGGACTTAAACAGATGGTCTAGAATGCATTGTTATGTAGATCAAGCTGACCTCAGACAGACCTGCAGCAAACCAAACTTTATTCTAGGTGCTGAGATTACAGCCATGAGACCACACCCAGGTTTTCAACAGATATGTCTTCAGAGAGTATACCAAAATGCCAATATACACACATAAGGTATTATTTATTATTGGAGAAATTTATTTTCTCAAAAAAATAAAAAATTATTTTTAAAATAAAAATCCCAACGTGTTCACTTCAGCAGCACATATACTAAAATTGGAACAATACAGAGATTAGCATGGCCCATGTACAAGGATGACATTCAAATTTGTTAAGTGTTCCATATTTAAAGGGGAAAAAACCCAGCAGCATATACCTTTACTCCTACCCAAATGACTATATCGAACAAGAAATTAAGCAGTAAGAAAAGATCTGGAGACATCAGAATGGATGTGTCTTAGTGTTTCTATTGCTGTGATAAACACAGGAACAAAAGTAACTCGGGGAGGAAAAGGTTTAATTCATCTTACTGATGGCAGTCCATCATCCAGGAAGTCAGGTCAGAAACTCGAGGCAGAAATCGATTCAGAGATCATTAAGGAGTGAATGAATAAACAAAAATCTTTAAAATTATTCCTTAATTTGTAAGTGAGTGTTTTGCTTACATCCATGTTTCTGTACCACGTAAATGCCTGGTGTCATGGAGCACAAAAGAAAGCATCTCAGCCCCTGGAACTGGGGTTACAGACAGGTGTGAACTGCCACACGAGTGCCGTGAATCCAACTTGGGCCCTCTGGAAGAGCATCTAGTCACCAGTACCTAAACAAAATAGTTTACAATCACATACAGAGGGAAATTATTTTCAGTTACAAAAAGAAATGCATGCTGAAACACAGATAAAACCTGAAAATATTCTAAATGAAAGAAAGCAGCCCCTAAGACTACATGTTATGACTCTACTTAAATAAAAAGTGTCCAGAATATGTTCAGGATGGTAGCTGCTAAAGCACTGGAGGTGTGCTTGGCTGTGTGTGTGTGTGAGTGTGCACGCGCGTGCGATTCTTTTGGGATGATGGAAATGACAGTGGTGCCGGTTGTACAACATTATAAAAATACCAAAAAAACAGGCTGGGAAGATGGCTCAGGGTTTAAGAGCACTGGTTGCTCACCCAGGTGTCCTGTGTTCAATTCCCAGTAACCAAATGGTTGCTCACAAATATCTATAGTGAGATCTGGTGCCCTCTCTGACATGCGGGCTTACATGTGAAAAGGAAGGAAGGAAGGAAGGAAGGAGGGAAGGAGGGAAGGAGGGAAGGAGGGAAGGAGGGAAGGAAGGAAGGAAGACTGGGCCTCTGTGAGAGTAGCAAGTGCTTAAAAAATCTGGACAGTGGTGGTGCACTCCTTTAATCCCAGCCCTCGGGAGGCAGAGGCAGGTGAAAGCTGTGAGTTCGAGGCCAGCTTGGTCTATAGAGTAAGTTCCAGGACAGACTCCAAAGCTACAGAGAGGAACCCTGTCTTGAAAAATTGAAAACCAAAATAAATAAATAAATTTAAAAAAATATTTAAAACAAACAAGCAAAAAAAGGTCAGAAACCAAAACCTATATACATCAGTGTATATTTGTCTATATTGTATTCATTAATTCAGAAAGACTTGTATATAAAAATGTTTTTAAAAATTAAAAAAAAAACATATAGATATAATAAACACAAAAAAACCCACCAAAATAACAAAAAAAAAAAGCCAAATGTTGTGGAATACTATTTTAACTAAGCATTTGTCCACTTTGCCTGCCTAAGGCACCTAACTGATCTAATAAAAAGATGAACGACTGATAGGTAGGCAGGAGAGGATAGGTGGGGCTGGCAGGCAGAGAGAATGAGAAAGAGGAGGGAAGAACAAGGGAGAAAGAGAGGCACCCGCCCAGGGCCATAAGCCAGGCAGTCGCCAGCCAGACACGGGAAGCAGTGAACCCAGAGGTGGTGGCAGAGTTCAAGGCCAGTCTGGTCCACAAGAGTTAGTTCTAGGGCAGGCACCAAAGCTGCACAAGAAAAAAGAAGCAGTGAAAGTAAGATCTACAAAAGGAGAGAAAGGTAAAAAGCCCTGAGACAAAACATAGATAAAGAGAAAGGGGTTGAATTATAAGAGCTTGCAAAAAGTGAGACAAGCTAAGGCCAAATATTCACAGCTACTAAGTCTCCGTGTCATAATCTGGGAGCTGGTTGATGGTCCCGAAAGAAAGTCTGTTACACCCAAACAAACAAACAAAAAATGCTAGTGATGGCTTAGTAGTTCAGGTTGCTTACTGCCAAGCCCGATGACCTGAGTCTGATCACTGGAGCCCAGACAGTAGAAGGAAAAGAACCAACTCCTACAAGTTGTCCTCTGACCTCTACACATGTAAACCACCCCCTTTCAGACAAAATTAAAAATCATTAAATACCTATTTATATAATTTAGTAGTTATTAAACCTAAGGCTCCACATAATACCAATAACACTCAGCTATATCCTCAGGTTTTTTATCTTGAGACAGATTTTCATTGGTTGCCCAGACAGGCCTTATATCACCAGGTCAAACATATACGCCTAAATTGCAAATTTTATGTGAATTATATCTGAATAAAAATGTTTTGCCACCCTCAAAACACTAGAAAACAAGAACAGTTGAAAGTTTCCAGCTCAATCTGGGTCGGGCTTGGTACTACAAATCTTTAATCCCAGCACTTGGTAGGCAGAGGCAAGTATATGGATCTCTTGTGAGGACTGCCTGGTCTACATAGTAAGTAAAACCCTGTTTAAAAAAAAAAAAATCAAATGATAAAAGGAGTTTCACTCAACAGGAGAACAGAACTTACTTAACAGGTATGTATTGGCCTTTTAAGCACATGATTTTATTAGAACTTAAATATGCATTTTGCCATGGTTGCTCAATTCACTCCTCTGAGACTCTCCCCGCCGTTAAGGCAGGCCTCAAGAGACGTGACTATCCCACGAACTCTTACAGCCATCAGAGCTGTCAGTAATCATGAGGTAACAGTCGACTCTATGCTGGGCCAAGAAGAGAGAAAATCTAGAATTGGGGACAAAGGTAGGAGTGGGCTGGAACTGAGAACAAGTGAATCTGTGGGCTATGGAGATGAAAAACAGCAAGTTAAAACACAAAACTGAGTGTCCTTGAGAGAGCTGCCTGAACTTCCTCTTCCTAAACCTAGGACCTGACTCTGCTCAGTTCCTCAAAACACCCAGGCCCCTTCCCACAGTCTTGGGGCTCTAGCCTTACCATAATTAGTGTCTAGTGCCTACCGAGAGCAGAGTGGTAGAGAGAGGAGCTCCAAGCTGGGCTCAGACACTGACTGTGACCCGCCTGGGTTCACAGTGAAGACAAAAATCAGACTGGATCTCATCACTGCTTAGAATGCTTGAAAAGACCAGTGATCAGACACTCAAACTTCCCATCCTTTACAGGCTTGTCAGCCTTGAACATCAGATTCAACCAAGACACCAAACTAAGCCAACACTAAAACACCCTTGAGAGGAGGCAGTTGTAAGCAGCATGAAATGAAGCGGTCATGTGGCCAGTGAGATGGCTCCGTGGACAAGACGGCTCGCACGCTTGCTGTTGAGCCTGATGACCTAAGTCCAAACACTGGAACCACACGGGACAGAAAGAACTAATCCCCAAAAGCTGTATTCTGGTCTTCATATGCATGTGTGTGCACACAGTCTTCCCCCCTCCCTCCCTATGGATAGGAGAGGTGGCACATGCCTTTAGTCCCAGCTACTTAGAAGCTGAAGGAGTCTGACAAGATCTGGTCTCAAAGTAAATGAATGATTAATAATCCAAATTATTACTACAGGGGAAGAGTGGTCAGGCATGGTGATACATGCCTCCAGCACATGGAGGCCAGAAACATCATTGGTTAGAGTGAGCTGGAGGCCAACCTGAGCGCCACAAACACTGACTCAAAAAAACCAAGAAAATAAATGAAAAATGAGGAAAACTAGAGTAAAAAACATTCCCTGGCACCCACAGAGAAAGACTCACAACTGCCTGTAACTTCTGCTATCCAAGGGCACCTATACATGTACATATATCCTTGAAGAAATATACAAGTAGATATAAAAACACCTCAGAAGACATTTAGATAAAAGCCAGAAGTGATGGTACATGCTTAGAATCCCAGAAGTTGGAAGGCTCAAGACCAGCCTGGGTTAGGTGGTGGATACCAGAGAAGAAAAAAGCAAATAGATCACATACTAAGGTAATAATACACCACATTCAATGGAAGTTTGGCTGTAGAGGGGTATGCACTGAGGCTGAAGCAGAAGGATGGGGCTGGGGCTACCTAAAGAAACTAAAACTCAAGGGGGAAAAGTCTCTAGAAGCGACTGACAGCCACTGGTTCCAGTACAGCAGAGAAGCTATACTAGAAACAAGAAAGGAGGCTGTCGCAGAGGACCACAGATCCTGGGCTATGACAACAGTGTTGAAGATGAAGATTTCTGGACAGGGTCAAGAGATATTTAGTAAATCTAAAGCTAGTACAACACACTGACCGAAGCTGGGTGTGGTGGTACAAGAAATATTTCATAATTAAAGCTGATATAATATTCTGACAGAAACTGGGTGTGGAGGCACATGCCTGTAATACCAGCATTTAGGTGGTGAGGCAGATGAAGTCTAAGGTCAGCCTGAGCTACACAGTGAGTTCAAGGCTAGCCCGGACTCCACAGCAAGATCCCACCTAAGAGCACAGGCTTGCGGCTAGGGAGATGGCTCTGGAGTTAAGATGGAGACCTGCTCTTTCAGAGGACCTGATTTGGTTCCCGAACACTCATGTTGGGAGCCCACAACAGCCTGTAACTCCAGTTTGTTTTGCATGTGGGAGAGGGGTTCCAATACCTCTAGGGGCAACTCCACTCACAGGCACAGATCCACACACTAGCACACAGAAACAGTTAAAAATAAGTCTAAGATTCTACAACTCTGCAGCCTCTTACAGTCTCTACCCACAGGAAGCTAATAAGCATCTGAAACGTAGTTAGTAACAACAAGGAATTTAACCTTTAATTTTGTGTAATTTTCACTAATTTAAGTAAGTGGCTGCTGTATCAGACAACACAGTTCTGGATTAGTCACCTAATTTAAGATATATGACAGGATAAAAAATTTGTCTAACAATATACACCAGGACATTCAGAATGCCAAAATAAATTCCCTAAGACGGGAAGATGTTCAAGACATACTAAGAAGAGCTGGAGAGATGGCTCAGAGGTTAAGAGCATTGCCTGCTCTTCCAAAGGTCCTGAGTTCAATTCTCAGTAACCACATGGTGGCTCACAACCATCTGTAATGGGGTCTGGTGTTCTCTTCTGGCCAGGAGGCATACACACAGACAGAATATTGTATACATAATAAATAAATAAATATTTAAAAAAAAGACATACTAAGAAACACATATTTTGGCTGGGTGGTGGTGCATGCCTGTAATCCTAGCACTTGGAAGGAAGAGGCAGATGGACCTCTGTGAGTTCAAGGCCAGCCGGACCTACAGAGCTAGTGCCAGGACAGCCAGGACTCTTACACAGAGAAACCCTGTCCCCCCCCAAAAAACAAAAATAAATAAATAAATATGAAAACATGTATCAAGATAACATAAACATCGCATCTTTCAATTTTAAGAAGCTCTAGAACAGGGTATAATGGCCACAACTGTAGTCCCACAGTTTGGAGACAGGAGAACTCTCTCCTCCACCATACAAAGAACCAGTCAATGTCCTTCCATTTGCTTTTCATTCAATATGCAAAATACTGTAGTATTTATAACCAAATTATGGGTTTTTCTGCACTATGAAAAGATGTGTGACCTTAGGATCACACTTAAGGAACAAAATAGGACAGAAATGGGGCTGGAGAGATGGCTCAGTGGTTAAGAGCATTGCCTGCTCTTCCAAAGGTCCTGAGTTCAATTCCCAGCAACCACATGGTGGCTCACAACCATCTGTAAAGAGGTCTGGCGCCCTCTTCTGGCCTTCAGGCATACAGACAGAATATTGTATACATAATAAATAAATAAATATTTAAAAAAAAATAGGACAGAAATATATCTAATAGGGCTGGAGAGATGGCTCAGTGGTTAAGAGCATTGCCTGCTCTTCCAAAGGTCCTGAGTTCAATTCCCGGCAACCACATGTGGCTCACAACCATTTGTAATGATGTCTGGTGCCCTCTTGTGGCCTGCACACACAGACAGAATATTGTATACTAAATAATTTTTTTAAAAAAAGAAATATATCTAATAATATTATATTTAAAACCACTTTATCCCTACAGCAGTCCAGGGTACTGGAATATTTATCTGGCTGGGCAAGGTGGTCAGCTAGTGATGCCAGCAATCCATAGGCTGAGGCAGCCATGAGCCCCAGGCCAGCCTGGGCTAGAGATCCTGTCTCAAAGAAATGGGAAGAGAATTCGAAAACAATCATGGGAACTTAACCCTTTTATGTCCCAAACCTTTAACTATGGAAGGATTTGTCCTAAAATGTGTCTATGCCATTTGCACCCTCAGCCAGTAGGGAATCGATCCTCACTCGACATCTGGGAGTCATTATTATTCTCAACACCAATTGTTGGGTTCAATATTTTGAACTTCAATTACTAGCATTAAGTTAAAGAACATACCTTCCCCCCCCCCTTTTTTTAAGAGATAGGGTCTCACCTTACAGGGTAGTCTCAAGCTAGCAATTAGGCCTCTTCCAGGTGCCAGAATCACAGGTAAGCAGCCTATTCCCTTTGAAAACCACCCTAGATTGCTACATAGGAATCTGCTTCTCCCCGCCTGCAGTGTACCCAGACCAGCTGGCAGGCCAGGCATGCATTCTCCCATTGAGCACATCCCATGCCCATGTTTTAGTCTTTCCTGGGGCTGCACACTCCCTCCCCCTCTTCATCAGATTCTGTGTTCTCTGACTACAGTACTTCTATCTGCGGCTTTATAGTTTCACCCTGGGAAACAACAAGGTTGGTGAGAATTCTAGGCAGAATAAACGGTTGCTGCGGGAGCATGGAGGCCCTACTACAGGAAACTTCCCACGGAGAGAGGTGGCACAGGGCTGAGAGCCCAGCACTTAGGAGGCTGAGGCAAGAGAAATGACAGGAGTTCAACTAGCCTGGGCTATACGATGAGTCCCAGGCCAGTCTGCAGCTGTCTAGGAGAAATCGGTTATGGGCTGCTGAGGACTGTATCTTCTTACTAACCCTTCGCTAACATGTCAGGGTGTGTGTAGGGACTGAACCCAGGGCCTTTGCACATGCTAACTATGGATTTTACAATGAAATCCCCCTCTGCCCCCTCACTATGGTTTAAACGATATGAGAGAGTCCCACAGCCCTTTAATTCCATGCAAGTCAAATGCTGTCGATCTATCAGTGGTTTCGAGTCAAGTCTGACACCGTCGTCCCTGAGCAAAACAAAAATAGGGATGAGAGTGGGAATCGGAAGGTCTAGTTAACAACAAGAGTAAAGACGACAATGACAGCTAACATTTACTCCGGCTTGCCTGCAGCACTCCCGGCTCGCGCTCGGGAGAAACGCTTGTAAACAGCTGAGTATCTCTCGCTAGCCCCCGCAGGGGCACGCGAGCGGGTCACAAAGCAGGCGCGTTCTAAAGTCAACAGGACAGAAAAACGAGGCATTGCCACCTATCTCGAGGGGGACATGTGGAAACAGGGGCACAGTGAACTTCTGAGCGATGGATCGAGCACCCCCCCACACACACCCCATACACACACACCGGAAGTTTTGAAATATCCTGCGGGCTCCCACAGGCAGAGTGGCTTCCCTCCGCCGCCGCTCTCGGAGCCCTCGGTGGGCAAGGGGACCTCTCCGCGCCTGCAGCACCCGGGCTGGGTAGGCCACCAGCCAGGAGCCAGGCCGTCAATCACAGCCAGCGCTCGCAGCTACGTCCCTCGCCGCCCGCCAGCGGGAGCCGGGCAGCGGGCAGGTGGTGGCACCTGCGGCCGCGACCCGAGAGGGCTGTTCCCGGCTCGGCTGCCTGGCCCAGGGCCCCGCGATCACCTCGGCGGTGATCCCTCGGACCGTCGTCCCGGTGGCGGCCGCGCCACAGGCCCGGCCACGCCAACTCGCTCGCCGCGCGCCACTCACCGAAGAAGCCCTGCACGATGCCGAGCGGGTGGCTCAGCCAGTCTTCTCCACAGGGCATGGCGCTGAGAGCCGGGGCCAGCGCGGCCCGTGAGGCGCTTCTCCGTGGGCCGAGCGCGCTCGGAACCCGGCGGCTCCTCGGGGGCTCGTCCGCGCCCTCCCACGCGCGGGGCGTCGCGAGCCGCGGGCCTCCGGGAGACGCTGCCGCGGTGACGAGCGCCTCGGAGCTGCTGACCCGTGGCAGGAGCGGCACAGTGGTCCCCACCTCCACTTCTCACAATGGCGGGAAATCGCGGCCACCGACCGCGCAGCCTGCGACCTGGGTGGAGTTCGGGAGGGAGGGGCGGCGGGAGCGTGCTGCGCAGTCCCGGAGGGGAGGGAGTGGGCGGGGCGGAGCGGCCATTTTGGAGACGGGTAGAGACCAGGCAGTGGCGCGGCCGCCATCTTGGAGATGGGCACAGGGAAGAGACTGGACTGTGCAGAATAGTCACCCTGAGAGCGCATTGATGGGAAACCCCACCAGGCTACCTCATTGGCCCAACGTGTGCGTCCCTACGGAAGGATCAAATGGCACAAGCTAGCTAACCCAGGCCTCAGAGTCATCTCTGAACAAAATTAAGGGGTGAAACTCTATTTGGGGTCCGCTAACCTGATTTCTCTGTGACTTAATTTTTTTTCATCTGTTTCTGGCGCTAGAATTCTATGGCACCCTGCCCAAAATCCTATGTAAGAACTTTTCCCCAGCTCAATGAGTTCTTCAATGAGTTCTTCCTGAACGATTTAATTGAGGAGGCTTTTAAATCAAGGAGGCATTGCATGCAGGCTTTGTGGGTATCTCAGTATTGCAGAGGAACTGGTTCCTCGTGGAGAAACAAGTACTCAGAACTCTCTTCTGGCCCAGTTTAGTTTCTGACCTGAAAACACACGCAAGTGAGCATCTACCTCCAACCTGGCAACTAGGGAGCTGTGGCAGGATATCCAGGCACATAGAGAGTGCAGGATACTCTTAGAGGGCTGACCCAGAAGGGCAACGCCTTTAGCCAGGGAATTTAAGAATTGTTCAAGTTTTCACAAACCATTTCCCCACTGTATGGGATGTACCTCAGAAAACCCTGGTTTCATCACCTATACCTACTTGACAAAAAAAAAAAAAAAAAAAAAAAAAAAGTGATCTGAATGCAATCTAGAAAGTAGATGGCTGAAGAATAAGAACTGCCCAGTGGTAGAGCACTCGCCTGGCATGCAAGAGGCCCTGGGTTTAATCCCGTCCCTAGCAAGAGATAAAAGGCAAAGAGGCTGCAACGGATAAACAGAGACAGCTAGACTGAACCCAGAGACCTCCATAGAGCTGTAGGGAAAAGAAACAAAACCTGCCGCTCTGCCTTTCTTGGTTCCCTGCTCTTAACAGCACACAGGTTGATGAGGGAAAGCTGACAGGCATTGTCTTTAAATTCAAGCACTTGGGAGATGCTGGCAAGGAAGATCAGGTGTTCACAGTCAGCCTTGGCTACATACCCAGTTTGAGGCCAGCCTGAGCTACATATAACCCTGTCTCATAAAAAGAAAAAAGTTTGCCGGGCAGTGGTGGCCTATGCCTTTTAATCCCAGCACTCAGGAGGCAGAGGCAGGCGGATCTCTGTGAGTTCGAGGCCAGCCTGGTGTACAAGAGCTACCTCCAGGACAGGCTCCAAAGCTACAGAGAAACCCTGTCTCGGAAAAAAAATAATTTAAAAAAAGGTTATGAACATGAGTACCACAAGTTTATGAACAACCAGGGAAAAATAACTTAAAGTGGCTTATAATTTGGGCTGTCTAGCAATCATCCACAGAGAACAATAAATTTGTAGAGAAATGACAGAAGAAAGTAGTTTTCAGTTCTCAAAGGCCGCAAATCAAAATATGAAAGACTGATTGTAGTTTAGCAATGTGTGAAATCTTTCCAGTTCTGGTTTGATAAAGTCTAAAGTCTCACTGGTATTTAGCTTCTGTATTAACTGATGGGAAGGGGAGGGGAGGGAGGACACCTTGGAAACCCATGTCCTGTTTAGATACAGACAGTGGGAGGGCAGGAGTATATATATGATTCTGCTCGGTTGCCTTTAACTCAAGGTAATCTTTATGCCAAAATATCATGATTTGGAGCGCTTCCTGACTTGCTTCAGGGCGAAAGAGGTAATTTGGACTTGCCATCTCAATATGACTCTACATCTGGTATTGTGAGTTGAGAAACTAACAAGGCTCGAGCCGGGCAGTGGTGGCACAAGCCTTTAATCCCAGCACTCGGGAGGCAGAGGCAGGCGGATCTCTGTGAGTTCGAGCCCAGCCTGGTCTACAAGAGCTAGTTCCAGGACAGGCTCCAAAACCACAGAGAAACCCTGTCTCAAAAAACCAAAAAAAAAAAAAAAAAAAAAAAAACCTAACAAGGCTCAGACAATGTTGTCCCCATAGGCTCATAAGTTTGAGTCATGGTCTCTAGTTGGTGGAACTGTTTAAAAAGGGTTAAGAGGTGTTGACCCGCCCAGCAGGTCCTAAGTTACTCCAGGGTCTTGAAGAGGCACTATCTGAAAGACATGGGAGAGAGAAACGGACGCCAAGCAGTATTCCTTGTCAAGGCATCCCCTTTATTGAAGCAAGTTTTACATCTTATATACTCCTCAGTGAGGAGCTTGGGGGGGGGGACTGAGGAAGGGGGAAAGGGGGGAAGGAAAGGAGGGGCTCGGTGGCTAGGCAGCTAAGCCGGGCAGTTGTAAGGTGCCGTCTGAAGCTTGAATCTCCAAGGTCAGTATACAATGTCTCAGTTAGCTTTAAGTTTTTCTGTCTCAAGATTTCCATCTCAAGGCCCTGTGAGACGTGAGAAAGGAGAAGCCTGAAATGGCTCCTGACAAGGTGTGGTCTTGTTGTAGGAGATGTGTCATGGGGCAGCCTTTGGAATGTTGTGGAAAATTTGTTTTGTTTTGTTTTTCAAGATAGGGTTTCTCTGTAGCTTTGGAGCCTGTCTTGGAACTAGCTGTTATAGACCAGACTGTCTTCAAACTCACAGAGATCCGCCTGCCTCCGCCTCCCGTGTGCTGGGATTAAAAGCGTGTACCACCACCGCCCGGCATGGAATATTACTTTAACTATGTAAAGATGTGTTACATTTGTTTATGCTGCTTTTGTCCAATGCCTGCCTGTGGCACCTGATTGGTCTACTAAAAAGCTGAATGGACGATGACTAGGCGGCGGAGGGATAGGCGGGGCTGGTGGCAGAGAGAATAGGTAGTAGGAGGAGTCAGGCTAGAAGGAGAGGAGAGAGGAGAGAGAGGAGGGAGAGAGTGAGACTCCTGGAACCAGCCAGCCAGACACTGAGTAGGACATACCACATGAAGAAAGGTAAAAAAAACCCGAGGCAAAACATAGATGAAGAGAAACAGGTTAGTTTAAGTTTTAATAGCTAGTTGAACAAGCATAAGATAAGGTCAAGCATTCATAACAATTATTAAGTCTACGTGTCATGATTTGGGAGCTTCAGAAACCTCCCACCATTCCCAGTGGGCTCCCTCTGCCTTCTGCTTTCCGATCCTGACTTGAGATCTCAGCTGGTCCTGTCACCATGCCTCTGCCCTGCCGTCATGGACTCTGACCCTCTGAAGCCATAAGCCCAATGAAAAGCGTTCTTTCATGAATTGTCTTGGTCACGGTGTTTTCTCACAATAGAAAAATAACTAAGACAGATGATATCACCACCTCATTCATTCATTAGTTCATCCAGTAGAGAGAGTAGTCACATTCTCGGAACTGAATGAGGAAATTCCGTATTTTATTTTATTTATTTATTTATTTTGGATTTTCGAGACAGGGTTTCTCTGTGGCTTTGGAGCCTGTCCTGGAACTAGCTCTGTAGACCAGGCTGGTCTCGAACTCACAGAGATCCGCCTGCCTCTGCCTCCCGAGTGCTGGGATTAAAGGCGTGCGCCACCACCGCCCGGCTGGAAATTCCGTATTTTAGCTTTGAGTCTCATAATGTAAAAATTAAAGCTATGTTCTAAGATACCTGGCTATAGAGATTTTTATTTATTTATTTATATCATTGTAGCCCAGGTTTCCTTGAAACTCTCTGTGTAGCCCAGGCTGAGCTACATCTTTGTCCCTGTCGGTGGACACTTTTTTGTTGAGGGGGGGTTTAAGACAAGGTTTCTGTGTGTAACCCTGGCTGTCCTGGAACTCTGCTTGTGTCTCTGCCTCCTGAGTACTGGGATAAAAGGTGTGAGCCACCACCGCATCAATGGACTCTTAATCTGATGGTGTTACTGGGAGGAGTGGAGTCCACGAAGGGGAACTGGATAGAAGACCACTGCAGACATGACATTGAAGGGTATATCTTGTTCTGAGCCCTTTTTGGTCTTTTTTTACTCTCCTTAATTATTATTTAGCGTTTCTTTCTTCCTTTTGTGGTCTAACATTTTTTTAAAGATCATATGGTGAGAGCCGGGCGGTGGTGGTGCACGCCTTTAATCCCAGCACTCGGAAGGCAGAGGCAGGCGGATCTCTGTGAGTTCGAGGCCAGCCTGGTCTACAAGAGCTAGTTCCAGGACAGCTAGAACTGTTTCACAGAGAAACCCTGCCTCGAAAACAAACAAACAAATAAAAATCTCAAAGTGATAGTTTTGGAATTTGGGTTTTTCTGAGGTGAGCACATATAAGGCAAGCTGTCCGCAAAGTTGTCCCTTCACTTATAAAGAGACCGAGGAACTAATTTTTAGGTTTTGGTTTTAGTTTTTCTTTCTCAGGTAAGCTTTTTTTTTTTAATCACTTCAGGCTGAGTAAGTTCTATGATAATGGTCTGATGGAGAGAGATATATGTTCTCTTCTCATGGAATGTTTAGACCTCTGTCCCCTGATGATGTCAGTGTTCCAGGAAGCACACTTAAGGAAAGTCTGCAGGTTATTGTTATTATGTGTTTAGTTGATTGTTTTGCCAAACTGTAATTCCCCCCACCCCAAAGGAAGGATCTCAAGTCTATTTTCTACATCTCTCCGGCGTACAGTACAAGGACAGAAGAATCTTCTTGACCAGCTTCTAGTCTAGCATGGCTTCTAGCAGTTTGAGGCCATGTTACCTATGATTCACCCAAAGGCATTCTCAATACTGCTCTCCCCATTTCCAGCCCCCATTAAAATGCTTGTCTAAAGAAGCTCAAAACTCTCAGAATTTACTGTTTTTTTTTTTTTTTTTTTTTTTTTTGAGACAGGTTTTCTCTATAGCTTTGAAACTTGTCCTGGAACTAGCTCTTGTAAACTACGCTGGCCTCGAGCTCACAGAGATCCACCTGCCTCTGCCTCGCACGTGCTGGGATTAAGGGATTAAAGGTGGGCGGTGGCTGGAATTTACTGTTTTTCTTCCAGCCAAAACTGGCTAATAGGCAGATAGGTCCCTGACCCTAGATTAGAGCAGAGTGTTTTTAATTATAAATCTTTTCTTTGCCCCTTTGAAAGGCAACTCGCCTACCCTTTGGAACCGCCTCACGAAAAAGACACTTTGTTTTTCAAGATAGAGACAAGAGTTTGCCACACTTTGTGGACCAGGCTGGCCTCGACTCAGAGATCCACCTGCCTCTACCTCCTGAGTGCTGGGATTAAAGGCGTGAGCCAGCACCGTGTGGCTCCAAAGACACTTTTCAATGCATACATTCAAGGAGATAGCCCCGAGTGGTGGAATACACCATTGAAGCACTTGGACAAGGCAATCGGATTTCCAGGCGACATAATGAGATCCTGTCTCAAAACAAAATAAAACCAAAAATAAAAAAACAAAAATCCCAAGGAGATAGTACTTTTTACTCCCATGTCCTACCACTGCCTGACATAAAGATTTGAGAATTGCTGCGTGGGATAGTATTAATCTCAGGACTGGAAGAGCTGGGGTAGGAGGATGAAGGCCAGTCTGGGCTACCTAGCGAGATTCGGCCTCGCAAGCAAGCAAAAAAACTCAAGCCACAAAACAGCCCATAAGAAATTCATGCAGCCCAGCGCAACTGAGAATCCGTGACTTTCAGCGTCCAGCAGTGCTTGGATTCAGAACCCGCAACGGCTTGGGCCTGAAGCCGATTCCAACTTATTGCTTTCGGGCGGCGTCAGCTTCCGGAAGAAGACGGGTCCCTGAGTGGCTCCCCGGCCTGCGGCCTCCGTGCGCAGATGCGGAAGTGCGGTGGCACTCTGGCTGACCGGCTTCCGGCCTGTGCTGCAGCACCGGGCTAGCAGAGCCACGTAACGGCCGGGGGTCTGCAGCCATGGCGGATAGGAAGACTAACGGTGGCGGAGCGTCCGCCTCGTCGAGCACTAACTTACTCTTCTCCTCCTCGGCCACGGAGTTCAGCTTCAACGTGCCCTTCATCCCCGTCACGCAGGCCGCCGCCTCCCCGGCTTCCCTGCTCTTGCCCGGAGGTAGTGAGCCGAGGGCACTTGGGGGCCAGTGTGTGCTCCGAGGAGGGTGGGACAGGAGCGACACCTTCTCTGGGCCGCTTTTCAGGGCCAGTAGTGGGCAGCTTCCAGAGGGCCAGGGACCGTGCACTCCTGGAGGAGAGGGGCCCAGGTGATGAGGCTTGCTCTCGGGCCAAGGAACCGCTGTCACTGCACAAGTTTTTGTTGTACCCCCAGTGGTGTTCTGGAGGCTGGCAGGGAATGCAGCTAAATTAGACAGTTTCCCTCTGCTAGAATACCGCAAGCTAGCCTCTTTCTGGGAAACCCCCGTGATAGGGCAGGCCATCACCTAGGAGACGGCACGCTGTCTCCAGAGGGGACAGTGCCCCTCTGGTAGAGTACTGTAAAGTCTCTGCTAGAAGTCTCCGGGCTTCAGGAGGATACCTCCTAGGATAGACAGCGCATCCTGCTAGGACGGATATGTAACGAAGTGTAGGTCCGGAATGCTTTTCTTATTTTTCCAGGTATCACTTTCTCTGAACTCTTCCTTCTTCTCTTAGGCGTCCAGACTGGCTCTCACCTCCTTTTGGTTAGGCCCTGTGTATGTCTGGGCAGTCTGATGTTCGAACTGTGTTCCGGCCCTGCCCCTAACTTGCTGTGGTGGCCTCAGGAATGACATTTTACCCGTCTGCTTAAGTTTCATGTTTTCAGCCCCCCTCCTCACTTTTGAAACAGGGTCTCTACCTTGTCCTGGCTGTCCTGGAACTCACTATGTAAAGGAGGCTGGCCTCAAACTCACAGAGATTCTACTGCCTCTACCTCTGAGTGCTGGGCTTAAAGGCCTGCGCCACCATGCCTAGTCTGTTTTTTTGTGGAACTCTAACTGTGGTGCTTCGCAGAGTGTTGTGTAAATATTTGTGACCTGAGTACCTCTGCCTCTCCATTTGGACTGTGAACTTCTTGCCTCTTATTTGCAGGATCTTGTTTAGTGTCTAGCACAGAGGTCCTTATCAAGTCTGACCTTTCCCCACTAAATATTCCTGATTGGAAGATTAAGGGAAGGTTCCTGGGGAAGGGAAGAAAGGCAAACTGGAAGTACCTGCTTGTGGAGGCTCCCCTTTCTGTCCTGATTCTCGGTGCTTGTAGCTGTGTGACGTGTACACACCTGTTTATCCTATCCGGACAGAGTGCAGGCTTCATCAAAGCAGGGCCTTAGTTTTAGTCACCGTCGCCCACTGTCTAGAGTACAGGATCCATAGAATCCGGTGGCGATTTGTTGAGTGAGTGGAGTGACAGTTACCAAGAGTGCGTCTGTCTGGGTTAAGCAGTGTTGGGGATGGGATGGATACCAAGAGTGCGTCTGTCTGGGTTAAGCAGTGTTGGGGATGGGATGGATACCAAGAATGCGTCTGTCTGGGTTAAGCAGCGTTGAAAGGTTAAGTGTTGCTTCCTTTGGTAGAGAATTGTGGCTGGATCAGAGTGCTGTGGAAGGATCCAGGAATGAGGAAGGCTGTGCCTTGGGGTTTTCGGACTTTCTGTCTCTCGAGTGTTGTTTGATGCCCGCCCGTCTTCCTTGCTGTATAATAATTGATTTGTGTGTTGTCAGTGCTTGAAATGCCAATGTTTATTTTTTAAAAAATTCTATGCGTGTTGATGTTTTGCCTGTGTATGTGTCTATGTGAGGGTGTCAGGGTCCCTGGAACTGGGGTGCAAGATTGTCATGAGCCACAATGTGGGTGTTGGGAACTGAACCCAGGTCCATCTTGGAAGAGCAGCTAGTGCCCCTAACCACTGAGCAATCTCTCCATCCCAGCATTTCTACTTTCAAGTTTAAGATAAATATACCTACGTTTAGATTTGCTCGTTTATTAATTTTTTTTTCTTTTTTTCTTTTTTTTTCCCCCACCCTTGCTCGTTTATTAATTGACATGGTGTCCTCTTGTAGCCCAGGGTAGCTTGTGGTAGCCTGCTTGTCCCAGCCTCCCATGTGCTGTGAGTGCTCGTATGAGCCAACTTTATGTTTTCTTTAAATTCTTGGAGGCTAATTTTGAAAGTGTGTACTTGTGTATGTGTGTGTGTACATGTTGTGTCTATGTGTGTATGTACATGCACATGAGTACGTTGCCCTCAGAGGCCAGAGACTTTGTGTCTCCCTGGAGCTGGAGTTGCAGGTTTTTTGTGCTGGGAATCAAATGTGGGTCTTCTATAAGAGCAGCACATGACCCTGGTCACTGAGCCATCTCTCCAGTCCCATCTTGAAAGCTGTTGCTTCTTAGATACAAACTTTTTTTTTTCTTGGTGAGAGCACATAGATAGCTTTTAGAACTGCCATTCCACAAGTAGTTTTTTCTCTTTTGCTTTTTGAGACAGGATCTCTTTGTTCTGTATCTCTGGCTGTCCTGGAACTCCCTGTGCAAACCAGGCTGACCTTGAACTCACAGCCCTGTCTGTCTTTTCTGCTCCCCCCCCCCCCCCAGTACACAACAAGTGCTTCCTACATTTAAAAGATTTTATGATTAGAGATCTCTTCAGAGCTTTTCTGGAAACAAAGGAGATCCCAGCTCCTCAGAAGCAACAGTAAGTCCTCGCAGTGGAAGACACACGCAGGCGGCAGTGTTATACATCCAGCAGACAGGAACTGAGCAACCTCTCTCTGTCAGACCCTGTTGCAGAGGTCAGAGCAGCACAGAACAGACCAGTGTGTCTGTGCACACCAACGCCTGCCTCCATAATCTGTTGTAGTATAGTTTACCCAGCCAGAGATGGGATAGAGAGGCTGTGCCTATCGCTGTGAGTCTCAGCTGCTGGAGTGGAGGGATGATGCCCCTTAAGGCCTCAGAGTCTCACAGAACGTGATCTGAGCAGAGCTCGAAGGATCCGTAGGAAGGTGGGAGAAAATCTGCAGGCTTGGCAGAAGTCAGCAGTGATAAGGGCCAGTATGGACCGTCTCCTCTCCCGTTACTGTTCTTACACTCTCCATGCCCTGCCCCTTCGTGTAGATAGCTGACTAGAGTGTTCAGGGTGTGGCCCAGTGGGCTGTGGGGCTCATAGTATGCTAAAAGGTTTGTACTTCATTGATCTGTGGTGAGCCTTTGAAGGGTTTGCTTGAGGGTCTCACTATGTCGCTCTCACTGGTCTAGAACATAAAAGTTGCTCTCTTGACCAAGTTGGCCTCAATGCCACTGAGATCCTCCTGCTTCTTACCTCCTGAATGCTGAGATTAAAGGCAGGTACCAACACATCTGATCTCCTTTGAAGGATTTTTAACCAGACAATGAAATTAGAAGTGTGTTCTAGAAAGGCTTGGGCTTTTTAAGATTGCACTGGAATAGGGTTGACCATCATAAATGTGGTCAGTTTTTATCCCCTGTATGTCAGGCACCCTAGATGGCACCCTAGCCCAAGTGAGCCGCATTGAGGGATAAGGGACAAATAGACTTATTTTATTTCATAATGATGGGAGCAGTCACAGAACCTCGCTCCCTCCCGGCAAGAGGTCTGCTATTGAGGTGCATTCGTGGTAGAGGTGTTTATATTCTGAAGTTACAGAGGCCTTGTGACTCATTGGAGACCAAATTATCAGTTCTCTGTCGGTGTCAAGGTCCAGGCTCTGCAGCAGGCGTGGAGTGGGTGCTGCATTCACGGCTCTTTAACGAACTTCTGAAGGACCACACAGAAAGTCTGATGGATGTGAGGTTTCCCATAGAAATCTGGGCAGTTGTTGGTGAACTTCTGTTTGAGATGGGATATTAAAGATAATAAATTCATCGTAAGACTCACTAAGTTTGGGGCTGGAGAGATGGCTCAGCGGTTAAGAGCATTGCCTGCTCTTCCAAAGGTCCTGAGTTCAATTCCTAGCAACCACATGGTGGCTGACAACCATCTGTAATGAGGTCTGGACAGAATATTGTATGCATAATAAATAAATAAATATTAAAAAAAAAGACTCACTAAGTTTGACACTTGGCTGGGAGAATTGGTGAACTTCTGTTTGAGATAGGAATATTAAAGATAATAAATTCATCATAAGACTCACTAAGTTTGACACTTGGCTGGGAGGATTGTGGGCCAGAGGAGGACAGTCTGAATCTGAGATGTGCTGGCGGAGTCACAAGTACAGACTCCTCACCATAGCTATGGGTCTAGATCATTTGTGTCTGTGTAGAATTAGAAAGTGCTCCTAGGGGGAAGTTAGAGGTATGCCGAACCTTTTTCTTCTTCCCCCTCTTTATTTTATTTTTAGATTGGCTTCATGTTAGGGGTTGGTTCTGTTGCTGTGAAGAGACACCTTGTGTTGTGGTTTAGATAAAACGCTGTAGTTCCCCGAGGGGCAGCCGGGTCCCATGAGGAGCCACGGCAGGTGAGAGACAAGAGAAGGATAAGCATGCCACACAGAGAGAGGTTTGGATATAGTTTATTTAGTAAAAGGGAAGGGAGAGAGAGTGAGAGAAACAGGGAGAGAGAGGAGAGGAGGAGAGGAGAGGCCGCAGTCATCTCTTCTGAAGAGAGACAGACAGAGAGAGGGAAAGAGAGAGAAAGAGAGGACGCGAACAGGCTGAAAGAGGAAGGAAGACCTGCTTGGTGGCCACAGAAGGGAGGAGTAGCTCGGGCTTGTCTCTTAAAGGGACAGGACAGACCATTACTCCATGACTATGGCAACTCAATAATTTATTTAACTTTATTTTATGTGCATTGGTGTGAAGGTGTCAGATCTCCTGGAAATGGAGTTACAAATAGTTGTGAGCTGCCATGTGGGTGCTGGGAATTGAACCTGGGTCCTCGGGAAGAACAACCAGTGCTCTCAACCACTGAGCCATTTCTCCAGCTCCCCACCTCTACAGTAACTCTTAAAAAGAAAACATTTAAGGCTGGAGAGATGGCTCAGTGGTTAAGAGCATTGCCTGCTCTTCAAAGGTCCTGAGTTCAATTCCCGGCAACCACATGGTGGCTCACAACCATCTGTAGGGAGGTCTGGCGCCCTCTTCTGGCCTTCAGGCATACAGACAGAATATTGTATACATAAT